TTGATATCCTATTGCCATTCGTTTATACTTTAATTACTTAAATAGATCGTTTGCGTAATGTTGATATCGCTGATCGTAGTATAGGCCTAGTGGGGACCCGCTACGTTAAATAATGCGAACGTGTGCCGCAGTCGATACGTTCGCCTCTTAGGTGATGTGGAAGCCCGCAGGTTGTCGTTGTGATGCCTTTATTGTAATAAGATAAATAAATTAATTGGATACACTCTTTAATATGTTAATCCCATTTGCAAAAGCACATTTTTTTTTGTAAAAAGAAAGTGCTCTCCATAGAGGGGTCTTGAACCATAGACCTCCCGATTCTTAACCGGGTGCACTAGCCAGGCGCCAAAAACATATGTTTCTTATGCTTTTTTCGGAAGTTGTATTTCTAGAATTTCATCGTTTATTCAACTGCTTACTATTATCGTTTCGCTTACTTTACATATAAGCAGAATAATATGAAGATGCACACCAGTTAAGAAATTTCGCGCCACCCTTCTCCACGTGGATGAACAAAAGAGAATAAAATAAACTTTGGGCAACCTAGAAAGGTTAAAAGAGAGGAACCTTGACAGGTTATTGACTCAGCTACGATGCTCGTTTAATACTAAATTAAATTTATTATAGATATTTATCTATGATATTTCAAAATTTCTCTTTAAACTGTTCTCGGTCGTTTCATTTACCAACGAATTTCGCCATTCATTTTTTAATGTTCATTTTCGGCATGATAAGAGGTAAAGAGTGAAAACCAATATTTCTATGCATTTTTTATAACTTTGAAATTTATTTGAATATACACATTTGTTTGCGCATTACGTCCATACAAATGTTTAGGGTTCCGGTTGCCCGAAGACCTTGCTGTCCCGCCGCCTGTTTGTCAAGAACGGTTTGTGAAGGGCGGCAACTTTTTCCCCACCACTGAGCAATCCATTCATTTGGCTGACTGCAATATCGGCTGGAACGATGATCATGACCCGCGCGGCTACGCGAAATCTATAACATCGACAGAGGCGATGATCACGAAATCCTACTCCCGGACTCGCCGCTACGATTTAGCGCCATGCTTTTGTTATCGCCTAAAACCGGAGCGTTGTGCATCTCCCCACTCATCTCTGCTACGCGTCTCACGTTCAGAGATGGCGCAACATACATGTTTCAAAAAATCAACATGAAATCAACCCTCAAGCGTCCATTTCATGAACTACACTAGCTTGCTTATGTATAGCAACAAGGTATTTATGTTTGTTGCTAATATCTCTGATTCTCATAATGAATCATATATAAAATCTTCTCAGTTTAAAAAAAAAAATAATCTACTAACAAGGTCTATGTAATCACAATTAATTCTTCATAATTTGCAAGAAACGCGAATCAATATACACATGCAGCACACTTTGAAAATTCCAGGAACCCACACAGTGCTGTAGGAAAAAGACGTCGGATCTTTAGAGCAGCTCTCCAGTAAGGTATCCAGTAAATTACTGTACACCATCCTACACCTTTTAAATGCCAATAGTAGCTCTGTCTACTCATAAAAGCTCATAGTCTCGCTAAACTCCAAGATATTTGTATACAGCATCATAACCGAATGCATCCAGAAGCAATAACAGTTGTAGAGAGTAAGGTATCTCGGGGCGCAATGTCCGCCATCCGCCGCCGCCCTCTATATTGATCAAGTTAGATTTTATAAATAGGCGCGCTGATAAGATCTTGCAAATTGGTAGTGATCGCGAATTCTTTTTAGTAACTTAGACAATTATCTATGTGAATTCAGCGATGAGCAACGATGTCAATAACGCGACGTAATAGTTTGTCCATGACGTCACGCGTGAGTTACACAAGCGTCATCGGTCAGTCTATTCCAGTCTATTGTTGAAAAGTTATCTGAAGTAACTAAAAAGACGTCCATTTGATGGAGATTAGATATTATTTATTGGTTATTAATTGAAGGCGCGAAGATCATAGCATCTTTAACATCGTCCTAGTCGACGTCGTCATCATATCGTCATTGTCATCGTCATCGTCTGGTTCATTCTCTTGTGGTGGGCTGGCAACCTGATTGCCAGGCTAACTCGCTTCTATCTACTTGTAACGTAAGCTTCAAGAGAGCATTCGAATCACGCTGACTTGCTCCGAGTTCTCGTCGTTTCTTTCATGAAAGTTCATTTCCAGCATGTAAACAATTATGATTGATTCTTTGGCAGATGCTAATTTTTGTTGTAATATCAGAATTGATTGAAAGACCTTTGTTTCAGTTGATGAAATTTGTAGCATTAGACAATTTTGACAGGTATAAAAGTAGAGGTTTATTTTATTCGTATTCATTGATATACCTTTTGAAGTGTTTTTTATATTTTGTTATGAATTTTTTTTTTTGGAATTGATTTCAGATAAACAGCTGGTTGAGATGTCGATGCAACAGTTTTGTTTGCGCTGGAACAATCATCAGCCCAACTTTATATCGGTTTTCTCCAGTTTGTTGAATAATGAGACTCTGGTGGATGTGACATTGGCTGCTGAGGGAAGGCACTTACAGGCACATAAAGTTGTCTTGTCTGCGTGTAGCACATATTTTCAGTCGCTCTTCACCGTCAATCCCTGTCAGCATCCTATTGTCATTCTTAAGGATGTTAAATTCTCTGATCTCAAAATCATGGTAGATTTTATGTACTATGGAGAAGTCAATGTTTCTCAGGATCAATTACCATCGATTATTAAAGTAAATATATTGTATATACAGTAGAAACTTAATATTATTTCATGTGTATTAATATGTCTCGTGTTTTAGACTGCAGAGAGTCTAAAAATAAAAGGTTTAGCAGAGATGCACACAGCCAGTTTAACAAAATGGCCAAGCGGTGGAAGTGAACCTGGTGGAGGAGACAGAGGTGAATCATGTTCACCAACACCATCACCACTGTCACCATCGTTCCGTCGAAAACGACTGCGCAAAACTTCCACAGGGTCAACTTCCGGCTCTGGAGAGAAGCAAGAGGAAATAAATGAGATCACTTTAGTGGCGACAAACGTGGTAAAACCTGAACCATTACTCGTCTCGCAGGAAAGTGGAGAAAGTCTAAGAAGACCATTAAACACCAGTACGGAGTCTCAGGGCAGTATTGATGAAGACCAAATATCTATTGTGAGTCTTTAAATAACCTTAAAATTATAAAAAATATTAAGATATTTCAAAATGTAAAACAACATTGTGACAACGTTTTCTTCTTGTAGATGAGTAACATGGAGAGTAGCTCAGCCAATACTCCGGCACAGAGTGAAGGTTCGATGCAAGATGTCAGCAGTCAACAGTCTGGTTCAAATGTTGGACAAAGTTCAGTTCCCCCTCAACCACCAGCTCATCAAGGTAAGAATTATTTAAAATAATTAAGCCTCGCATTCAATTGGCTGCTTTAATCCGTAATTGTCACGATTCCTTGTACGCGTTGGGAAAAATTCGATGAAAGTTAAAAAATGTATCTCAATGGAACTGAAAGGAAAGGGAAACAAAATTATATAGGAAAATTATCTGCGGATATTAACTAGGAGGGCTTTGGATGCACCATGGTATGGGCAATGAAATGATTTTATACATTTTCAAGGTAAAATAGGCAAATAAACAAATGGACAGCAAGCACTCTACCTTCCTAGGGAATGATACAAAGATACGACACGATGCTCTTGACATATATTCTCCTTGATCAGTGATTGGCTCATAAAATCAGAAACGTGTATTCTCAAGAGAAAGGAGTCTTCTGCTATTAGCAAGACTCCATGCTTCGGCCCTTTCCTTTTACTCCTATACTCTTGGCTTTCCTTCCTTCTATTTTATATTATTCTAATCCACATTATTATTCTCTATTATTGTCTCGTCTGGTTTGATCTCACCCTCTCTTGTCTTATCGTGTCTCGTCTCTCGTGTCTTCGCCATTTATACATTTCTCAATAATGTCAATAATTATCAATTAGAGAATTCATAATGTATAACGTCCTTATACATAACGCAATACGTAACAGGTATTTTTCGAGTACACGCACGAAGTATTTATTCTAGAGTGATAAAGAGAAATAAAAGATTTTTGAAAAAATCTTGGATCGGAAGGATATAAGCTGGCACAGATGCGTTCAAGTATGTAGCATAAAAAGGATAAATGGAATCGAGAATCGTTTGACATGATAATAGAGCGAAAAGTATAATATAAAAAAGTTGTAAAAAAAGATCAAGAAAATATACTCAATATCGATATTAGATTTCTCATTCATTAAAATCACACCATGGCATACAGATACCTAGGACTTTGAACAATGAAAAGTGACTCATTGCTAGATTCACTATCAAATCTGAAAGAAATGTCTATCAATTTTTCATACTGTCCACATGTTTGGTCAATTCTCGGTCATTAGAAACAAACGAAAAAGAACGGAAAAATTATGAGTACGTCATCATCGTCGCCACCGCCGCCACATCCGTCGTCGTTGTCGCCGTCCCCTTCGTTGTTGTCGTCGTCGTGGTCGTCGCCGTCGTCGTCACAACAACTAGTTGCCGTGCTTGATAATGTATCTGTGCCATGCCATAATCTTAAAATTTCGAAACATTCCATTTTTTTATATACATATATATTAATCAAGAATCTGCGAGAGTCAAATCATTATCAGAAGGCTTGGCGCAACCCATGCGTTTTTAGCCACACTCGAACGATCTTAATGATCCTTAATGAGTGTTGTCTCAGGGTGCAAAGAACAAGAAAAATAATATATCATATGTCTAAGTATGCCCATGCCGTGTCAGTATGCTCCCATAGACTCTCCGCATTCTACGTATCATATATAACATAAAATATTGAGGATTGAGTAAAAGCATGTCTGTTCCTTGTACTAGATTCATGTCCCAAATTCAGGTTTTCCACTTTCATCATCATCTCCGTATATAAAAAAAAAAAATTTGAATACGTTACAAACGATATACATACGAGATTCAAGGATGACTAATAAACTTTTGAGATCATGGGGTCATTTGGGTCATGGGAGCGAAGAAATAGGTAAAAGTATTAAATTCGATTCGAGGATGAGGATCGAAAGTAAAAATGAAAACTTGAAAAAACCGCAATTATAGTAATATGTATTAAAAAAAAAAAAAAGAACGAAAAGTGTGCGCGCAGCTCACCATCCCAAGTCTCGTGCTCTGACCAAAGGTGACTCGGTCTGTCCCACAGGATTGCAATGGACAATAATGGAGCACACGTATCCACGTTTCGCTCTGTCCTCGTGTCAAACGAATCTGTCGATCCAAGCATCCTCGGCGTTCACCACGCCCGAAATATCCGGGAGCTCGTCGTCGGCGATCGGCGAGCAGTACTCCGGTACTAGCACCACTGGTTCCAGCTGCGCCCTCACGAGCTATCCGAACTCCTCGCACAGCACGTTGCAGCATACCTCCTCGTCGTCATCGTCGAGCGGCCCGACCCCATCGACACAGTGTCCAAGTAACTGTCAGAGCCCTTGTGCGAGCCCACAGACAGCAATCAAAAGGAAGCGCTCGACGAATCCTCAGGCAGACGAAAATTTCATCAGGGCGCTGGACGCGGTTCGTTACGGGGGCATTGGATTCTGTAAGGCTGCCAGGATGTTCGGCGTCAACAACCGAACCCTCTGGCTCGAGTACAAGAAGAGGGGCTATCCGAACAATCGTCCCAGCCTTAAGTCCCGGGTCAAACAGGAAGTGAACTCCTCCCCGCCGCCTGCACCTTCTACTCAGCCCGTCAGCTCTCAAAGTCCAACGCCGATGGGACCACCAACCACTCCTCATAGTAGTCACAATACTCATAGCACTCACACTATGCTCACCACGCATAGTCCACATGCTATGCTTAGCGGATACATTGACAGCAGGCATACCGATTATGCTCTGCAGAGCAGCAGTATGCCTATCAACTTACATGGGGTCAATTATAACGCCATGTGAGCTGAACTCTCCCCCGACGGCTACCATTACAGGTAGACTCGAAAGGGACCCATCCTCAGTATCCTCACTGATGTTCTACTACTTCTCTCTACATCGTATATTATACACGCACTAATATACACTTACATCTCCACGTGAACACACGAAATAACAAACTTTATGCCTAGTTACATTCATGAATATTTAGAACTATTCAGTTTTCATTTCATTCATTTTTATCAATACTTGACTTTTCCTTATGGCTACACTTGACACATCAAAAAATCTCCCTTGAATATTCTTTCAATTGATATATAAAATTATTGTCATTCAATGTCAAAATGTTGTTCCGTTATCTTCGAACCAGTGTTATTTAAATTCGTAAATAGAAATTATCATTGCACTTGCATTTAACATGGCTTCAGTCTTAATACTTCAAGTACGGATGACGCGTTGAGCACGTCCAATGGATTCTATCCAATCGGCCGGGCAAAGCGCTGAGCGTGACATGACACGGCGCGACCTAAAAAGTCTGTATTTCAAAAAGTTGTCAATGTTTTCCAAATCAGAAAAAATGGCACTTAAAGTGTGGTAACGACGAAACAATTTTTACCATGGACCATATTTTGATGTCTAATATATTTAAAGGTTATGGTACTTGAGAATGTATATTTGCATTTAAATTTTTTACGCGGCGCAGCCCACGCGTCGCTCGCGGCGAAAGGCCTCGGTACTTGAAGCGTTAACTACACCTTAGTTCGTTACTTAAGAGATCTCTTTATAGGGATGAAGATTTTATTTAATCGTACAGAGGGGAGGGACACTAATTAAGCTTAGGCTCGATAACCTACTTAAAATTAAGTTGCGACAAGTCGGAATAATCAACGGAGGATTAAACCCGGATAAACCCGCGCACAAGGGCTGGTAGTATTTTGGATGCTTGCCTTGTATCATTAGATTCTAATGACTTTAAATGTTATTGCATTAATCGATCAGCTGCTTATAAGTTCACTCATTGTTTGTCGCACAGTTCAGTCTTTCTAAATTTCTCTCTGTCTCTCAAGCATTGTCTATCCTTTCGTTTTCTCTCTTTCTCTTGTTCCCTGACTGTCTGTCAATGGCTCGCCGAATTTTCTTGTCAAAAGTACTAGCAACAGAGGCTTTTTCATGGACGGCAGCATACAGCAGCGACAGTATTTACCTGGTGACATCCAGAATGCTACTGCCAATGAAATAAATACAACTAATTAGGCTTTTGTCTAACGCTAAGAGAAAAAAAAAAGAAATTAAAATAGTCGCCATTCGAAATCATGCAAAGAAACATTATGTTAAATACGTTTTGGTAGTGTCTTGTACATAGGGCGGTATGTATTTATTATAAACACGAATGAAATGGCGAGGAAATAATAAAGACAGGAAATAGAAGGGAGAAATTCGTAGTAAGAGGCGACTGGCGGTGACTTTAGAAACTAGAAGCGTGAGAAGAGATGAGGATATAAGAGAGCAGAGATAAAACGAGGGTAAAGAAGACGCGGAAGGCAAGGAACGAGAAAGGTAAAGATAATTCTTCGCACGTTTTGTTGAAAGAAAGATACGAAAGAGAGAAAAAGAAAAAAAAATAAATAAAATAGCGAATACTATTTCACAAGATAATTTTAGTATGTACGTACCTATGATTATTAGACATAGTGTATTCTATTGTTCAATAATAATTATACACGTTTACTGTTTAATTAAGGAAAAAATGTTATATAAATATATAAATAAATACGTATATATATATATATATATACATATATATATATACATTATAAATGCATAGGTATATGATAATAGATCGTAGATTCGAAAAAAACTTACCTATTAGTATATCTTGTGCAGTTCACGGAATGAAGAGTTCTTTTCGATAATGAAACATTGCTTATCGTATTTAGTGAGGCTGTGCGCGAGGATGTTCGTATGTGCGTATGTATCTAGGAGCGCGTGTGTGGCTGCGAATGAGAAAACGTGAGAGAATGAGATATGAGAGCAATAAAGAATATAAGAAATTATTAACTTGGTATCGAGCTGTCTGATTTTCCTATTGGGATTGATATTCGTGTTGTTCGTATATATTATTATTGTTTTTTTATTGTTTTTGATATTGTAATTGTTAATTAAAGTTTAATTAAGTTGTAAGGCGCATTATAAATAATGAGCGGTCTGTGCCAGCCAACGCGTTTATACGTTACATTATATTTTTTTCTTATTGTTCGTTTATAAGTAAGAGCTCTCGAAGAAGAGGCACTATGTATCCGTTATTACTTATTGCCAAGTGCGAATTATCTGGGTTAATAAGTATGTATATACAGACGTTAGTGAAATTAACATGGAATGTAGCGACGTGTGCAGCAAGGTACAACATCCTCTTGCCTATTTTAGCTGTCCAGTGCAAACAGATGGGCACGAAACGAGGTCGACTGTTAATACGTCAACCTCGAGTGAAAAAGGAGTGCGAACCGTCAAGGCAGCCATCACCGGAGAGTGAACCAAATTCGCCGCAGACGAGCAGTGGCGCTACGACCCCAGGTGTTCAGCAACCGTTGACGCCGATACTAAACCATCCTAAGGGCCAGGAATGGGATGAGGAGGGTCAAAGAACATCACAGAGCTTATTACAGTGTACGTCGACGAACCTGCAACAGAATCCCACGGCGGGGAGTCCTTCGAATCTTCTAACTGTTCCCCAGATGTCGTACTTGGTGAAGCGACATTCACATCCGATATTGCCCAGTCAGCAGGCACCGGCACCCGGGAGTTACTTTATACATAGACAACACTCCAATCCTGAGTATCCTGGTAGGACGACGAGTCCTAGCATAGTCATTGACCCAGTTCCTACGACGCCATCTGTTGTCAAAGTCGAGGAGAGTTCAAGGGAAACTTCAGGAGAAGGAACGAATAATTCTGCCGGAGGCGGTCTCAGGGTTCGGACAACGGAACTTCGGCGAAGCAGCTCATCTCCACAGGCAAGATATCCTCACTTGGGTGATGACGCTACCTTGTCGCTGGGATGAACTACTCTTCAATTGATATTCCTGTACCCTTTCTTCTAGACGGGATCCACCAGGTGCGAGGTGACAAGGACTCGCGCAGGCTCTGGTGATCAACGACTTGGACATTGTCCTGTTCAACGACCTGGACCTGCGCTTGGTTGTAATCATTGCTGGAATACTATTGATGGGCATGGACGTATCCTTAGGAGGAAGACCAAGTATCATTGTCCGGAGTGCCAGATTAACCTCTGCATCGTACCCTGCTTTCAGGAATTTCATGAAAGACAACGAGAGGCATCCATCTTGAGGCCTTTACCGAAAACTAGCTCTATTTGAATGACGTATTTATATTATCGACTAGTCAGACCTGATATGAGAACACAGTATCTGCGCTAACACTCGCATCCTTACTATTCGATCCTGATGTAGTATCTATTTTTACATAGTAATATGTAGGACTATTTTACATAGAATCCTATGCATTTACCTATGTAGAAATATTTATTGCGTAAATACGTAAGATTACTGAGCGACATACTTTCTCGCTTTCTATATATGTTGTTGCACGTGTTCTTGATCTTGCTCTCGTTGTCGACCTCATCATCATCAGCATCATTATCAAGAATCATCGTTATTGTCGTACTTAAGAGAATCTTATTGCGACGAACGCGCTGTGGCGCGATTGAAGCCATACACGTGTATTGATTCGATCATCTTTTTTTTTTTCTTAATCTTTCTTGGCGGAACTTTAAGTTGTCAGTCAAATTAACGACTACTTCTGGTACAATTACGTACGTAATTAAAGTGTCAACGAGAGAAAAGATTCGTGGTAAATTTGTTAAGAGCGAAACGAATATTTTTCTTTAGTAAGTAAGTGTCGCACGAATGTTAATTCAATTATCGATAGTTTATGTAAAATCCTAAAAACATTGAGATAGGATGTATGTATAGAAATCATATGGTGCCGAATTGATAAAGAATGATAGAATGGTTGTAAAGCCTCACGTATTTTATTAAATCAATTTTACACGGAAAAGAATTTTTTCAGTGAATATTTAGAGAATATTTTAAAGAATTCGAAAAATCATTCCACGAGAGATTTTTTTTGTCAATCAACATTAATATTCTGGAAAATCGTACAAAGCTCTGACCATGCTGTCAACGTTGTCTTATTCGGTTTTGAAGGATCCATGCATACGTATATATATTTTTTTTCATTTTGCAAGTTATGTACCGAATCGCGAAGTCGGTAGGTAAAGGATGGAAAAAATTTATGCCATATAAATAAAGTGCGAAATACTAGTCGCGGGTCTCATCATTACATGTGTATTGTTATTGCTTAACAAGCAATGGAGTGCTTTTAGGTTTCGCGACTGGATTATTTTATCTGGGAAAACAAACGAAAATATAAGTTAGAGATGTACATTTACCGCCTAGCGGGAATTACAAAACGTCTACATTTCACAGGAGGTACAATGAATTCCTTGGAGGAGACGCTTTCTTTTGGCTGATGCACTAGAGGAAACCAATAGAGACTCGTTTACTTCTCTGGCTTGTCACTGGGTTCACTTTCTGACGGTGATGGAGCATTTCGGAAGTTCGGAAATTGTTCCCAAGGAGCAGATAATTCAAATCTACGGAATTCCTGAGTCATTTCCAGAGGCTCTGTGACAATTCGCTTCCACTCATCGTCGTAACGAACCTGGGGATATGAAAAAACAGACATTAAGGTTGTTATGTAATTCAGATGGTTAATATATTGTTTATTGACCTCAACAAATCCACTGAGGGGAAAGTCTTTTCGCAAAGGATGTCCCTGGAAACCATAGTCAGTAAGGATGCGACGGAGATCAGGATGATTTGCGAAATAGACTCCATACATATCCCAGACTTCACGTTCATACCACAGGGCTGCCTTATAGACAGGAACTGCGGAGTCTATTGGAGTAAGCTCATCAGTGTAGGTTTTAACTCTGATGCGAGAGTTGTAGCGAAGTGAGAGGAGATTATAGACAATCTATAATCATTTGGAAAATCAATTTAACTAGGTTAATAAATCTGATAATTGAAGAGATATCAGTGAGAACTAGTACCTCAAATCTGTTTTGCCTGCTTGGAACATCCAGTGCAGTGATATCAGCAAGTGAGGCAAACTGGGCATTATGATGATCCTTCAAGAAAGATAGAACAGGAATCACTCCATCCGGTGAAATTAATAGTTCCAATTCATCACCCAGGGCCAGTTGAACATGTTGAATGTACTTTGCTAGACATGTTGCTGCGTAAGCTCCAAATTCCTTAAGCTGAGTACTGACAGCCTCATCAACTGGCTTACGAACGGTAGCTAAAATTTTATATGAACATCAGCACAAGGAATCCAACTGCTAATTTAAAATACTAATTTCAAGAGATAAAAATTTAATTCTTTTTTGTGAATATTACGTACGTCGGCTCTCAACTTTATCAGGTGGAGGTGGCTGTGCCGTGTTTCTTAGGACAGGAAAAACTGATACATAACCTGGACGAAGGATATGTATACATATTGTCATTACATAATGTAAGCAGCGAGTGTCATACAGTAAATAAATTAAGTAGTAAATTACGTTTTGCAATAGCTGCGGAGCCGAGCCTTGCTACAGCCCGAAAATTCCTTAAAATTGTCGAGGCCATTCTTAACGACAGAATCACAAATGAAAATCAGAAAACACGAAACGAGCACAATAAATAGAGCTCGGCCACCATCGGCGACTGCTGCTGGCCAAAGATTAGACAAATTTAAAAAGATGGGTATCACCAATATATGCAGCCAGAAATACTTTCAAAAGGTCACCACTTATCAACAGCACGTCGCTGTGATGCTGGACGCCATTTTGATAGACATGGCTATCTTCAATTTAAATTTAAACAGGTAGGTATTGACTGGGAAAACAACCATTTTTTTAACATATATAACGTACAATTTATTCATCATTGTTTCATCTCCTAACTACTTAGTTATATAAAAATCAACAGAAGTTAATAATTGCAGCATCTATTGTCTTCATAACTAAACAGACAACCCATAATGGACAATGAAGATTTATAAGAATAACATATGAAAACCAGTTTATAGAGGAATGCACTACATTAAACAAATCAATAAGATTAATAAATTCTATGAAATTACACTAGAGAACTTTAGAAGTATAATCCTCTGTAAATTTTATACTTAATAATTTATCGAGCTAAGTCAGAGACACTCCTGTTAACTGGAGTCATTGTTTGTTATCAAATCAGATCCTCTTGGTCTCTGATTCTGTTTGTTCCTTTGTTGTTCCAGCATTTTTATATTAGCTATTGTAACTTTGAATTGCACCTCGGAAGTGTCCTAACCAACTAGCTAATCTATATTCCCAGTCTTTTATAGCAAGCATATATCTCAGGTATTAGTCATTACATTCCTTGTAGGAAGATAAAAGAATTTTCTCAAATTATCATAGCCCCTGGGTCCTGTTGCTTTAAGTATTTCTTGGGCTGCAGATTTTTCCAACTTCGTAAAACGTTGCTTGTGAACTGGCTTGCCACAGTTTTTGAGTTGCGCTTTGATAAATCCTCGTTGAACCCCTGTGACATAAGCCATGTTCCGATGTTGTGTGTACTCGAGAAAACTTGGCATATGGATTTTTTTATTTTTCAAATAAAATAATCTTTTCCTCAAATTTTGTATATATGACATCATTGCAATTTCTCTGTCAGTAGCATTTGACTTATTTATATTGAAACGTTCATAAACATTTTTGCAGGGACTGGTGTCAATCTTTTTAGAATCGTTATCCGTTTGCTCCGATTCCCATGTTTCTAATTCTTGATTTTTCCCAACGTCGTCGTAATTTACTGTAACAGCTTCATGCTTTAGGGATGCCAACTTTTCTTTAAACCAGTCAGTTTCAATACTAAACTGATTACTTTTCAATTTAGCAACTTCCTTTCTATCAAATGTAGAAGTTGATCTATGCACTGAAGAGATATCACTGGGGTTAATATAATTTGATGTGTTATCTGGTGGATTTAAAAAAACGTCATCTTCTTCCTTGCTACATGTTGTAGACAGAGATTTAAAATTCTTTTTAATACCGTCTTCTATGTTAAAGTTCTCAATATTTAGTGGATCTTTTTCCAATAAATCGTTTATGCTAAATTTTTCTTCTTTAACTGGACAATGAAGCTTTAAATCAATTGAGCTCGTATCATCTTTATCCTGAACCTCATCATGTGAATGTGATTTTGAAGTCATCCCAGTTTTAAGAATATCACTCTGTTCTTCTATATTCTTTGTACTTCTCATAAAATTTAATTTCTCATCAAATTTCCATTGGTCCAATGGAATTAATTTAATATTCTGACCAGTTTGACCTATACTAGCCATATTGTTTTCACCTCTTAGTACCAAATGTATTTCCTTTTTTGGTTTTGATGTAAATGTGGTGAATTGTTTCATGCCAGATACTTGAACAGTTTTACTACAGTTCACAGTAGAGTTATTAGTGGTTGCAGATGTCGATGAACTGCTCAAAGGTTTTTCCTCTTCATTTTGAATTAAGCTTGTTTCATATGTATCCACATTGAGCAAAGTCTCCTTGCTTTGCAATGGAGCTTCTATTGGGTTCTGATTTTTCACTTTAGAATTCTGCTTGGAGAATTTGCATTTAACAGTTTGGGCTACTGGAGGTGTCGAGGTAGAAGGAGAAGCTTTTGTTGCCACTGGATTAAAAGCATTGGAAGTAATGTTTGAAAATTTTCCAAGAGGAATAAGCTTACCCATTACTTGACCAATTTCATTTTTAACGAACGTTGGAGACTTTTTGCTCAATTGATTTATTGGAAGAGCAAGGGGTGGTGGCTCGTTACTGCGCTTAAGTGAGATTACACTGTTCTTGGAACCAGTGTTCAATAGCTGATTGTTACTAATACGTAATGGTATGGCTCGCTGCTCAAGATTGATGGTACCATCTTTCAATTTAATTGGAGTAGAGAGAATAAGAACTCTCTGATTGTTTGTTGAACCTGGCTTGGACTGTTGTGCTTTTGTATTTTGCACCTGATAAACTTGCATGCCCTTGCCAGTCGAGGACTTTTTCATTGGTGCTTTTTGTGGCATTATATTTTCCTTCGGGATGGCTGCAAAGAAGCAAGAAAATACAACACATAATTGACATTTCTAATTGGCTGCTTTAAAAAACATTCAACGAAGATCATATTTCTACATACTGTCAGACACAGAATGCACAACGAAATCCCGAGCCAACCAATGAGAAGCTATCGAGGACTTGATTATCCAAAGATCTTTTTTCATCCACGTTTCCACCCTCCGGTTGTATAATTTTCACATAGTGCCCTGTGAATTGCAATCATCAAGTTATGGGAATCATAAGCATTATCAGGAAATTGAACGAATCAAAAGAGCATTTCAGATATCAAATTTATGTAAAATACGGACTGTAGACAAAGGAAATTATTCATAATGCCAAATATATGTTCATTTCATTTCAATGCTAATAGAAAAATCAACTAATAAGCGCATTTTCATAATGATAGAACAGAGGGCACCACTTGCAAGTAGCAAACCATCGTATATTCATCAAAAATACTTCTGCTTGAAGGTTAAAAATCTTACTATACTTAAACCGCTAATTATTTCTACATATCAGTTGCGCAATATATGCCACCAAATTATTAATGGACCTAAATAACTGGCAAATCAACTTCTTATGAGTTTCTCAACTTATTAAGCGCATGCGCTGTCCATCCAACAAACATCCAGTCAGCGGGGAGAATTTCGAGCAGAATGGTAGCTACTCAAAGAATATCATTATAAAAACAGCACGAAAAAGCTTGTTCAGCTGGCTCTTCCGTACCTTTCTAAAGCCCCCACGAAATTCACGAGAGTCACTTCCGTGAAATAGTCCGAGAAATTCTTTCTTGATAATAATGCGCAACTGTGCGTCGATCCTTCACTCTTAAATGGCCAATAGCTGTGCTCGCGGTTTATAGATTTCAAGGCGACTGTACAATAATATCTCGTTGCGTCACACGATTCGACAATAACTACACTATGCAAACTTCTCGACCAATAAGAATTGTGTCGCAGATTGTAAATTATCGACGCCCATATAATATTCGTTACTTCCTGCGCGAAACACGCCCTGATGCGCCTGCTAGACGGAAGTACGTCAGGAGCAGAAAATCCAAGTGAAGTTATTTAAAGAATGGCTAATGTACTAGGAGAATAATAAATAAATACATCGTATATTGTCTGTTTGAACAATTTAAAATATCTGTAGAATCTCCTCGTTATTGAGTGGAATTTAGAAAAAGTACTTATACCGTGGACAAAATATTAATGAGAAATAATAAATTTCGATAATAGGAATTTTGAATGCCCCGTAACGCTAAGGTCTTCGTCTTCGAAGACGAAGGGCGCTCGCGGCTCCATCTGTCGGTCCAGTCACATATCGGGAAGCTCGATATCGGCCGTCTACTGAGCAAATTTGTAAGAGATGGAGCTGACCGGGAAATTGTTGGGATCTCGATGAAAAGGTATGTACGTTTGAACTTGAGAAATCTCGCCGGAAGATTCTTGGTCACGGCGATCCCGGCAAATGTAAATACTTGGGATTTTACGGTAATTATTCCACTCACACGTTGATGAAAAAATGGCACTTCCATGATAGACGCGTCCTTCCGCCTACCCTAACACGTCTATACCTGATTCTTTTATCACTCGATTGATACTCTTTTTCTCACATTCAAGGCATCTTTTAAATATCGTAGGCTATTCACTCCGATGTTTCTCTATTCATTCTTGGTAGCTGTTTATTTTGATAACAATTTCTTCAAGCTATCTGTACAAATGAATATCATTTCATTTCAGATTTTAAATTTCTCATATCAATCATCAGAATCGCAGTGAATGACAAATAAGTTTTACAAGATGTTTTCTTATGATTTCTTATTTATTTTCCTTGTTTTTCTATTTGCAACGTTTCTAGACATTTTTCAAAGTGCTTATAGGTGTTGATAAAGGATAAAGGTTAGCAATGACTTTTTCCAGAATATTGTACAATGCAGACATCAAACTCTCAGTTAAAGCAGCAACTCCCTACTAGGGGGTTGAAACAGGTGAAAGTGGACAACTGGGGAACATTTTTCCTTCAGCGATTACAACAGCTTTACTTTGACGAGGAACTCTTTGATATGACCATCAAGTTTCCAACAAGCGATATCACACTGCAGGCTCACCGGCTTGTAATTACAACGTGTACCGATTATTTTATGAAATTGGAGCATCAGCAAAAGGAGAAAGATGAAAACTTTAATGGCGTTATTGTGATGCCATCAGATATGCCTTATGAATGTGTCAAATCAATCATAAAGTAAGTGTAGAAAATTTGGATCTGTAATGTTGATATTTGTATTTGCATTTGGTAAAGTTCTATGATTCTTTAGTTTTATGTACACTGGACAATTGGAGTACTGGACTTCAGAACAAACTGCACTTTATCGGACAGCACAAAAAATGAACATGACAGTCTTAACAAAACTACTAGATGCACAGTTTAACACGAGCGCCTTACAACAAACTGGTTCAGTAGCTACCACGAAGGCAAAATCTCCAGTTCAAACCATGGTTGTGCCAATGCATAAACCAGCAATTCTGGCAAAAAAGAGTCCCACAACGCCCAGTCAGCCTGTCAGTCTGCCATCACAGCCTCTACCTGGACGAAAGTAAGAGAACCATATTGTCATTTTTACCTGAAATGAATTTTCATATAAACAATCAATATAATCATAATTCTATTCTAGGCTTCCAATTTGGAAACGAAAATTGGATACGCATCCTTCGATGCCAATATCAAACTACGATTCAGGATCATTCCATGGGTCAACGGCCAGTCATAGGCCAACCGAAGGTACACCGGGACCATCAAGATTTGATCTACCTGAAGTGGAAGACTTTGCCCTAGGTGTTTTCTCATCCTTTGACGATATAACATATAACACGAAGCCAATTGTCAAAGCCCCGGACAAATACGGTAGCGACAAGGAACCAGAAAAGGATGGAAAAAATGATAGTTCAGAGGAAGAAGACGAAGATGATCCGGTACGTGGTAAAGAAACTGAAGTCAACTCAGAAGATGACTGGTCAACTCCAAAGGGCATTCTTCGTCCTCAAGAAATACAGCCTTCGCCATCAAAGAGAGTGCGTTTTGATTTAGAAGAGAAAGAGAACCTTGAGAAATCAAAAAACACTTTCTTAAATGACAATCCAGCAGAATCGATAAACAATCATGCAAGGATAATACGCGAGGTCCTGAAGAAGTATCCTCATCTCGTAAAGAACAACAAGAACATCCGGTTAAAGATCATGCAAAAGGAGGCAAAGTCCTCGGAACCGAGTATACCAGCAAAAACAAAAGTGTCCTATGTTGTTCTGAAGTCCGATCATCTAATGTCCGGTAATAATTCCGAAAACGAGGACTCGAAGGTTAGTAGGGGTCCTGACATTAGCGGTGAGACTGGACCCTGGAAGTGTAACAAGTGTGACCTAGAGGAGGAGTACACAAACTATTATATGTACAGAAGACACATGCAGGACGTACACGAGGAGAAGTTTGATCCACGGGTTTGCGAACACTGTGGTTACAAGGCAACTAAGCGCAACATCCTTATGTATCATCTGTACACAAAGCACGATGTGCCACCGCCGAAAAGTATGTGTTTCCCCAAGTGTCATGCCTGCTCCTACGTCGCCTTGTCGGAGACACTCCTGGTCCGACATCAAATAAATCATCATCATCGGCCGAATGACGCACGAGTTCATTCATCATCTTCGGATGAGCTTCACTGTGTCCAATGTTCCCAGACATTCCGTGACACTGCGGAACTTACATCTCACGAAATCAACACTGGACACGGTGCCGGAGGTGGAGACTCCCGTGATAAGCCACATCGTTGTCCTCATTGTGGCAAGACCTTTGTCAGGTTAACGAATCTCCATGTACACCTTGACTGCGCGCACAAGGAACTACGTGACAATGAGCCGGCTCCGGTAGCACCGATTTCTCTCGAGCCATCGTCCGAAGCTGAAGCCCTTAGCCATGTAGCCAGTGGCATCGCAGCATCTCTTGCTGTCGGAGATGCTATTCCTACGTCCGATCAACAGGAAATATCAAATGCAGAGTCGACTTTTATTATACCAGAGTGTATTGAGCTCGCTGACATCCCTCCAGGATCATCTTATAATGGACAGCAAGAAATAGATGGGCAGCAAATGATAATGCTGATAGGTAATGGTACTTATCCGCAGCAGCAAGAAGTCAGAAGTCAAGGAGAGAATGGACGAGACTCACAGGAAACCGAGGAACTTGAGGTATCTAGTAACGATCAGCTGGTTGCACAAGCTACTGAGGAAGGTATGATTGTTTATATTCATGGAACCGACGAACATGTTCAGGTTGATGATCAGCCTATGGAAATCGTTCACGAGGATGCCGAGGAAAGTGAAGAGGCTGAGGAAATTGTTGAAGAGGTTGTTGAAGAAGTGGAGGAAGAGCTTATGGAGGATGAGATTGAACAAACGACAGAGACGCTTCATGATTCCAACGGCGATCAAGTCGAGGAAGTCATTCAGTACGTCGAAGAGGAGACTGAAATTGTCGAGTACGACGAAGAACAATCTAATCAGCAAGACATTCATAATTCTGAGAATCCACAAGATTCCCAAAATTCTGGTATAATGATTTCAGAGGATGAGAACATGGTAGAGGATATCGAAGAGGAAGAAGAAGTCGCGGAAGACGATAAGGAACATCGACAGCGACAGCAGTCACGGAGACGAATTTATCGTAAGCAAGGCTCGGTAATGATTATCGAGGAGGAGGAGGAGGAGGAGGGGGAGGAGGAGGAGGAAGATGAGGATAGAGACGGCGCAGTAGAAGGTATAGTTGAAACAGAGGAAATTGAAGAAGAGGTTGAGGAAGAGGAAGAACTAGAGAAATTGGATAATGAGAATTCGGTTGAGAATAACCGGAGGAAAATTCAAAGGAAACCCGAAACCATTGCTGATGAATGGGAAGAGGAAAACGTCGTCCTCGTCGAGTCATGAATCGTTTACACTATAGTAGTTAACCTTTTACAGTTGGGTAATCGGTCTTGGTGCAAATTGTAAGTCTTATCATACTTTCTGGGATATGACTTCCAAAAGGTGTTCAAGCTCTTCCATTTATTAACGCTTCTTTGCTTTTCCCATACTACATCTTGACAAAAACTTATTGAACATTACTGTTTTAATTCTAACTTCATTGTAATTTACACTTTAACTTTAACCTCATTCGTATCTTTGCAAACTCCTTTATGCTGACTGGATTTCATATCTTACTATAAGTAATATCTGCACTTTACATTATCTTTTACTTGATTGCTTTTAATGGTAATTTTTTCTTTTCATCCAAGCACTTTGAAGTTAAAAAAGTATTTTAATTGGTTTTATCCATACTTTGTGCACAAAATCTATTGTTTGAGTTTAATTTGTTCCTGTTTCATATATGTATTCGAATCATTGTTTAGTATTTGATTGCTTGAACCTGGACGGAAGCAAGGATATCCCAATAAGAAAGGCAAAAAAGAAAATATCGACGTATATAAAACGAAATTTTGTCCATTTCGGTGTGCGTGCATGCTGGTGTGTGCGTCTGTGCGTGTGTGTTATGTATGGGAATACCTGATGGGAAATTGTAGACGATACTACTACTCTCTAAATTTATATTACATATAACTATATTAGATAAGTGTATTATACTCGGACGAATGGTTATCGCTCCGGGTCGTTAAGGTACAGCATACAGATTCGTCTACGAATTCAATATGAATTAAAAATATGATGAATATATGAGTAAAGCGAAATTTATACCCAATGAACATTTTTAGAGTGAGATTTCGTTTGCTCTGGTTATAATACACTGATTAAGGTACTAATTATACGCATAATTGTGAGGATTACATTTCGTGGGACAATCCGGATTTATGGTTCGTGAAGGAATTTCTTAGTTTTCTTAGTTTATTATAATTAGTTCAAACTGGCCTCCTCAAGTTAGAATGTTTTTATACAATATTAAATTGTGCTTCGATTGAGGAATTTGTGAACCAATTTATTCTAATGCCTAAACATAAATAATCACAGTTTAATTCTAAACTGTATCATGGGGAACGCAGTTTTTCTTTGCCCAGCATATGGTTTCTATATATGAAGAATTATAATTTGTATAAAGAAGTATAGAATATTAGATTAAATTGTTTAATTGAGAAATTAATTACATAAAAATCAATATTTTTCTTTCGGTTTGTCGCACGTGATTTTCTCTATTTCATAGATCACCCCTGTCCTGAAATCTATATTGTTATGCCCAAGGCAGTAAGGTTTACCTTTTATCATTAAAATGCTTCGAATTCAACTACACTCTGCCTACTTAATTTGTTTTCTATATTTTTTTTTTATTATATGCGTGTTTAGCTTAATTCATATAAAGGTTTTGAGATTGAGCGGGAACCATATGGAAGTATACGTCCATCCGCTAGAGGCAGCAGGCTCTATTCGTACTGTATGTAAGTAAGTTTGGTAAATATCAATCAAAAGGTTTTTGTTATAAAATAATTATTTTATTTATTGAATACATAACATACATAATATTGATATTTTTAAACAGATATAACGTATCGTAAATTGTACTGAGGACTAGGAAAATTTTAACGATTTAAGTATCTTGAGAGAGATAACAAAAAAGTTTACTTCAGTCAAAAGACAGAAAATTTCCCGGTAACCTCAGTAAACATCACGCTGTTCTGTTGAAAGATTACAGAGTATTGTGAAATTTGGAATATTTTGTAATTTGAATTAACCCTACAAGTTGTTATAAATGAGTGTGCAGAAGCGGAAGAAGAACCAATACGAAATGAATAAGAATTATCAGAAGAAGCGGAGGCAGTATGTTTTAGAACCAGGAATGACTGGTTTTCTTTGCACGTGCAACTTTCGTGAGAAAGATTGCATACGAGATGCCTATAAACTACTCAATGAATTTGCTGATGAACTTTATGGCTCTGATGAAGCTAAAGCTTCTGAGGTGAAACAAGAATCTGAGTCTGATAAACCTATGAGCGAGGATAAGGATGAAGATGATATTTCTACAGCCCTCAAAAAGGAAATCAAGGACTTGAAAACTGTTACAGAGAAATCTCCTACACAGAAACGTTTTCAAGTTAGTCTTTAGCTATATCTATTGTCAATGTAACATATATTTTTGTATTATACAAAACTTATATTTGTAGGTGATGGATACAGGAGTAAAGAATGTTGTCTTTATTAAAACTTGTCTCTCAAATCCATTGGAATTGGTTACAGCTATTATCAAGCAATTAGACAGTACCAAAGAACAACGTACTAGATTTCTTCTAAGATTGTTACCAATAGAAGTTGTCTGCAAGGCATATATGAATGATATCAAATCCAAGGCAGATATTCTGTTTGAGAAATACTTCACGCAGGACCCTAAAACTTTCAGCATTGTTTTCAAGTTAGTTAAAAATTATATAGATCACCTAATAAAATAATGATTATTTGCTAAAGACTAATATTTATACTTTAGTCGTCATAGCAACAACAGTATTGAGCGGATGAAAGTCATTGAGGAGCTTGCTAGTATAATAAGTGAAAAAAATCCAGGTAACAAGGCTGATTTGAAGAATCCTGAAGTGGCTGTTGTAGTAGAGGTGATTCGTGGTAATTGCTTGATATCTATTGCACCAAATTATTTCAAATACAAAAAGTACAATCTACTCGAACTGTGCAATCTGAAAGAGAAAGATGATAAAATAGAAGGGAAAGATGAAAATAAGCAAGAAAAAGATGATAAGGAGGATAAAGTTGAAGAAAAGCAAGAAGAAACAAATGAAGAAAAACAGGAGGAAAAGAAACCTAATAAAGAATTACAAGTTCAAAAAGATGCAAAGGTTGATAATATATTCTATATTGATTCATGATATTTCTTCAATATTTATACATTTTTATAAATTTGTTACTTATTAATAGGATAACAATAAACAGACTGAACCATTTAAACAAATAAGTGCAGCTGATGATAAGAACAGCAAGGAAGAAAAACAAATTCTCGAAGAACATGAATCCTCTCCATAAAGGAACATAAAGAGCTTGAACCTGATGCAAAATGAAGAGGGAGGCAAAAATCTTAATTCTTTGCCAATTATATTAATTGTTTTACGTTTTCTAAGTCAATTATGTCTTGAACGACATAATTTTTCTCTAATATATATTGATATATATTATTTCTAAAGAAAAGATTGACATTATTTTGTACCAGTGTATGTGCTCAAAAAGTGCATAGGCTCAAGATATAACAATAAATATTAATTATAAGCATTTGTAATTTAAAAGAGAGGAATCAGTATAAATTAATTGTTCTTCATTTTTGTAAAATTCATTAATCAATTATCAGTGACGTTTAAAAAACAAACTTCAATTACACGTAATTATAATAAGTTTTTCCCTTATCTTCTCAGAGTATTAGAAAAATGAATTTATACCCTATATCAAATTATTATTAAATAGAAAGTGCGCCACCATCAGGAACTATGAACCATCATGAGCAATGCCGTGCTATGCCTCTTCCGATAGTATTTCGAAGATGGCTGAAGGCTGATGCTGATGGCTATCATGAGATTCATGAGCTATGAGCTATGATGGTTATGAAGTTCGTTTGTTTCCCTTGGATGGTCTAATTCGAGAAAAATAAAGGTGCACATTATCAAAGATTTTTTCCTAATCAGACTAAACTCCTATGTAAGAGCTCATTATATACACAGGCGTTGTCATCAATCGATACGCTCAGGTCCACACGAATGTACAGTTGAGGTAAATACATAGAGCTTGTGACATATAACCTAGCAATCTAACAATTTGTATGCTTTTTTGTATCATGGATTGTGTAGACTATTGGATAATTGTTGATTTTACAATGAAGTATTGTTCTAGATTTGTTTTATTTTGAACCTAACATGTATACTATTTTTCAAGGATACAATTAATAATACAGAATGAGTGCCAGACTTTTGAAGGATCCAGCTACTGTTAGTAGCCGAGTGTTTGTTGGACACTTGCAGACCGAGGATATGACAAAACATGAGTTGGAGGAACATTTTGCAAAATATGGAACTGTAGTAGGATCTTTAATCAATCGTGGCTTTGGATTTGTGCAATTTGAAGAGGAACAGTCTGCTCAGAATGCTATTCAAAAAGAGAATGGTGCTATGTTTAAAGGCAGACGAATTGGTAATGAACTTCGAATGATTTTATTATTTTTTAGCAACATAGAATCTAATGTTATTTGTATGCAAATATTGGATTTCAGATGTGAGGCCAGCCAAGAAAGACAATCAGGGTAATAACAATAATAACAATAGCAATAACAGCAGTATTGCTAGTACAGCTGCCAGTGGAGATAACTCTGTAAAACAATCTGCCTCAAATAATCAGTTTAGTCCTGGAAACAATCAATTCCCTGGCGGCAATGATTCCTTTGAAAGGAACCAAAGCTTTGGAGAAGGAAATCACAACTTTGGGGGAAATAATCAGAGTTTCAGTAACGATGGTCCATTTGGAAATCAAAAGAATAGAGAAGGATCTGGGGAACAATTTGGTAGTAATAACCAGAATCGTTCTAACGAACTTTTTGGAGGACATCCAAATAGAGGTGGTGGACAGTTTTCTGGTGGACAACAGAACCAGAACCGTGGAGGTGGAGGAGGTGGAGGAGGAGGCAATGGTCCATTTGGTGGAAACCAAAATCGTCCACCAACTAATCAAAATAGAAATCAGAACAACAAAGGAGGGAACCAAAGTCAGGGTGGGAACCAAGGGGGTGGCGGTGGCGGCAATGGTGGGGGAGGTCCAGGTGGTCCTGGTGGTGGTGGTGGTGGAAGACCTCGAGGGACTCGAGGTGGGAAAAATCGAAATAAAAACAGAGAAAATGCGGGCGGAAATAACTTTAGGGATCGTAGTCCCATTAATCGAGGAAATCGGCCTGATGAAAAACCTCGTGAATGGGAACTCAATAAACCTGGTGACGTTAGACGTCAAGGAAACTTTCCTAGAGACACAACTAATAATGGAAGTAATCGTTGCTTTGATGACTACAAAGGATCTGGTGGACTCGGCAGGGATGTCAACTCTGGTTTTGGGTAGGTTTAAAATATTTAAACGAACACTTATATTGGTTAATGTGAAGTTAACAATTTTTATTATCAAGTTCAGTGAACTACTTTTACTGTGATTTATTTAATCTATTTTCCAGGTCTACAACAGGTGTTGCAGCTGGTGGAATATCCTCAGAGTATCCACCAATTGCTGCAGAAAAGAATGATTGTGAAATAATTGTTGTCAACAAATCCATTACGTAAGTTTATAAATTGTTTTTTTAAATTATTCCCTTTAAAATAACCACAGCAACATGAAGTATTTTTCTGATCTGCAGAGAGTATGCTGAGATAATTGAAATGCGCCTGAAGAAAATGGGACTGTCAGTTGATCTTCTATTCCCCAATGAAGACGTTCCATTGAATCGTGTTCTAGGAAATATAGCAAGTAGAGGATGTCTATACGCTATTGTAGTAACGCACATTAATCAAGAGCATCGTTCTCTTACCCTTAACATACTTCATGGTTTACCGCAGGGTAATAATTCTTATAATATTTACTACATAATTTCTTATAACAAAAAAATAAGCAATGCGTGCTGTTGGATTATCTTACAGAAAATTAATAATACAACTTTCATATTTTCTAGAGCACAGAAATATGCCAATCGACGACGCCATTAATCTTATATCAAGGGATTTTAGCAACTATAGATCAGGAGGACGTTCAGTTCCTTTGAACGTTCCTTTGACAGTAGATCGACATCCCGACGCTATACAAGTTCTCTTGAATATGTTAGCTGATAATCATCAGCTAACAGTATTACAATACGACAGAGTGATAAAGTATTTGGAAGTGAAACGCGAGGAGCAAGTTCAGGTGGAGTTGGGAGACACAAAGGATCTACCCACAACGACAAGTCTAACAGCTAGTGATCCTAAACAAGCCGAGCTTCAGTCCAGAATCCTGAACATTCTTAATAGCAACAAGACCGGCTCCATGGCTCCGGTACCCAGTCCTGTTCCTGCTCCAGTACCTCTACCTTCATCGACCGCCTGGGCACCAGGTATAATTACCTTGTTAAAAACAATGGACTCTCAAAGTCCTTACCCATAGCAAAGATTTGTTTAGCAGTTTCTCATTCAGGATCCGCACCGTCGAGCAGTGCCAGCAATAGCAGTAACACTATCAGCACAAGTACAGCAGGACCACCTGGTGCTACCACCAATACCAGTACCGGCGTATCTCCCTCGCCTTTATTGAACGACCCAACAGTGCAAAAAGCTTTGGACAGCCTTCTACAAGGAAACTTATTGAAAAGTATCGGAGCTCAACAGCCACCACATGCATCTACGCCATTATTTGCAGCTTTTCCGAATATCGGTCGGTTTTAAAATTGATCTCTTATCTCTAATCTATCTCTTTTATCAATTACTGGTAGCCATTAGATCTAACTTAGATTTTATTATGTATTACATTTCATGAGAACTTGGGGTTTGCTGATCCAATTATTTCTTTCTATCATTTTCTTTGATTGTACACTATTATTTGCATTTAGTGCTGTCCGGGTTAGTATATTTGCTCTTGATTAGCTGTGGGCTCTCAGGAAAGAATGAACTTACAGTATGAAGAGAAGGAAATGAACAAGATAGAATCCATTATTACGTATACAGAATATCATGCGTCTTTGTAGCAATTAGACATTAACAAATGAGCGACCAGAGATGAATAAACACCTTTCATAGGAATATAGGGATAAGCAGTGTTTTTTATTCAAGAATTATTCGCTAAGTTACATAATATCACAAGCATAGTATCCACAATCCTTTAACGCGTCTGAAAATGTAAAAGTGTATTCAATTAATACAACTGTTTCCTACTTTCTTGCTGTGCATCATATGTAATAGGTCACTAGCAAAGCATGTTTACAATAATAATGAAGTCACCAATGTCTTTCCATTAGCTACTTGGTCCTTGAAGCTTTTAAATTGTTATCCAACAAAAACAAATCATAGACTTTGCATAAGAGTATAAAATGCTTACCCAAATAATAACGCTTAAGTAACATTTTGGTAGAAGTAATATCCTCACAGGACTACATCGCTTTAGCATTCAGTATCTGAAGAACAGTCTTGACAGGTTTTATGTTGTACTGATTCTGCAGGAAGTGAAACTGAAACGGTGCTAAATGAACGATTAACTGAAGGTTTTCATTGAATGTTTTGTTGCGTATTATAGAGCCAATATGGTTGTAAAGAAGTTCTTCATAAGTTGGCCAATTATAAAGACAAACTAGACAGTAGCAATCAAAAGAGTAATCATCCTTAAGCTTCTTTTTCCTCTCTATTATTACTATATCTATGGTCTTAAGACTGTGCATCAGCTAAGAGAAGACAATTTCCACACTGTCACTGGCCACTGGAGCTTCCTTATTTGGACCGTAAACTAGTTCAGGTTCTCCTTCCTGAACTAAGTATCGAGATTTCTAAATACTTTCTATTTTTCACATTATCGTCTTGTATATTTATTCTTCAATGTCTTTGCAGGTATGTGTATTATTGTTCTCTCCAGGTACACTTTCTTGTGACTTATCTCTTTTAAGTAAGGACACTTTGAACTTTAATGTGCTTTGTATCTCTGCTAAAGTCTTGACTCTTCTATCTATCAATTTTGTACACGTTTGTCCTCAGGATACCCTAAAGCAAGGCAGGATCATTGTCTATTAAACACTCTTTGCACATTTTCATTCTGTATAAACAAGCTGATCAATTGTCATGAGCATAAGCCATTAGTTCTTGGTTATCTGCATACGCCAGACTCTTTGTACCTATAACATTCTATAGCCATATCATATCCAGTGACAAAGTATCAATTACCTAGAAGGAACATAGTGATAAGCAATTGACCATAGGTTGATAAATGAATTACTGATTTACAGATAATTTTATATTTTTTCTTCCCATTCAACTACCCTCTTCACGATAACGTATAGAATATCTTCAGAAGTCATTTCTACTTTGTAATCTAGTAGATTAAAATTCAAAACATCTTTCATAATTTGACTCATAAAGGAGCTGTTTTTATCTTTTTACGCCATGTATCATACGATAATTATATTTATCCATGAAAAAATGAATACATTGTAAGATATTCATTTCAAAAATCACTGGCAAACAGTTGAAAAACACAATCTTAAATGAAAGTATCGCAATCCCTTGAAAAGTCAATTGTCCCAAGAATGTAAACAAATTTGCCTATGCGACAGCTTTACAAATAATTGCTACCTTCTATCCTTCTCTTTCGCAGTTAAAGATATAGGTAATTAAGTAGTTGCTGGTATCAAGTTTTACTTCTTTTTACAAGAGATGAGACAACGATCAACTTCTTCCTTTACTGAACTTATTCCTCAGCAATGCAACGCATGCATGATTTTTCATACGCCACTAAATAACGAATTCACCGGAAGAATCCTGACAAGTACCAAAAATCACGTGCAAAGTATCATCTAGTCTTGTCGAACGTGCTGTTCGAATGCAAGCTTAAAAGAACTCAACCAATAGTTTGAATCTTATACTAATTCCAGTCTTACAATTGATCAAGACCCTTTATACGCTCTTGGTCGTTAAGTAGTTCGTAACAGCTTTGCATAGGAGTAACTTATTATACTTCCTTTCATTGCACCCTAGTGTAATAATATTTCCGATATAAAATTATCCCTTTGTGATCGAGTGTTGGCAAATAGCCGCCTAAGTCTTTTTACCATTGCGGACGCGTGTTGACATACAGCTGCCCAATTTAGTTTACAGCTACGGAGACGTATTATGAAACGGCTCACGTACGTCTATCGCTTCTGAACGATAAGACACGCATGGGTATAGTAGACTAAAATCAAGTTTCCTTTGAATGAAATTAGAGACCTTTAGCGATGAAGTCTTATCTTCTGTATAATGTGAACTCACGATGTGAGATGATGGTCGAATATATTTTCTTTATTGCACGCACCAATACTTCTCGTCCACAGCGACGCTCGCTTGTCGGGCTGCTCCGACCGGAAGGGGTTAACAATGCTTTAAAATACAAAGCCAATAAAACGATTATAGCCGGTTTATTTATATTTTGTTCCCGAGTGACGAATACTATTGTTCGTGGCGCAGCGATTCATATTACAATTTCTAACGAGAATTTACTATGGATCGATAATTCTGTTGCACCGCTACGTGCGAGGCCTTACTCATTAAAATCTGGACAAAATCATCTTGCCACTATCTCGTTTGTGGATTCTGGATATGAAGTAACGTAATACAAATAGATAATCCAAAAATATTTTTTTATTATAGAATATAACTCATGTAAATATAAAATTCTTTAAGATTCTGTGATCGATGGCATTCGGAAATAACCCCCCCGCCGCCCCATAACTCATCTACAGATCTGAAAAATCAAAGTTCATTGAATTAGTATACCATACATATAGTATTAGTATAACATTAGTATATCATTTTCTATTATTGCTCTTACAGTTTATACATTGTATAATTTACTAGCAAAAGCTTTTTTACAATAACAGTAGTCTTCAGTAGCTTTTTTTTTTAAATCTGCTCAATATTGTACACACTGTCATATATCATGCAAATACGATTAAATTCATTCGCATACGGTACATGAAAAATATAAAAAGTAAAACCTTTCGTCGAACTTAGAGCCTATCATGTTCAGGCCCCAACATATGATTAACTAATAGACTTTTACTTTTTATATTTCATGTAAATGCTTTTTTAAGAAGGTAATTACATTGAAATCAACTAAGTAAGTAAGAGTTCTAATATAAAACTAATGTTACCACTCTAAATAGGAGCAATTATTCCAGCTTACCCATATAGTAATTTAAGAGCAAACGTTCGAGCCCAAGAATTTCCACACACGGCTTTGTCGTATGGTCATACAATAACTTAAGACCAGCCTTAATAGATTTTATATCGTACTTATTTTTCATAAGATGTGAATAGAGTGGCTTGAAATGATTAATCAATTGATCCGAATTTCGCAAATGTACTATAGATCCTATATTAGATTGTAATATTTTTGTGTTTGTCGGCCAATTTGCATTTGAAAAAAAAACACGACGCAATTGTCATTTGTCTCCTTATTCTTGGCATATCGGCACAAGCCGGACCGTAATTACCAAATATTTGTTCACCAGGACCTATTGGACTCCGTGCTCTGGTGATCATTTTCAGACCATCAAAATGCCAAAATGTATTCGCTTCACAAGAATGATTATATAGGCTATGCACCATATAAAGCCCGTGTCCTGCATCGTATTCTCTAACATGTTGTATTTGATAAAATGAAGATTTTAATTAATGTTCATACAATAACAAGGACAAATTATATTGACTTGCTCAATGTATACGTGAAGCGAGAAAGTTTTGCATCTGCAAAATTTCTAACAGAAATTGCTTATATAAAATATATTCCATTAGATAAGATTTCCTCACGCAAAAATACATTACGGAGAAGCTCCACTTTAAACCTCATCCGCGTGAACACACGCACACATTCAGCAAGTGAGGAAGGCTCTCAGGAGGGTTGCAAAGCTATTGTGGATACTTACAGAATAGCCATTTGTACACATTATCAAAGTTCCCCTGAGCAAAAGCGCTGCGCAAAAAACAAGATCTGAAAAGATATCACCGTCCAGCAGGTTCTTCAGTAGGTATTGCTTTCCGAAGAAGTTCGTCTGTGTAGCTAATAATAACGTTGCTATCGTGCATATATTCGCATTCCCATTTATTCCATCACTTGGCAAATTTGCTATGTTAGTAGTCAAACTGAGGATTGATCGTGCACTGCTAGAATCGACTATTCCTTCATCAGTGAAACCAGCAGTCCTCTTATCTGAGACAAAAAGTAAAGGACACAATTAGACCTATAGAAAACAATTATATTAATTTATTATGTGTAATACTGAACAGAATTTCATGAAAACTTAAATTGCACTTATACACCTGTATTTGCTTCAGCAATCGCCATATCCTGTCGTAATTTCTCGATTTTTTTACCACCTTAGTCAAAGTAATTAAAAGTCGCAGAGTCTTCCTTAATACTCGCATAGACGATATGACGCCTTCTAGAGCACTCTTGCACAACACCCATATAGAACATTCTATATTGTGCACTGAATTCCAAGCAGTTTCTCGACATTCTTCTGAACAATATTGAGCAACTGGACATGCGTGACACGGGATTAAATTGTAACATCTTGATAAACAATGATGGCAATGAGTGTAAAATCTGAAAGAAAAATGTACAATTTCATAATTAGGATTTGGAATTTTGTGCTATATTTGGTAAAGTCGATTGTCGCACCAAATTGCGGATATTTTGACATATATCAAAAATGAAGAACCCATGCATTGTGTGATAAGAGGTTTTATTACCGGTTTTCATCAATCAGATACATGTAAGGTTCCTCCATTGTGATAATGTCACCAGGATTAAAATTTCTAGTGGCTACTAAATGTCTACCAAATTCCTCAGAGAAGACAATTTCCACACCATTACTGGCTGCCGGAGCTTCCTTACTTGGACCATAAAGTAATTTTGGTTGACCTTCGTCAACAACGAATCGTGGTTTCTTAATATCTTTTGTTTTTGCCATCACTATTTCATATATGTCTTCTTCAATAGGATTAAGTGGCTCGATCTCTTTGCCATTACTTTTATTATCTCTGTCCTCAGATACGCTTGTCACTGACTCATTTTTTTTTGCTGAAGACACTTCAAATGTTAATCTTTTCTGTAATTTTGTAAAAGCTTTGACTCTCCTTTCCTCCAGCTGTTTAGGTTTTTCATCAGAATACCCTAAAGATAGAGCAGCATCCACATCCATCAGACACTCTCTAAACATTTTCAGTCTGAATAATGCAGCTGACCGGTTTGCATAAGCATAAGCCATTAGTTTCTCGTTATCAGCATAGGCCAGACTCTTAGTATAATATTCTATGGCTTTTATGACATCTCCAAGAACATAACATTGATTGCCTAAATGAAACACATAGAACATAATTAGACATAATCTTAAAGCCACAACAAGTTAATTTAACATAAGGTATATCCCTGCAGTAATACAGAGTCACAGGGAAGTAGGAACGCGATTAATGACAGAGAAGAAAGAATTTCATCGCAAATATCTTGCTGAGAGTTAAGAATAATCAACCTGTGTGTACAAATGGGAGTATGTGGAAAAATACCAACAAATGCAAGAGTCGAGTATACACCTGTTATTTTATGAAAAACGTATACATGACGCATGCTTGTGCAGTAAAAAAAAACGTAGAACGCGCAAAAGAATTCCTCACTTTCGATGCACCCTATTTCATTAAGTTTCATAATAAATATTACAATATATTTCTTATGTTTTCTAACTACTCACCCTCTTTGCGATAACGCATAGAATCTTCAGAACTTTTCACTATTGCTTCGTATTTAGGTAATTTCGATTTCAACGTATCTTTCAAAATATAGTCCATGAGAGCTTCAGTTTTCTCTTGTAAACCATATCCGTGCTGTGATTTATGTTTTTTCATTAGTATTGAAAGGGATTGTAGGCTGGACATTAAAAGGATAACTGGAAAGTAAATAAAGTTCACACTATTAGTTCGTAATTGTTAGATCCATTGAAACGGAAGTACTTAGTTATTAATTGCGGTAAGAATGTTAATGAATTTGAACTGCTTAAGCAAACAACTATACATATACAGTGTTACTTTCTATTCTTCTAACTCAGTTGAGTCCTTTTCCTTTCACTGATTTCCTTCTTTTTAAGTTGTTCGAACGCGCTCGAACGCAACTGAACGCAACATACGAATTCAAAATAGACCTCGGAAGCGGATGAAGAAAGTGACAGCCGAATAAAACGAGACAACAGTATATGGGCCCATGTATGGTCCAACTCTATCTTTGTCTAACCGCGCATGCGAAATACCAACTACACATAATAGACGCACTGAACCCAATGCGCTGAAATTCTGAATAAATAAGGACAGGAGCACCTCCTATGCAGTGTTCTCTTTACATCCCGCTGATGCAGCCACTTCCTTCCTTCCTTTGCTTCCTTTCCTTACGACTGCCTCCTCAATGAGGAGATGTGCCAGTAACTGGTCCGTAAAAGTCAGGTAGGAGATAACTCGGAATCTAGGGATTTTTTTATGTCAGATTCGTGACATGTATCAACGCCTAGGTATATTTTGAACCCTGACTTGAAATTCAAACTGATTCAAACCGTTTGTCTTTTTCATATCAGAATCAGAGTTGATCAGACCGCGTCAGACATCAGATGGAAGAAGAAGAAACCGTTTGTAGTCGTTAGAAGAAAAGAAGGAAAGAATGAATATTGTTCAACATTTTACCGATTACAATCATTTTGATGTATAATTGTACTAAAGTATTCTGATCTGTTATGATAAGATAATTATAAACTTCATCAATTATGTTCTTTCAGGTAAGTACTGAATTATTTGGATTTTGTATATCACTTTAATAATATGATACTTTGTAGTGGAATAAGATTGTCTGATTGTAAAAGTAATTGCTAAAGAATCTATACAAATGAAAAATAATCTTTCACTACAAGGTATCTTATAACGATTTGCACTCTTCCAGATTAACGTGACACCTAAACAGAAGGATGTTGTTGATCATAAAAAATGTCCAAGGACGGATCCTCAATTTATTTTGGTGTTAGCACCATTTCAACCACAAACAAAGATCAAGATGGAATCTACTTTGAACGTCACCCAGAAATGTTATTTGAATATAAAAAATACAAGTAACAAACCATTAAAGGTAATCATTATTAGTTAAATAATTTCCATGTATTATTTTATTTTACTTGGCATTCGTTGTCATTGCATTATTAATATTTCATGTACCTCTAAAAGTTTTTATGAAATTAATGAATATTGGAAATTATTAATTTTACTTAACATAGGTAAGGGTTACAAAGCAACCGTCAGTCGAAAGACGCATTCTTCTGGATTGCTTGGAACTTCATATCAAAGCTGAAAACTCGGTACCTTTGATTATATCATGGACCCCCAATGTAGTTGGCTCATGGAGAGATATTATACAATTGACTGATAATCGACGTATCAAATACGATGTGGCGATTATAACAACATGTGTGGATTCTAGAAAGCTTAAGGTAACAAATCGCAATGGTTCCGAACAACAGACCTTTAATTTGCCAACAATTAGTATAAATCAACCTTCCAAGCGATTAAGGTCAAATTCAATACCAGAAATGGAAAACAAGGAAAATATTTGTAAAAATTCAAAAGCTATCTACTCAACGCCTATCTCCAAGAAAAGTACTGGTCATGATTTCTCTGTAATTATGGAGTCCAGTACCTTCAAATTTACACCACTGGGCTCTACAGTAAACAAGCTGCCTGAAATAAAAGTAACAAGTCCTGGAGATCTTGAATTCTCTACAAAAGAAGTAATAATAACTTCGCCTGTAGCGACTAAACCTCTACGCAGAGAAACTTATGTGACAGCACCGAAGAGGCCTCCTCCAGAGGATGAATGTCCAGAATTTGAAGATTCCCTCTCACCAAAACCCAGTGACCAGCAGCAACCTGGATTCTCTATACTAATTAATGAAATGAATTTCACTTCCTCAAGCACTCCTCTTGGATTACAAGAAAGCAGTCGTCGATCAAGTTCATTAAGAGGAGAATCAAAAAATACCACTCCAATTCCTGGTGGAAACAATTCAACTTTTAACATTTCTGTTGTAAAGTCCTCAGAGTGTTCTAATTTATCGTGTACTGAGAATGAAACTTTTGAAGTTTCTGGGACCACCTCTGGCTTCAATTTACAAAAAATTAGACCAATACGACTCTCCAGGAACTTTGCTATGATTTCTCCAGTTGTTCCTGTTGCCACTTCGTCTCGAGGAGCCAGTTGTGCAATTTCTCCGTTACATCCAACAACGAATTACGAATTGTCTTCAACCAGGAACGAATCTCTTCAAATTCCCATAAAACTTTCAGAATCTGTAAGTGCTCAGGAAGTTCTAGAAGCGGATCTGTGGGTAAAACCAGGAATATCACATAGCAAACTAGGATCTCAGAATCTGGAGGTGATTGCAGAAGAATGGTCGAATGTGGGAAAAAATAAAGCGTACTGTAAAAAAAAAATCTTGGAAATTTCACCACCTCGACGAGCAAGTTTTGGAAAACAAACTATACATAAAATCTTACCAAAAAACGGTTCCAAGATTACCAAAGAGAAAACTGGTATGGACACACTGAAGAAGTCTTCGCAGATGAAGTCTTCTATAAAGAACAGCAACAATGTTTCCATCCCTGGTGTAAGAATGAAAAGATTATCTTTAGCTGATATAACGAAAAAGAAGACTCACAATACATCAACAAGAAATTTAATTGCTGAAGTCAGTGTTAAGCTTCATGATCCGAATGAATTCCTTACTAAATTTTGTAATCCTGATCCTTTTGCTGCTACAACAACAGAAGACCCATTCTTGGCAAGTACACTCTACTACGATGCGAAATGGGTCTACCAGCAAGAAGTGGAGTTCAAGAAATGGCTAAACGCTCTGCTAACTCCACCAGAACATTTGGCTGTAGATATGGAGGCAAGTTGTATGGACGTAGGGAAAGTGTGGCAGTCATGTAGACTGAAGGAGGACGTCACCCTGGCTGAAACACGAGAAGCGGTTTCAGCAAGATACCATACAAATACAAGACTGAATACTTTGCGCAAAGCTGCTTGTGCTATGTTCCGCAGTAAAGAAGTGTCAACAATATTGTCTAAGGTGACAGTATGCATTGAAAAGGGGATCCTCGTTATTCGCCAGGATCGCGATTTACATAGGGATATTGGTCTACAGAAAGAAATCCTAGAACTCTTTCTGTCTTATAATCCTTTGTGGTTGCGAATCGGTCTAGAGGCCGTCTACGGGGAGACAATTCCTCTGCACTCGAACAACGACATAGTTGGTCTATCTAGATTTCTGTTGTCGAGGTTCTTCTCCGATCCGTTCTTGGTAAAAAATCATAGTCATCCAGCTGTGATTAATTTGAAATTGCCAAGATTTACACCGCTGATGAATAAATTCATGCTCTCGAAATTCCTCTTGGTAGTGTACTTCCTGGACTATGCTAAGACGAATAAATTAATTGGTCATGATCCTTGCCTCTTTCACAAGAAAGCCGTGCACAAGGATAGCAGGTCCATCATCTTGACTTTCTCGAGGGAATTACTGAGTGGTATAGGGGATGTTACGAAGGTTCTCAGATCCTACGGTTACGTTGTCAGTCATAAGCAAACCTACCTGGATGAATACAATTATGCTATTGTCGACCTGGCTACTGCACTTCGTGATGGGGTACGACTTTGCCGAGTTATGGAATTAATAACTGGAAAGCGTAACTTGACATGTAAATGCAGAGTCCCTGCAATCTCAAGGTTGCAAAAGGTGCATAACGTGGACTTAGCACTGACCACTTTGAAGAATTCAGGATACGTCCTAACCGGAGATATCGACGCCAAGAGTATCGCAGATGGACACCGTGAGAAGACTTTATCCTTGCTATGGCAAATAATCAACAAATTCCAGGCACCAAGATTCCATAAAGCAGCTATCACCATACAAAAGTGGTGGAAAGCTAAGCTGTGGTATGTCCGGGTGAAAAATTTCCTTAGGAACAGAATGAACAAGGCAGCGATGATTATTTTAGGTGCTTGGAGAAGATACTTGGCCAGAAGAGTTTTAGCTAAACTCAAGCAAGACTTCATTGTCGAATTTCAAAGGAGAAATACAGCGGCAACTGTGATTCAAAGACATTGGAAACGTAGACAAGAAATAATTAAGGTTCGAAATAACTTCCTGAAGACGATGACTGGGATTGTTCGTATTCAGAGATGGTGGAGAACGCAAAGGGATACCAGAAACTTTGTTAGGGAATTCAAAAGAAAACGAGAAGCTGCTATTGTAATACAGAAGAGATGGAAAGAAACTCTTTTAACCAGGATGCTCCGTAAGAGGTTCCTTGATACACGTGCTGCTGCATTGAGGATTCAAAGGTTTTGGAGAAACAGATGCCTCGGTAAGGCAACTCAAGTAGAATATCAAAGAACCAGGAATGCGATCGTCCTTATTCAATCCAAGTGGAGAGCTACATTATTGATGAGAATTCAGTCTGAGAGTTATCAGCAAAAGAGAGAAGCTGCTGAACTAATTCAAATTTGGTGGAGAAGTATTCTTGAGGCACGACGAGGCCGAGATGAGTTCCTCTTGAAGAAGATGTCCGTAAGGATCATAGAGTCGTGGTGGAAGAAAATGAAGAGCATTCGAAGACGCAGAGAAGCATTCCATCTAAAACTTAAAAGGACCATCACCATTCAACGTGCTTGGAGAAACTTTTATCAAACTAGGAATGATGTGCAACAATTAAAAAAAGCTAAGCAAGCATGCACAGTGATACAGAGCTGGTGGAGAATGGTGCTTGTCTGCAGGCAATTGAAGCTCAAGAAGCAGAAGTGTATAGTAATTCAACAGTGGTGGAGGAGCATCACCTTAACACAGTCAATCCGTACTGAATTCCTCATGAAGAGATCTGCTGCCTTAATAATTCAACGGAATTGGAGAATGCACAGAGATATGAAGACCTTCCTCAAGAGTAAATGGGCTGTACTGACAGTAGAGTCCTGGTACTCAAACTTAAAAAAATCTCGGGATGTTCGTCAGGACTTCCTAAGAAGGAAATCAGCAGCTGCAGTAATACAAAGATACTGGCGAGCTTTTAAAATATCAAAAACGCAGAGAAATGAATATCTTAAACAGCGCCATGCAGTGATAAAAATCCAAAGGCTATGGCGCTCGAAGATACTCACTAGGAATCTAAGGAAGCTCTTCCTGGAGAAGAAAGCCGTAGCTATTCGTATACAGTCGTATTGGAGAATGATTATACAGCAGAGACGCTTCACAAAACTCTTCAAAGAATATGAGGCAGCCAAAGTAATTCAAAATAAATGGCGAGCGACACTGTACGCCAGGCAAGTTCGAAATGAGTTCCTGGAGTATCGCAAAGCTGTGGTTCTAGTTCAAGCATCCTGGAGAAGAGACAGAGTGCGTAGAGAATATTTGCGAGAGAAACAAGCAGTTTTAACTATTGAAAGACATTGGACTAAAGTTTTATTAGCAAGACGAACAAAGCAACGATTGTTAGTTATCAAACGAGCCGTCCCGATCATAGAATCCTGGTGGAAAAAGGTGCTCGAGATGAAAAAAATCAAAAGTGCAGAGGCAAGGGTACGCTGGGTAAAAATACAAGCTGCTATTAAAATTCAAGCTACCTGGCGCGGTTATAAACTTCGCAAGGCTCAGCAAGGCACGGCAATAGCACTTGTACGTGAACGCTTTAAGTTGGCGACGGAACAAGCGACACCGTTGGCTTCCCTCTCCAACAGATTACAGGATGCTATTGAACTTTTACAAACCTGGAATAATCTGGGATGTCTTTTAATGTGCCTTAGTGCATTAGGTAAAGATCCTGCGTTTCTAGTACAATTTACGATCTCTCTTACTACATATTATTAATAACTGTTGTACCTTTTTCTTTATTCAGATACAATAACTCGAATTTTACCTGAGGCTTGCGAAGTCATTTGTGAAAGACAAATGGTCGATGAAGTTTATCTAACTTTGTATCACTGTAATAGATCTGTACCATGGATGGAGATCTGTCTACGATCCACAAGTATCCTGCTGAATTTAGCCAAATATCAAAAGTCAAGGCCTTATGTAATTAAGGTAATAGAAAAGACATCTTAAACAGGAACTGCCTAGTTGTACATTATCGAAAGAATAATACTCATTTCTTATAACAGATCGAATACACAGAAATTATGGCCAGACTGATGACTGTTGCAATAGAAAAGAATGTTTCTCTATTTTTACATTTAGCTACTTTCTTTTGGCTCCTTTTAGAGGAACATGAATTTGCACAGGTAATTAATACAATCGTCTATTTATATTATGATATATGATTTATTATCATTGATTCATTATTTGTACCACAGGCAGTGATTTCCTGCAAGAAGACAGTCTGGCTATTGAATTCCTTACAAACGGTGGCCAATAAAAAGAAATGCAAAATGTCCGCAGTCGGTATGAAAACGGGAAAAGAATCGTTGATGTTGCTGCCGAGTAATATATCAGACTGGGGATTAAAATCTGCTCGGCCACGTCTATTTACCAGCATTCACCATGCAGTCTCAGCTATACTAATACGTCTAAAGACAAGAAACGAATAAAGATAATAATAATAGTAGTTGATGGAATGATATTTTAATGAGATAACAAGTGATTCATGTTTTTTATTAATACTTTTATTGCAATAAATATAATAAACAGTAATCATTGTTTTGGCGTTACACTTTTTTTTCTTCATTAACAGTCAATTCTATACATATACGTGGGGATTATGATAATTTTTTCTTTAGGATAAAACGAAGCGAATGTTTACCGATATATTTGATACGCATACGGGATAATCTGTAATATTGTGTAAAAACATAGTGAAGCAGCTGCAAGAAATTTATTTAATTATATTTATTGAACAGTTGCCAAAGCTTCTATGATATATGCTAAGATTTTTAGATCAAATTTAACACAGAGAAGCATTCCATCTAAAACTTAAAAGCACCATCACCATTCAACGTGCTTGGAGAAACTTCTATCAAACTAGGTAAGATGTTCAACAATTAAAAAGAGCTAAGCATGCATGCACAGTGATACAGAGCTAGTGGAGAATGGTGCTTATCTGCAGGGAATTGAAGCTCAAGAAGCAGAAATGTCTAGTAATTCAACAGTGGTGGAGGAGCATCACCTAAACACAGTCAATCTGTACTGAATTCCTCATGAAGAGATCTGCTGCCTTAATAATTCAAAGGAATTGAAGAATATACAGAGACAGGAAGACCTTCCTGAAGAGTAAATCGACTGTACTGACAGTAGAGTCCTGGTACTCAAACCTAAAGAAATCTCGGGATGTTCGTCAAGACTTCCTAAGAAGAAAATCCTTCCTTCCTTTCCTTTTGGCTGTATCCCCAATGGGGGACATGTGCCAGTAACTAGTCCTAATAATCAAGGATTGGAAGTTCGACACTAGATGGCGATGTACCTTGCGAGACGGGCCTTATTCAACTCAGCGTGAGGGGACCTACAAAGTTTATACACCGAATCCGAACAGTGTTGGGCGAAATCCGTATAAATACTCACTTAAGTTTTCATATGAAAACCCATTGGTGAATGCCGCTGGAAGCTGGGCGCGAACCTCCAACCTTTCGGTCGTGAATCCGCTACCCTATCCACTGGGCTACGGCCGCCCTAAGTTAGCTACAGTAATACAAAGATACTGTCGAGGTTTTAAAATATCAAAAACGCAGAGAAATGAATATGTAATGAATAGAAATGAATATCATATGAATATCTATATGAAATATGATGGAACTTATGTAACAATATTAAGTTAAGAAGTAGATTGCCGTATGCATATTGAAATATGATCGCGTATAAATATCAATCATAAACAAATGCCGTCATTTACGGCGCCAGTATTCATCATATGATTTCTTTGTTACGCATTATACGTTAGCGCATAATTTATCAGAATATTTTAATAATAATTATACTCGTAATAATCTTACAGATGTATACAAAAATCAATTGATTTGTTCGAAAAAGTCAATTTGGTGGAACATCCATTGAAATGATAGTCAAATTAAGTTGATATCAGTGGCGCCATCTCTGCAATACCTATTGAAACTACTTTAACGATGTCTGCAAAAGGTACAAAAAATGGAAAACAGTCGGATCGTTATCTTAATAAAATTATAAAAATTAAATTATTATAAATTAATATGTATATTAAGGGCGGCCGTAGCCCAGTGGATAGGGTAGCGGATTCACGACCGAAAGGTTGGAGGTTCGCGCCCAGCTTCCAGCGGCATTCACCAATGGGTTTTCATATGAAAACTTAAGTGAGTATTTATACGGATTTCGCCCAACACTGTTCGGATTCGGTGTATAAACTTTGTAGGTCCCCTCACGCTGAGTTGAATAAGGCCCGTCTCGCAAGGTACATCGCCATCTAGTGTCGAACTTCCAATCCTTGATTATTAGGACTAGTTACTGGCACATGTCCCCCATTGGGGATACAGCCAAAAGGAAAGGAAGGAAGGAATATGTATATTAAAAATTAACAATTTCTCTATTCACTATGTAAAACTGCTTGCAGAACTTGAACGATAGGTATATATAAAACAATATGCATATATAAAATAAAAAGAATATAACGTAAGAATATTTTACAGAAAATGAACTACATTTACAAAACTATGTATATTATATCTGTAACTATGTCTTTACTTTCTACTTTGTTTAATTGTAATATAAAACATTCAATAGAAGTTTCTTATCTTTTGCAATTTCTCTTAGGTAATTGGAAGACAGTATATTGTCTCTAAATCGACTTAATATTTTTACGTAACTTGTCTATGAATACATGAAATCTACAAGATTTTGACAGAAAATACGCCAGCCTTCTAAAGGATAAAAGTCGTATAGCTACTCAAATATTTGTCTCACTCTATTTTCATAAACGGGACCAAAATGCATATTTGAAGTATCATAGAGAGCAACTGGAATCGAAGTTGCATTAAAGGGATGTTCGAAAAAAGACTTATAAAAAGAAAAAGGATGGAAAGAGTATGAATCCCAAAATCAACGGTCTACCCCTACGACCTCACCACTGACCACACAGGTTCGGCTTCACCCACACAAGTACTCAAGGGTCTTACAGCGTTTTCAGGAAAACGAACAAAATTTACTACATCGCGAAAAATAGAGTCCTGTACTTGGTATAACTTTTTTCCATGTAAGGGTTTTTTGGGGGTTACAGATACACAAATCGGTTTGTGTTGTGGATGGGAAAAGTAATATTAAACCGTCAGAAAGGCATCAATGATGGGCAATATACAAGCTACATAAAGTAGTAAATTCCATACGAATGCCGAATTCGAGCAAATACAGGAAGATAATAGGTGACGAATATAGTCCACTCACGACACAAGAAGAGTTAAGTTCTAATTTGTCTTTTTTATTTAATAATTATTTTATAGGCTACATACTAACACAATGAGGTACCCATTATTCTTCTATAGATCTGAAAAATCAAAAGTGTTCAATTAGTTTAACTAATTGTTTCCTGCATACTTGATCGCATCGATGAATTCTATTACAACTCACGTGCTCAGTGCATTATACAAGTCACTATAGCGAAAGCCTTTTTACAATAATAGCAAAGACTTCAGTGTTGGTTAACTAACTGAAAGTGCTTAAAGCTTTTACATTATTAGTCAGCCAAACAAAATTAAGTTTGAAGCGGTAATCTTTAGTATGATTTATGCATATCTATATGGATGAGTGCACACTCGACCAAATGTACCATATGTGCTATATATCTAGTACCATATATAATTTGGTGAAAGCGCAGCAAATGATGAGTAAGCTTGAGATTCCTCCATTAGGTAAAAAGCATGATACAAAACAAATGGTACACCCTATATAGGAGAAATTATTTCAATTTACCTAAGTAGTAACTCTTGATATACTGCAGACCATGAATAAGTTCCTCGCAAGGTTTTGTCACTTCACCATGCAGTATCCGAAGGATAGCCTTAACAGCTTCTATATCATACTTGTTCTCCAGGAGACGTTTCTTCAATGGTTTTATACGCTCAACCAATTCTTTGTTTTTTGCTATTGAGCCTATGTGATTCTTAAGAATATCTTTATACGTTGGCCAATCTCCTAGACAACCTGGGCATTCACAGTCGAAGAAATATTCTTCCATAAGCTTTTTTTTTCTTTCCTCTTTCGGCAAGTAAGCACAATCAGCACCATAGCAAGCAAATATTTGTTCACCAGGGTGTATCGGTTCCAAAACTCTGGTGATCATTGTCAGTCCTTCGAAGTGCCTGAATGTATTTGGTGCACAGGAATGATTGTACAGGCTATGTACTACATAAAGACCAGAGCCTGACTTGATTGATGGTTCTTGTTGTATCTGACAAAATGAAAATCTTCATTAATATTAAATTAACAACCATGCCACCTGGTCCTCAGATTTCTGTAATTCTTAATCGGTAACAGAACTATAGAACCATAGTGCATCCTTACAGAAAAGCAATTCGAAGACATTATCACACTAGCCCTGAGCATAATTGATCCACAAAAAGTAAGATCCGCAAAAATATCACTGTTCGCCAGATTCTCCATCAAATATCGTTTCCCAAAAAAGGTTGTCTGAGTAGCTAACAATACTCCAGTCAATGCAGATATACAAGCAAATGCACTTATTCCAATAAGTGGCCGTCCTGTCATATTAGTAGCCAGACTAAGGGCTGACCGAGCACTGGCAGTATCTAATATTCCTTCATCAGTGAAACCAGCAGTCCTATCATCTAGTAAATAAAAGTTATAAATCTGACTCATGAAAAATAAAATTATAATAAATTATGATTTCCAATGGTACCAGAGGAAGTAAGAAATTCAACTAGGCTGAATACCTTTGTTCGATTCAGCAATTTTCATATCCTGACGTAATTCTGCGATTGCTTTACCACCATTAGTTACATTAATTAAAAGCCTTAATACTTTCATCAACATTCTTATCTTGTCCTTATCAACACCTAGTAGACTGTTAAGTAAAGCCAGTATAGAACATTCTATATGATGCACTGAACTCCAAGCCGCCTTGCGACATTCTTCTGAGCAATATTGAGCGACAGGACATACGATACATGGGATTAAATTGTAGCTTCTAGTTAAACAATGATGGCAGTGAGTGTAGAATCTAAAAAAAGGCCTGTGATAATGTAATCATGTATGGATATATGATATTCCATGTCTTATATGAATATTAACATGAAACTGATATATCCTATGCGTTATATGATAACAAATCTTATTACCTTTCCTGATAAATCACGCATGCGTAAGGTTTCTCAATGGTGATAACATCACCAGGATTAAAATCTCTTGTAGCTATAAAATGTCTACCGAATTTTTCAGAGAAGGCAATTTCCACACCATCGCTGGCCACTGGAGCTTCTTTACTTGAACCATAAACTAGTTTAACGTGTCCTTCGTCAGCCAAATATCTTGGTTCCTTGCTATTTCCTGTTTTTGCTGTTGTAGCTTCCATAGAAGTAGAATTGATGTTTCCATTTTTGATGATTTCATTATCCTTAGGAGGAACATCTATCTTTTCTTCGGTTGGTTTTATCAGCTTGAATTTCTTACTGTTATTTTTATTGTCTTTCTCCCCAAATATACTTCCCAGTGTATTATCTTCTTCTGGTAAAAAATTTTCGATTTCTAATCTCTTCTGTATCTCTGCTAGTGCCTTTACTCCCCTTTCCGTTAGCTTCTGACGTTTCTCCTCAGGATACCCTAAGGATAGAGCAGTGTCCACGTCTATCAAACACTCTTTGAACATTTGCTTTCTGTATAAAGCTGCTGAGCGATTTGCGTGAGCATAAGCCATTAGTTCCTGATTATCTGCATAAGCCAGACTCTTTGTATAAGATTCTATGGCTTCTGTGTCGTCGCCAGAGACAAAGTGCTGATTACCTAGATACAATGTAGTGATAAATAATTAAATGTTAATTTATAAGTGTATTAAGTAATTAGATAAGTATATCTTGTTTCCGGTTATTCACCCTCTTCACGATAACATATAGAGTCCTCAGAGTTTTTCATCTCTGCTTCAAATTCTGGTAGCTTAGAGTTTGACATATTTTTCAAAATATGACCCATAAGAGCTTCGCTTTCTTTTTGTAAACCATACCCTACATGGGACTTATTATTTTCCTTTAGCAGCAAGATTAGTCTTTTGGTGTCCATTTGTAGAGTCACTGGAGAACAGTTAAAGAATTAATTTGGAATGTTTAGATCCTGCGAAATGTTAGCAATTATCTTATGAATGTTAATGAACTCGCTTGTTCTAAGTTTGTCTACGGAGATGGCTTTTCAAATAGTATTACCTCTTTCTTTTTTTATAGAAAATACCTCCTTTTCTCTTACTGGCGGAGATGTATTTATGTCTGCCGGTATTCAGTTTTTTTGCTCCGTTCAAGAGACACTGTATGTCGACTTCCTACGTCCAGGCAACGACAGTTCGGGTGCTGCTTCCTCGCTTACAAACGGAGCTACACTAAATTGGCAGTGCCGTATTGTTTGCTCCATGCACTAAGAAGAAGGATGGCTAGGCGGCCGGACGAATAGAATAGAAAAGCTACGAAGTGAAACTAAAATTACCTTGTGCAAGGATGGTGGAAGGCGGAAGGTGAATGGTAGATGATAGTAGCAATGTCGGATAACAGAAATATACAGTTGATTGTCTTTAAGAGAAGGAATTAATAATATTCGCAATTCTGAATTTAAAAAAAAATTATCCCTTTTTTTTTAGAAACTAGCTATACTTATGTTTAAAACTGTTACATCACAGCAATAAGATTGTAGAAAAATTAATTATTAATGAAGTTTAATAATTAACTTTTGGTTTATTTTAATTTTATCGCTTTCAATTATTATTGCTCGCAGATCTCCGTTATTTGGAGTATATATATAACTGTCTTTTGTCAAAAGAGCTAAAGTTTTAAATGGTCTAGGGAACCCAGAACTAGATCACAGTTACTAGTTTCATGTTTTTTTTTTCCTAACTCATAATTCTCTAAGTCGATATATTTAGTTGTGACTGAGTCATTGAACAACCTATTTTTGCAAAAGAGACACGTGTATCTAGTAAGTAGTTGCTACTAGTGAGATGGTTTAGTTTATTAAGATTTACTTAAATAGTTGTTATACACATGTCCTGCTGGCGAATTGCTGAAGATTTTTTTATCTAATAATGTATCTCAAGTTACTCTTAGACGAAAGCTTCGAAACAATTTGGCAAGCTTTCAAATACTGGTGCAGCATTTAGCAGAGGCCATTATACGCCCAAAGGGAATTTATTCTATTTTCATGTGATACTATTGATAGATCATTATACACTTGTTAATGCTATATTCTGAATTGTTGATAGATAGTAATTATTCGAGTTTTTAAAAATATTTTTTGGAAAATACATAAAAGAATTGATATACTGCCTATTTTTCAAAAGTGAAATTTATTGATAATCTTTATGATAAAGAAGCATGTTATACAAGGTAGCATTTACAGATACCAATAACAACAAGTATGAACTATTATCAGTGACTGGAATTAACTTATAATACAAAATTGGGAAGAAACAACCTTGGTAAACGTTCTTCTTAAGATTACTTCTCTTCGATCAGGTTTTATAAAAAATGAAAATGTATTATTTTCTTGCATTCAGAAAATTGTTATATCACTCTTCCTCAGCTTCTAAATTGATATGACTACCAAACTTTGCATAAAGCTGAGTCTTTAATTCACTCATCAGCACTTTTAAATCGGCACATTTACTTTCAAGAATCATAATCTCGGCCTTCTTTTTCTCTTTTGCCTCTTCTAAACATTTCTATAAAATATTATTATAGGATTTCAATATACTATTGTATTAAGAAAGTAATACAAAGTTTTAATGACTGTTACAAATTACCTGCGTTTTTTCAAGATCTTGCTCGACAAAGATTTCTCCAATGTGATAAGGAATTTTCACATCATCATCCAATAGAGATAACTCATCGCAAGCATCTTCTAAGCTTTTAATGTCATTCTATAAAAACGTCATTTATACATGGGTAGAATAAATGACTTCCTTAGATCATCTGTATAAGTGACCATATATGGTCACAAAGAAGAACATTCCAGAATATAAATTACCTGTTTTATTTTGAGTTCCTCCTTATAGTCCTCGAGTTTCGCGTTTTGTCTTGCAAATTTATTAATTTTTTGTTGATCTTCATAAGTTATATGAACATCAGAGTCCTATGATTTTTTAAACATATAGGTTATTCACAAACACATTAATTATATAAATATAATTTGTAATTAAACTTACTGGTTGGAAACCACCTTGTGCATTTTTACCACCAGCCATACTTTACAATTATAGATTCTTTTTAATTATTATAACAATTCATATAAGATTCCTGCAGATAAAATAAATTAATCCACTGCATGCGTAAAAAAATGTAAGTTCAGTTTCAAATTTATCTCTCGAGAGGGCAGGGCAAATCAGAAAATATATACAACGTCATCTTTGCAGCATTCCTTCAAACCACATGAAATCCTACAACTGATATAGCAGTGATTTAAGAAATCGTTCAAAGTCATTACCACGAAGAAATAACTAATAGAATTTCATCATTAAAATCTCACGAAATCTGTAAGTTTCTTTATTCATTGTATATACAAAAAATAATATACTGCTTCCTGTCTTCAAACATAAACTTACAGTCTTAAGGTTACCTAACAGTTTCAAGGTTTATCGCACAGGTGGCGCCAAACGCACCACCAAGGAATACTACCAGCCCTTTTATGGATCCCGAGCCCCGAGCTTATTATACAATACACGCATCATGTAAATTTCAGATCAGAGACAAGTACAGAAAAATATTTCATTACAGAATACAACCTATACAAGTATGAAATTCTGCACGATACCCAGGAGACAGGACAATGAATTCCACACGCACTTCCCTACACGTCATACTTCAATCTTCCCCAAATATTCCCATGGGTCTGAGAGTGTTCCCACGTTGCCAGTAACTCGAGGAAGGCGCACGTGGGCGCATATGACCCACCCGGAAGGCTATACGGCTGCAGCGTCGGATCAATAACCGTAGATTCGTTGAGTTAGCACACCCCTAGAACACCCTCGAGCAATAACGTCGACTTCTCAGAATATGGAGAATCAAGTAATCCTTATAAACTTAGAAAAGAACCGAATACATCTTGAAATAGCTGTAAAATTATATGTCAGAGTAAGCAAAAAGTATAGCATCAACACGAACGTTATACTTTCTCTCATCAAACACTTTCCAAGTAAAATTATAGACTAGTTGGTGACGGGGATGCCAATGATAAGTAAACTAGTCATAAGTTTTATTTATGGACATAACGTCTCTCTTTATTTTACTGGCTGAACATGCGCGCTGTCCTTCCTGAAGGGAGTTAACGCGCTCATCATACCATATCATCATCGCGTCTAATTATCGCGTATTTACAGCCTTTCAGTCTTGGCGAATATACAATAGTTATGCTCCCTCTCGTCGCCTGCAACCCTCTACTCTATATATATATATATATATATATATATCCACTCTTCACTATCTCGTCACTTCATCCCTTTCGCACGCACGCATACACACACGCATAAAGAAATAAAACAATAACGTAATCCAGTGATAACAAATATAATAATAATAATAATAATAATAATAGTAATAGAGTTCGGGAGTAAAGAGCGGCGGCATAATAATTCTTACAGTAACCAAGTCCATAATGATACCAATTCGTTCTTTTTTATAGAATCTATATACAAGCGTGAAGTAAATAATTATATAATTTTTGTTCTCCTATCAGATGGAACTAGGCGTCTTCCTCACAATGGACAACTATGGCGTCGAACGGAGGAAGAGATATTCAATCGGAGACTACAAGAAGAGATGGATGTAAAAATCATGGTTAAGCGGAAGAGAGGATGAATAGAGGAGGGACAGGAGGGGGATACAAGGGTTAACAGAATATGAAGGGAAAAGGTGACGGAGTTCCTGATGCTTAAGGAATGCGATGAGTCTTTTGCTATATATACAATATTTACAGAAACGATAGAAGAGAATGGCCAGGCCGATATACGGTACACGGCTAGGCTATAGGGGATGATTGTGTGTTCGACAACCCCGAGGACGTATCCTGCATCGTCGGTCACCGTTCAACGAGGGTGCTTCTAGATGAGCCTGCTGTTGACGCAGACGCCGTCGGCGTCGACGTCGCCATGGGCATCGCCCTCATCGATGTCGCCATTGTTTCTTTAGTGTTTCTGCTGGTAATGCTATCAGTATTATTACTGTTTACTGTGCTACCAGGAGTTCCGGGGTTGTTGACGACGGTGCTAGGACTCCCAGTGACAGAGCCAATGGTGACAGTCGTGGCGGCGACATTGAGAAGTGGCTGAAGCGGTTGCCTCGAGGATGACTTACTGGTGCCAGTTGACTCCTGGACGTTGGTCTCCTCCAGGGTGCTCTGCAGATCACATATGTACTCGATGACCCTCTGGATAACTTCAAGCTTCGACAGCTTCCTCTTCCTGGGCATGTCTGGCACCAGGCTACGCAACTTTGTCAGGTAGGCTGCAACTTCCTCGGCCTCCAGGTCTCGTCTCGTGCCATTTATTCCTAATCCGTTGTGCAGTACACCACGACTCGGAGGTACCCTGCCTCCCACGGGACTCACCACCATCGCCTTCATAATGATTCTCTCGGCGCTTGCACCACTCTCTTCTCCCTCTGAGGCTTCTCCTCTTATCGATCGTCCGTCCAGTGCTTTAGCGGCTCTGCTCTTCTCTCTTCACTCTTCCGCCCCGACGCTTCACCCCTCGCCACGACACAGCCCTTGCCCGAGCCCCAGCCCCAACACCAGACTCAGCCTTCTATTTCGCCTTAAACTTTGGTGCAATCAAACACGGTATATCAGTCTCCTCGATTTTTCCTTAGTTTTCCTCACTAGCACAGCTTCTTCCAGTTAACCAGCATTTATTCCGTACACTTCCCGTTGAATTTTATTTTATAAACTTGACAGACCCCACCTTGTTGATTCGACCGTACAAGGCTCACGCACTACTGCATATGCGCAGCTTTCTTATTTTTTATTTTTTTACTACTGGTAAAAGCCGTCTTTAGGATGGCTGCGTCATTGCTCATCAACTTCCTCCTTCATTCCCTGCTGTCTCCTCGTTTCATCCAGGTCGACGAGAAACTTCGGAGATGCCACACAGAACGGAATTCCAAGTGACCTGGGAATAACAGGCACTGGTTTTCGTTGGAAGAAGTGAATGAATGAAAGAAGGAAGAGAAGTAGAAAAAATATTCGACTGTCACCACTGCTACTGGGGGATCGAAGTCAACTGGTCTCCGCCCCTCACTCTCGTCAATTTATAACCGTCGCTAGATTCCCCCACCATCCCGTCACCGGTGCTACGGCGCAATCGCTGCGAGAGAATAAGCCGTGAGTAACAGAACTAAACCACTATCGAGTAACCTCCTCGTGAACAAATTCGTACAATTATCCTGATTTCATTATCACTTTTCTTCCATCTGACTCCCGATGACTTTCCATGAATCTGGATAAGGAACGGAGTAATAATCTCTAAAGTAAGTATATTCATATACATAAATAGAGTGACAAATACATCATCACAATTTTTTCTTACTTTCCTTAGACCCTGCCATTATTTCACCCAGTCACCTCACTCAAACCCATCACTAGTCTCGAGGGTGTTTGAGAAGCAGGACTCTCGGCGAGTTGCGCGAACGTAGACGAGGAGTGAAAGAGGAGAAACAGAAAGAGAAGCGAAGCGAGGGGAAAGGAGGAAAGGCCATTGTTGAACGTCCGCCGGCGCCAGCCACTAGCCATCACGGCTACCACCACTACAACCATCAGCGTCACCATCACCATCAACATCGGTTCCACTATCATTTATAATACAGTGGGAGAACTGGAAGCACTGAAAGCAACAAGAACATCAATGCCAATCTCAAATGATTTCGGATTTCGAATCTGTACTGGGTCTAGCCGATCCTTGAATCATCGCGAGACACGTACCTCGAGCCCATTAACACCTGGCAGATGTCCTTTAGAGTATGACGGAACGAAATTTCCCCAGCTATCAAGCAGATGATCGTTACAAAGAATCACAGGATGGACGATGGACGAGCTGACCTCGTTTATGAACTCTATGAGAATCACGGTTTCTCTCTGAACTGTCATATCTAGAGCGTAAAGGCGCACCTGCAAGAGGTAACTTCGTTACGTTCCTCGTACCAGACATCCAAGCTGCTTCACTATGCCTGAATGATAAATAGTACATATAGTATAACTGGGCACAACTAGCCACAACCGGGCGGCTTAAACGACACAGTTTCTATATCAACGCATGCAGCAGGGGGGGAGGAAGCGGGACACGGACGCATTCATCAACAGCTGACTTGAGCGTCACCGCTATTATCTCATGAGTTATGAATGATTCATGGAGACGCTCCGTGTCTTAGTTGTCGTCGTTGCCGCCTCTACGTGCTTGCCCTTACAAAATCTTCTGTATTTTCTCAATCTCCATTTCTCGCTCTCATCAAATCCGTAGCATCCGTGGCAGCAGCCGCGCAGTGAGTCCGCTTTATTTTTCTTCTTCTAAGATTATACCTTGAGTTATCTTCTGTTTCTCGTATCCTTTTTATTTTATCCAGTCTGATCTCTTTCTTTTTTTTCTTTCCTTTTAGCTTGGCACAGCGCTGCGTCAGACGCCGGCAAGGTAAGCCAAGTGAAGCAAGAGAATAACTCATGTGTTTCTTGCTGGGAAGTCAGTATGCAATAATCGGACGAGTTCGTCGTGGTAGCCGGCGACAGCTGCCCGAACGAGAATTGAGAACGAGAAGGAGAACTGAGGAACCCACGGGACGAGTACACGAGGTAATCGTGTGCTTCCTGCCTGCACTGCTTCGTATACATAACTGCCTATTGGGTGTATCTTCCTGCCTCGCAGACATCGGCTACGTTTGTATCTATGAAAGAATCGAATCAAAGGTAAACAAACAAGTGGTACGAGTTACCCTGAAACGTAATCTCTAATCGGATCGTACGTTAACGATAATCAATCAAAGGCGTTCTATCGATATGCCAATCTGTCAGTCATGAGTGCTACTGAACTCAGAATGCACTGTTTGACGGTCGCGCGATATTATTTGTTATCAAAGACGCGTAGGTTTTTCGAGTAAATTTTCATGGAAATGTTTTTGCCAATAGTGAATTTCAGGGGTGCGCGTGGCGGCGTGTGACCGACGTGGCAATGCTGCTTCGTAGGAGGCTTTGCCAGTGGCTGTCGAAAATTATTCCGGGGAGTGTATCTTGGCATCGAATGATTGTGCGCCGCCGGCTAACAGCCGAGTGGACCTCAAGTGCACGTGCGCCTTGCACGTGTTATCCGCCGGGGCGAGTCTCCCTTTCCGATTCCTCATCCCGCTGCCCCTGCCCCCTCCTGGTCCCCCCTCAGCTGCGCTCGTCCCCTTGCACCTCAGGCCCCTTACCTACGTCTCTGTCACTGCTTACGGACTATAACCCCTCCTATCACTGCCGCACACACTTCATATCTCTTTCCTCCTCGTCTAGATATAGTCACAGTCATTCCATACAGTGCATCCCTCGCACCAAGGGGCTGTACTGGCTGCTAACTATGACCAAGCCGGGAAGGCTTTGCCGCTGGGATTAGGATTGCCTGCCTAATGAGCGCGAGTGCATTGGCCCTTTGTTTTTCTTCGATTTTGCTTGTACTTCGCTTTCCGCCATTTTCCAATGACCCCTTGACTCCCGGCACGCTTTATCGACTATTTTCGTTTGAGGATGTCGCCTCGAAGCACACCGGCTGTATGAGATCCTGTGAAAACGTAATGTACATTGAACCGAGGTGTTCCATCGGTGGTAACGTACGTCCGTCTGTTAATTCTAGCGATGGTTCAACCGCTTATTATACTATTTGCACAGCTGCGCGCCTAATCAGAAAAAATCTTTGTCATCTATTTCAGAGATAAATGCTTGTTTGCCAGTCGTCGAGTAACGCCGGGCCATCCTCTGGGCCCGCGTTCCCTGGCATCTCGAGGAGTCGTGATGAGAGACGGGGAAAAAGAGAGGAAGACGCAGATGGAGATGGGAGCGAGGAATCCCGCGCGAGAGGAATGCCTCGAGGCGGGTGCGGGTTGTAGGACTCGATGTCCAAGACGAAATAGCAGGCAGGGCTTCTTGGCTGGTTTGGCCCCGTGGGAACGCGTTGGTGGCCAGCTGCACTGATTGCCGTGAGGACGTAACATCGTTCCTCGTGTATACGCTCACGTCCGTGCGAGACAGAGAGGGCACGTATAACCAGGACCTCGGGGAAAGGGAGACGGCGAGTGAGAGAGGGATCGAGAAAGAGTGGAGTGTGCGCGCCTGATCACCGGGGCTAACGTAGCGGGTCTCGTAGGCCCCCCCTTGGACAAGGGCTGTGAGCGGGACGGGCAAGCAGGAGACGAGCGAGTTCCACTAGACGAGATCTTGTCGAGCGTTGATGCGCGGGGATCAGGACGACGAGAGGGGTACCACAGAATGGAAAGACTCTCGAGTGGCATCGGAGTGGGAACAGAGTGGGTAGCGTTGGTTGGCTGGCTTGCTGGTAGACTGGCTGCTCGGTGTGGTAGCCGTGGAGGACCGTGAAGTTGTTGGGTGTCGCGGGGACCGGGGTGAGGACGCATTCCAGAGAGGCGCCGGCCAGTCTGCGGCACACCTGCGCGTTTGGTTGAATCACGGCGCCTCTTTCACCGCCGCCGCCACCACCACCACCACCACCACCACCACCGCCGCTCCGCTCATTCCTTCGCCTTGCCATCCCCCATTCCATTACCTAGACTCACTGTAAGAACGTATACACTGGCTTACTTGCACGTACCCAACGCTTACGGACTTTGAGACTCCACCTATAGCCTTACCTACCTATAATTTTACGTACAATCGGAGGCGTGCAGGTGTCCGTCCATCCATCCGTTTGCCTCTGCGTCCGTCACTCGTAGCGCCTATCACGGCCCTGTTGACTTCTAGCGATAGACTTGGCACACCTGTTTCGTCATTCTTATGAGTGCATTTCTTCTACCGCGGTATAGCAGCTCGGCAAGGACGTAGAGAAATCTTGTGTTTACGCCTTGCGAATGAGGATTTAGTCAAATTCGGTGCGGAATCATTGTCGGAAAATCATTGTAGGAAGACACCAGGTGGTCGCGAACTGATCGTCACGACCAGCTGCTTCTATTTGAACCTCGCGACTTTTTCCATTTATAATTAATGAAACGCACTTGAGACACCTGTTCAGCGATCTTAGCCGGCACAGGTGGCGACCGCGATAAACCTCAGCCTAAAAAGCTACTTGAGCGTACGAATATATCGATGGCTATCTTAACTCAAACATTTTAAGTTCACTCGCACTCAATGATCACAAATCGGCAGCCTTCATTTTTATATAATAATTATATAAATTCCAATCTTTCAGTTCTACCCTGTGGGAAAACTTCTGAACATGCCGTGGGGCACGATTCAGGCCTGCCTTAACACACAGGGTTCAGAGGTTCTCTTCTTTCTCCTTCTTCGCTCCTTACATCTTGCTCTTAAAGTTGTAGGTGGCGGAGTCGCGTTCCCAAGGAGCTCCTACTACCTGTTGCGGCCAAACTGGACGGACCTCAACGAACCTGTATGGACCTGAGAACGGACAGAGCGAGTCACTTACAATGGTAAAGGTAGACAGAGATACAGTGATCTTTAGCGAGAGAGAGAGAGAGAGAGAGAGAGAGAGAGAGAGAGAGAGAGAGAGAGAGAGAGAGAGAGAATATACTGTGCGAGAGTGTGTATATACTGTAAGCCACCAAAGAAACAAGAGGAAAAGTAAGACGAAGAGGAGAATGAAGTAGATAAAGAAATAGGAGGAAGAGGAGAAGAGGGTAAAAGGAATAAAAAGATAAGGACAGCCAGAGCCTTCGTGAATCCGTTTGTTCGCGTTTGGTGCGGTGAAAAGGAGGAGCCGTGCTGCACGGAGTTGCTCAGTGGTTTGGAGTCGATAGCGAGCGAGGGCATAGCTGGGCATAGCGTGGGCTAGGTAGTGCGGGAGGGCAAGACGGGAGGCCCTGGCGACAGACTGGCGGGCGCGCACCTGCACTCGCTGTTGCCTCGCCGAAGGAGGCTACGAGCCGACACTGCTCGACACTCACAATCAGGGGCGCACCTAACGCACCTAACATACCCCGGCATTCTCTGACTCTTCCTGGACCTCTGGATCCCCGGGACCGCCTTCAGGATTTCTTTTTCTACGTCCTGTAAAAGAGGTTAGGTGAACTTGTGACCAAGACACAAATGAAATAGGTGCATTCCTGGACCTTATCTTATGGCCAGCGTGGGACGTTGGGCCAACGACGACTCCAATAACCCAGAGCCTTGCCGATTCCTTTTGTACTTTGTGTATATATATATACGCACTCGTGGTCCATTCCCACGAGTCTCTACACTCTCGGAGATTGTCCTTCTCTTCTTATTCTCAGTCACAATCGCATTCTCAAGCCCAATCCCTTTTGCTTTATTTTATTATTATTATAGTTAGTGCTATTATTGGCCTTAAGTATATATATATTTATGTATCGTCAACTCTACGTCATACATGCTGACTTGTTTACGTGCACGAAATTTCCTGTGTAATAACATGGATATTACAACGGATTGAAAATTTTCGTTCTGTCCTCTAACGCAAGGTGCGTTAACGCAAGATTGCGAGCATTCGCAATCAGCAGATCAGCCAAGGATATCACCCTCGGTCGGCATTTTCTTACGTTATTGTCAAATTGCGCAACGACGTGACTGATCGATGGATAAAAGAGCTTTAAACTCGAGACGATAATTTTTCCTTTACGCGTGTTCGCCATCTACGGTGATCAAGTTTTTAATTTTTTTTTAATCTTACCCTGCCTACAGTGATTTGCTCCTTAGGCTTCTTTTTCTCTTTTCTAATTATATTTATCTGACTCTGTAACACGATGTGAAAACTTATTATGCGTACACTCCTAGTCCTACGAGAGAACATTGTCGGTGTTTGCTGTACTAGTAACGGACGTTCGATCGAGAACGCGTGTCTTCTTATCTAGCGACGCTCTGCTAGCCATTTTTTTCTTTGCCCTATTTATAATTAGTGATAATAATGTCCGAGGCGCCGTTCTGGTTATTTTTGACTTAAAAATCCGCTGGCGCTTAATCGTTCGTTATTCCTTTTGTAAAATGCACTAATTTTGCACCTGTAATTAGAAATCACCTCGAATTACTTAGCTAGTTCACCTGTACTAATAATCATCGAATTTTACGTATCAGATATGATATCTTTATAGGTAATTAAAGATCCAATCGACGTTTATAAGTAATGATTCAACTTTGATCTTTACATCACTTTGTGCTTATCACCGAATCAATGAGTAAATGTATATTTGGACAAATCGATGTAAAATTGGCTGATTCAACGTTATATTTTAGTGACAAATATTGTGATAACTCTTTAAATAATTCTTTTCTGGCTTTATTTTTATCAAGTATCGTGACTTTCTTATATTGTCGTTAAGGATATAGACGGTGTAGCCATCTTTCTTAAAATCTTTTAAATGCTGAGATTTAACGACTTACGGTATTTAAAATCTCTGTTGGTCGGTATGATCTTTGTATTTGTGTTATTGATAAAACAGTTCTCCGTTTCTACGTGAGATGGCAGTGCTATCATATACCCACTAACGCCATCTCTGATCATACTCTCGAACTAACTGTAATGATTCCGACAGCAAATAATTTCAAACACAGGCGCTTCTTGACTCCTAACTTATAGTATTCATAGGAAATACAGTCACTGGCTATAAAGCATTATAAAGCTAGTAAAAAACACGATATGGCGGATACTGGCATCGGTAATGAACGAATTCAACCATCTAATTCATTATACCGTAACAAATAGATCAAATTTCTTCTTCGTTAGTTATGACTTTCTAAATTTTCTACAGACTCCATGTAACTGCACATTTGGCGCCAAAAGAAAGAAAGCATGCTAAAAAATGTCGAAATGTTTCATAAAACAGGACTAACGAAGATTTTTTAATTCAACGTAAAACCAAAAGGTTCCTCCTAGTCTTTCTCTCAACGTGAAAACATCCAGTCGATATGACAAGAGATACCGGTCAGTAGTTTCTCTATTTGTTGGCCTACAAGAGGGATACATGTATTATTTTAGCATTGGGTTTACACAAAAGGTCCTTTACTCAGTTTATTTAACTTGGCCGCTTTTATCCTCCTAACATTACCGACGTCCGTTCTTTCTTTATTTTCACTACCGGATATGTTCTCTCTTCTGTCAGGGACAGTATGTGTCAATGTCTCAAAACGAAATAAGATACCCAATTCTGAGAGGATCACCGTGTATAAATCCTTTATTCGACTAGCTGCAGTTATGCTTTGGTTATACAAATCACATAAGTGATCATCGAGAGGAATATTACGTTAATAAATAATGTCCACTGGAATAAATATTATATCAAGTCTAAACTCTTTTAGGAAAAAATGGCACTTTGGCGTTATTATAATATATATATGTCCTCCGTCTCTCTCTTTCTCTCGCTCTCTTTTTCTTACTTCCTTTCTCTCTCTCTCTCTCTCTCTCTCTCTCTCTCTCTCTCTCGCTCGCACTCACACAATTTTTTCTGTCACTTATGTATATAGATCTCTCGAATCTCTTCAGTAATATGTAATTTGCGAATCGTGACTGTGACGTATTGAGAGATTTTGATGACCAAAGTGATGATGATGATGATGATGATGTGAAGTTGGAGTCTCGTGAGGTATATGCTGACCGCGATATTGATTCTGATCTGGAGATGATGAAGAACCAGAGGAATTGCAACCATTGTTCAGCAGCATGGGATTGGAAGTTCCTTGAATAGCGAATGGCCAGGACTGAAAGAATAATGGATGATTGTAAGTATAATTTATTTATATGTAAAAATGAATGTGGCAGGAGTCGGTTTTAAGGTACTTCAGGGATAAATTGTGAATAATTTTGTTCCAGAATAAAGATTCATCTTGTTGAAGGAGTCAAGCGAACGAGGGAAGGAAGAAAGACTAACGGGAGAACAAAGTTAGAATTAATGGGAAGGGAGGAGGAACGAGAGGGAAAGAAGGGAGTTGAAAGTGATTCGGTCCACCTGGTCAGACGTAAACAGAGAGAGGATGCCTAGAATTGTGGCATCCTTTACGTCGCGACGCTGACAATGAATGGATCCACCTGGTGCTACTGGTATTTCGTATTTTCCGAATCTAGATATTTATTAGGGTTTTAAGTAAAAATTTTAAAGAAACGTTAATCAAGTAGACTATAGTAGCGGAAATGTCGAATTTTGTAGACGCTACTGAAATATGAATTTTGCAGATTCGAGGAAGTGAAAGAAATCAAAGATACCGAGGAGCGAGATCAGTATCGATATGGATGCTGAGGATGAGCAGGATATAATATCTTTCATGGTATGCTTACCAGTGCAAGAGACAAGGACTTTGTACTCTCATAATGTGGATCAACGTCATCTCTGAGTACAGCACGTAGATGAGCAATGTACGTGGCAGCAAGTCGCAGCGTATCCAGTTTGCTGAGTTTCGTATCGGCTGGCACCCAGGGTAGAGTTGTTTTTAATCGGCAGAAAGCTTTGCTCAGGACACGCATCCTGGCTCTTTCTCTAGCATTTGCTGCATTCCTTGGTGCTCTACTCTCCACTTCGTCCTTGCTGTACTTGTCCTCGGAAGCGTAATCCTCGTCATCGGCTTCGAGGGAGGTCGTGGAGATACGTCGTTTCTTAGGCATCTTCGTCGGCTTCCTTAATTCGAGGGATTTATGATCTTATGATGACGTCCGAGTTTTTCTATCTTAATGAACAAATTAAAAAAAATTATTTTTAAAACTTATTCATCCACCTCTCTTGCAATTGCTCACTGTTTATCTTTTCTTTTTAAGGACTAACTCTTTCCTTCCCGTACCTTATATTGGATCGATATCTCAAGGATCACGATCACGCGGATAAGGAACGACAAGCTTTGTCGATCGGGTGGAACTAATTGCTGTGGGTGCTAAGAAGTCCCGTGGGAGGAAGAGGAAAAAGAAGATCTACTGGATGGAGGTGGAGAATGGGGAAATACATGGACCAGGGTGGGATTTGGGACGTCCTAAGATCCGGGCGGAGCTTTCGCTGTTCCTCCTCCTACAAAAATTCGACATATGGAACCACCTGGATCATCTTCTCTTATTATCTTGCTTCCTGTCTCACTTACTCTCTTATGAGTCCACTTCGCGATTGGCCCTGGCCCAAAACTTGCGCCTTTCAACTTCCTATTGCTCTTACTCATAAGCTTTACATATGTTTTAGATCGCCATATTGTCATTTTGCAAGATTCGCTTCTCATGCTGGATTCAAAATCTGTAATATTTATTATGAAAAAGTCATCGTTATTCTTCACTAGCTCACCCGACAGACGTTGTCCTGTCCATATTTTAATAAATATGTTTGTGAAGCTATTGGAAATGTGAAAAAAGCACTTTCAGTTTTTCCAGAATTTTCCATATTTTCTGGGCAACTTTTTCAATTTTTCTTTCTCTAAAAACCTTATTCGGACTATTACGAACATTTTTTTTAAAAATTAGCCAAATCGGTTCAGTCGCTCTCAAGTCATGCGCTTACCAACGAATAGCATTTAATTTTTATTTATATAGGTTTGTAACGCGGAAGTAGCGTAAAGATAATTAAGAATGGAAGCAAGAGAGAATTGGATGCTTTAGCTTACTCAATGTTTTTGATTAGATTTTATTTTTACAAACAGATGCATTTCGTCGAGCGACTTCCTAGTTCAAAGGTCATGTTCTGACTGGTTTGGGCAGAAAGGACTTGTCACGTATTAATCCAGCTAAAATCCCCGTTGAGCGATAGTCATCCATTTCACTAGAACGAGGATCCCTTATGCATGCTGTAATTCGAGGTCGCGGCCGAACAGAACATCTTTCTTGATACCCAAATAAGTCTTTCAGGGACAAAGGCAGAAAGTTTTAAACCGAAGAAAGTTTCTTAAAACCCTTAGCAATTCGACTCCTCGCTTTCTATAGTGTCCTAGACTCGAACAGCTTCCTAATTTCCTGGTCTCCTGATCCTCTGGATTATCTACCAGTTTCCCAGTTTTCCGATTCTTCTAGTTTTCTCCATTTCTAGTCTCCTGCTTCTTGTTCTTCCGCCTTAGAAGTCTTTTTTATATTTTTTTCATTTTATTCGAATATCAATCTTATATTGTTTGGGAAAATGACTGGAGAAATTATGAAAAGATGGAATCCATGGGCGAGGGTTTATTAATATTTTTCTTCAATTTTGATATTTTTTTATTTTGCGCGAATTACGTTACCGACTCGCTTGTCGGTCGTTCTATTTAGTTTACTATATTTGGTTTAGATGGAGACACTGAACTTTTCTCTCTAAATCTTTCTCCAAATCCAAGTCCCAAAATCAAAGCCAAGCTCATTCCATACGTAATTTGTAGTGATTGTATGTAGTTTTGGAAATACTATTTAGAATATTTTGCCAAAAAGATACTTACTAGAGCATCTCATGAAAGTTTAATTTGATTGAAAGACGATAAGTTTTGTAGCTACTCATCCTTCATCTTAATATTGTCAACTGTCTGTTACTAAAGGTTAGAATAAAATATAATTATGGATCCATAGATGACTATGCGATTCAGTATCATTGCGAATCATAGCCTAACATTATTTTTGTGTCATTGTAGTTTTATTTGCCTGTTTGTTTAAGGTACTTAATTCAAGGAGAATAACATGTCGAGAGAACACGAATTACCCTCTGACTCTGACGAAGATGATGAAGATTACATTCCTGATAAAGCTGAGAATGATCCAGTGTCAGAAGTTGATTCAGAAGATGATGCTGAAAGTGGTGCAGAAAATGAAAACGACGAGAACCAGGAAGGTGGCAAAATTAAGAAAAAGAAACGTGGTGCAGTAAGTAAGGGCAAAGGACGGAATCGGAAAAGAAAGTTGGAAGAAAGCTCAACAAAGGGAAAAGAAAAAGAAATTGATGAGGTGCCAGTGGAGAAGAAGCAATTGTCTGAAGAAGAAGAAAGGAAGAAAGCAGATTCTCTGTGGGCTGATTTTATGAAAGATGCAGCATTTACTCCAAAACCCAAACTACAAAATTCTACAAACTGTTCAAGGGACAAATCTCCACCTGTCATAAAACCAAAAGTGGAAGAAAAAGTGAAGATAACAAAAGTATTTGAATTTGCTGGAGAAGAGGTTAAAGTTGAAAAGGAAGTATCTATTGACTCTGCAGAGGCAAGACTCTGTGCATCTTCCACAGAGAGTTCCATAAAAGAATCAATTCCTTCACTAGCACATACAGGACGACCATCTTGGGGTAGGGTTAGTGCACGTTCTGGCTTGGGTGGAATATCCTCAGTTCTGGGACAACTTGGCAAAAAGGCAAAGATCAGCACTCTAGAGAAATCTAAATTGGACTGGGATAATTTTAAGAAACAGGAAAACCTGGAGGAAGAAATCACTTCTCATAACAGGGGGAAGGACGGCTACTTAGAACGACAAGATTTCCTCCAAAGAGCAGATCTGCGACAATTTGAAATCGAGAAACAACTAAGGAACACTGGTAGACGCAGTGCACGATGAGCTCTTCCATTGAACAACGCGATATCCTCGTTCTGATTCACGTGCTTGCTACTATCTTTTTATTTCGAGGTTATTTGTATCCTCAGTGAATTCCTTCAGAATCCTTGATGTTTTCGGCAACGTAAAGATCAGCAAATATATTGTGCTTAGAAGAAGACACAGGGATAGAAAGAAAAGGAGTAAGCATGCTTAAGGACAGACAAGGACTAAGCATTCCAGTGTATTGAAAATAATTGAATATGTAACGAATGCCTTGAGATTTGCTTGGCCCATGATCACTGCCTTTCGGAGAGTGAGACAAACGCCTCGGTTTTCTCATATTCATCATTTTTTACTAGCGCCCTATGATATACTCTTGGTGTTTAATTTTATTTTACGACTTAAGCAACTCAGGTAATGACTTTCTTGACAGTTTAACGCATCTGCAAAATGGCGATATCCTATGCTATCAATTCGTGTAATATAATATACGTCTGTATTGTGGATACACGTAATAATAACAGTATCTATTTATGTCCAATGCAGGAGTTACCTAATAAATTTGAAGACACATCGATGAGCTTCTATATTATAATTTTATCACACACAGTTACGAATCATTATTATTCAATTCGTACCTGTTCAGATTACTTGCTTGCTGTCCTGTAAAATTGACCACGAGTTCTTCGACCAGGCCAAAATGCATATGGCCAAAAAATGATGTCAAATATTACTCCCATCAGGGTACTTCTACTCCCTTGTACTTTACTTCCTTTATTCTTCCTCTTCTTCTTCTTCTCATCTCTTCTTACTGTTTCCTCAGTAGACACTATTATCTGACTACTTAACTTTTCAGGCCTATGAATTCTCTGTTGACACTCAAAGCAAGATGCTTGATTGTCTTCCAGGGTCAGTGAACTGCTACCCTTATTCCTTCAAGGAACGTGTTATAGATAATACAAATAAGGAAACGTCTTGCTAATATTTTATTTATAATTTATCTTTTTCTTTGCTTAACTCACGTATTATTAGATTGTGAACTCTGTAATGGACTAATTTCTTCACGTTCCTTTAGGACACAGGCAAAGCTAGCAGCGGGTGTAAAGCTTTTTGAACCGCCACCTTTCTCACGAATTGATCTACTACAAATTTTTTAAATTTTAGTTTTGTCAAACATAAGAGTTATATAAGGAAATATGTATAGTAATTGGGACCATACCGTTTACACTCTGAAGAAGAATAACGACTTCTCTTACTTCTTTTTGTTTTCTTACACTTTGTTATTTTGGTACTTTCTGAAGATGGTTTTGTGCAGATTTTTGTTTTCTTCCTAATACATTTACAACAGGATTCTTTGTACTGGTTTGGCATATCCTGCTGAATAAAAATGTTTTTAGTATCACAAAATCATAATATATAATAGAATGATACATAATCATGTATCTACTTTCTCTTGTAAGCATTTACAGCATTCAATTTTGTGAATATTTTCAAGCGGATATAATACATTTTTCTTGTTAGTTTCATGAGGGTTTTGAGTATTATGAAATTCAGAAGATTTATAGAACTCAGATGACCCTACTGTACAATCCCTACAGAGACATTGTGTGGATGATAACTGAGATAGCGTGGAGTTTGATTTCCTTCTAAAGCAAGAGCACAGTTTATGAAAGGTAGAGGTTGTGGATTTGTTAGACTCGCATGAGTGATCCTTTCTGACTTTATCACTATACTTATCACAGTGACTGTGGCACTGACAATGAGCATGAAATGAGAAGGAAGGACAGAGAACATAATTCTCCTTTGATTTCTTAATAGTTTTTCCACATTTGCAAGGCAACGTGTTTTTAAATTCCTTTGCCATTAATCCACAGATACATTTCTTTTCCATTTTCAATCTATCGACACAGGAACAGCAAATATTTTTATTTTTTGTTTTCCAGATCCTTGAGTCTTTCTCTCTTTCTCTCTTTCTGCGAAAGACAGAATTGTTGATGAAATACATCTTGAATTATTTCTAAATTGCAGTTGACTTATGCCTTATTAAAATCATATCCTACTGTGGGCTATGGTTTCCTGACTTTTTGGAGCATCGCACTCTATGTGTTCCAGTGGAAGGTCCCTTTCTTAGAGAAAAAACAAGAATGACATCATACTAGATGAAAAGCAGCAAGTAACAAGGAATTTACACTGACTTGTAATTCTGTGGAGAAGTAGATACAAATGGACAAGGTGAAAAACCTTCATTAACAGGTCCGCAATTAAATTCTTTATTATAATTTTCTCTCATTTTTCTGTGTCTTGAAGGATTATGGGAATTATTCACAGTACGAATTTTTTTCCTTGATGGTTTCTTCCTGTTCTCACTCACATAACTTCCTCTCTTGTTATCTTTCCGGTTTCTTGTACAGTGAGGATCCTTGCACTTTCTGGACATCGTCTAGTACACGATCCCGTTTTAATTTAAATTTCTGCACTTGAAAATTCATTGATGTTGTAAAGACTCGTGTATTCCTGGCAGACATGCAATTTTGTTCTCATTGAAAAACTGGTTGCTCACAGATGGTCATAGAGTATTCGATTAATCTTATATTTCGTGGTCATCTTTATAGATGGACCGACTCAAGGCCCAGTATCCTCTAGATGAAAAAATTTGGCAATTTTTGGATAACTAAATTTTTGATAATAATAGATGGACATTTTGCCTTCTTCAGGACATCACACCCTATTATATTCTTTTCTTATTAGCCCGTTCCAAATGGATATAATGATATAACAGAATATATCAACAAGGTTACTGGTATAATTTTAAATAATACATTTTTCTATCCAATATGATTCTAACCCTGAAAGAAATGCAGGATCGCTCCTTTGTTTCTTGCAGAAATGTTCTAAAGAAACTCTGAGAATTGTAACTACAAAGAATAACTCTTCAAGCATTACAAGTGATTAGAATGCAAGGATGTGGGAAGAGAGCATAACTAAAAATCTCAATAAGTTAAAACACAGAACAATGGGATGTGCTAAGGCGTTCGTGATGTAACAAATGAAGATATAATACAAAGCAGCACATGACAGCTGATGGTATTCATCAAATGAACGACATATTCGTAGGTAAATTCATTTCTGAAGGCATCGAATAGCTAATTGGACGTCGGTATTACTATGGGAGACGAGCAATCAGTGTCGCTAAGCAGAGAGCTCGATTTTCTCTGACTCACCAGCAACCGAATGCCAGTGACGCAATCGTACCGATATCATACTTCGAAATACCTGTAGTTCTCAGCACAGTCATATACACACATATACATCAGGGGAACAATAATCAATACCTGATATAAATTCCTTGGAGCATCACGTATACAAAAACAATTATCAAACTTTATTACAGACTTTATAATTAGAGTCCAAAGAGAAAAATGTGTCTAGTCAACTGAAATGTCTACAGTGTCGTCCGAGGTCAGACTTTGCGACAGTCTTCATGGTCTGTACGTACATTACCACTGTCCACCATTGTATATACATACAGGTACCTGGCCTTTCTAGAGGCTCTTATGTGAATACGTTGACGCAGACTTTATTTCTCTTTCGTAGACATTCCTTGGAAGGACTGCGAGAAAAAGGAGTTTAATAGGTCCTGGGAGAGTGTATATATATCCACTGACCAGTCCTGAAGCCCTGGAACCCTGGAAAGGACCGGTTGACGTAACCGGTCTACTATTTTTAACTCTTTTGTTTCGCTCTTTCGCATTTATATCTTCTCATCTTGTTCTCTCTTGTCATAGCTGCTAATATATAGTTACAGAGCACTCGGCATTTCCAAGCGATTAACCGTACCTTCGAAGATAGCCTGCTAATTCTGCGAATGCAATCGCCGCGTCATCCCCTCCTACGTAGCAGGAGTCATACACGTGTATAGTCTCAACGTAGACGATGATAATGATGATGATGGCTACTGGATGATATTTGGTCGTTCGATTATTGGAAACCGTCGTTCAATAACGCAAGGGATTATTTATCTTATGATAGGAATGAATCTAGGATAACCGCGGTTCGTTTACATACGGTATATCAGCCAGGGCCAAATATACTTTATAATAAACCAGTGACGTCGTATTTTAATTTTTTATCAGATAAAAACTAACATGTTTCCTTGGATTTTATCCGAAAACAATGTTCCCTAAGAAACTAACGAACACATGGTTTTAATATTCTTGTAAGAAGCCAAAGAACCGTAGATATTATTTTATAATGATAATAGGCATCAATTTTTGATTATTCACTTTAAAGTCAAGATATATATTTATATCTGCTCATTATACAAGTTAATATGCCAACCCACGAATCCAATGTGGGGACTCAAGAGTGTAGGCACGTATAGACCAGTGTATAGGCGGTTATCCAACTAGTTTTTTTCATATCACCCTGTCTGATACACCCTTTATAAGGGAAGGGGTGATAGAGCTTCGGGAATTTCCGTGAATCCTCGTGCGTCCTCGACACGAGCTACACCGCCCGGTCTCGTCAGTTCGCGCATAACCAGTGAAGCGATAGGTTATGCTCCGTTCTTCGTCGTAATAGGAAATCTGTAAAAATCAATCGTCCTCGAAAGTCCTATCCAGCTCGCGTTGCCCTCGTACCTTAATCGCAGAACATCTAAATACAATCCGTATAAAAAGTGTTAAAAGCGTTCACGTGAGTGCGTGCGTGCGTGTTGTGTACGATAATTCCAGTGAAAGCTGTCACGGTGTTGCTACCGCGTTCGCTGGCTATTATGCTCCGGGTCTCGTGGCAGGTCGTTCCATTTTGACGCGAGGATCGCCCGGGGACAGAAGACTGTCAAGATGTTACCGCAGACTCCTGACATTATACCGACATGTCTGAGCCAGGTATATATGATGCCACGTACATAGAATTAGATACAGATAATATATTGATAAGCGATAACAATGCAACAGTCTTGTCGTGATATCATCCTAACAAAGTTGCCCGATTATGGCGACGTGTTCATGTGTTGAACTCTACAAATCTTACACTTGAAATATCTAAGGCCGTAATAGGACAAGCTCCGCCTCTGTTGAGTAAAGTGTCATGGTCGAGAGTACCGTGTTGAGTTGAGGACTGTTGAGACTCTTGGGAAATGATTCAGGTTCGTGGACGGATAATCAGCCAGTCGCTAATTACTCGCAATCACCGATTAGATACCTGCTCGTAATCGTGTAAGCGTACGTCGGCGATGATAAAGTTGTTAATTATCTATAACTAGGACGAGGCAATTAAGTGAATGACAAATCTTGTATGCCACCTGCAGGAATAAACGGATGCTCTTGTTTGTGAAGTGGAAGCATCTTCGAATTCGGACGTTAGGCGTTGCTCATGTAGTCAATAAACTCCACTTGAAGTCTAAAGATAATATGTATGTATACACCAGCGAGGCTAAATTGCTGAAGTCCTCGTCTCTCGCAGACAGGAATGCGCTCAAGTGCAATTGCAATTGGAATTATTATGTTGGCACGTTGATATGCTCCTGGTGATCTGGACTAAGGCGGATGCTGGGATGAGTGCAAAAAATGTCAGAGACTGCTTGTGCTTGCTTTTTCGAGAAGTGAAGTGTTTACGCGAATCTAAGGAGCCGTATTATATATCAAGGCAGTTTGATTAGGCTCGAGTGTCGTTGCAAGAATATTCTCACTCTACTTGGTTACCATGGGTCCATTCTCCGTTATTGCCGTAAGAGACGTAAACTCGAGGATGAGAATTGCTGGCGGCGTTTAGACTCTAGAAATAGACGGTCATACTCGCGGAGCCTTTATCAATTTAAATTGAGCAGCGGCGAGTGAGGGAGGAGCAAGTCACAAGTCATAGTAATTGAAGGCTGCTCTATTAGGCGATACGTACGTGCAGAAATAGCGAAGGAAATTTTACAATGTTAATTAACATGGTACACTTGAATTTATTGTTGATACTTAGGACATTATCATCGTTGTATATCATTGTCAATAAGCAGTTTGAGTATTGTCCATGACGTTAACCAGCTTTTTCGTGTTTGTTAATTTCAGCAAAAATGCGTAAAGGCCAGGGCGCTATACGACAACATAGCAGAAGCTCCGGACGAGCTTGCATTCCGCAAGGGAGACGTTCTCACCGTCCTCGAACAAAATACTGCAGGACTCGAAGGCTGGTGGCTCTGCGCTCTTCGTGGCAGACAAGTCAGTGATTGAACGTGTCATGATTTTTCTCTATTCCCTATTTATTACGTGTTTGTTTCTCTCTGTCCCTGCCAGACAGGAACAAAGACATTCTACTGATGCAATCGCCTTGTTCACTCTCTTCCTTTATTTACTACAAGCACTCATCCTGATCTCAACCTGATCCGTTACTGTGTATCTTGAGACCACAAGAGACTCCATTGAAAGGAATTGTAAACTTTCTCGGGGCTGTGTATTACTCTGTAAGAGTGCAGTGCCCAAATTCAGTCTGCGCTCTCTCCGCATCCTGCATATACTTGGTTATTTTCGTAATGTTGCGTGGCACGTGATTTTCCCTCCGTCCCTCTCTCTCTCTTTCTCCATTTCATCCGCCCCACTCATCTGTCCTTCGGCCAGTGTTCTTTTACTCCCCTCCACCCCCATCGGTCTTTCATTTTGCCAGGTTTGTGCTTGTTCGTGCCGGTTCTTAGAAATCGGTAACCGGCATCATGCACGATGACGTCACTGACGTCACCAAGAATTTTTCGTAATAATTATCCTTAATCAACAGCAAAGCCGATAATTACTCATTTTCCATGTGACAGGGCATCTGTCCTGGGAACAGACTGAGGTTATTAGTCGGGCAGTATGACAGCGGGGCTTGTTTGACTGGCAGCAGGGCTGATCTTACCCTCACGGACTCGGACGCTTTACAGAAACACGGGAAGCGACGTAGTTGGCACGTTCAGCCTAACAAGGTGAGTCATCTCTTTCCTTGACACATACTGTTTACCCTCTTTTTATTTTTATTAATCGTCTTATCTGCTTGATCTAATCAAATCTGCTTTCTCGAACCGCTACGACGTTGACTCGTCGGGAGTGAATATTAAAAATGTCCTGAGTTACGGCCGCAACAGCTGACAATTCGTAGTATGACAGCCGCCGTAAGTTCTCCGTATACATTCGCAAAGGTGTCGCCGCCTAGGAGGAAAATCGTGAAGATTCCAAAGCTCTCGTAGGCTATAAGGATACGACGAATTGAAAATCAAATAGCGTCGGCCGATACCTTATCTAAATAACATCACGCATACTTGTTGACGATGCGATTTGTTACATTGACAATTGATTATCTATACTCGAGACTTTTCGACGCTGTAATTAAGGATGTCTCATTGTCTTTCCCAGTTGCTACTGTGACTTCCTGTTTTTATATCTTTCGGCCTCGTGGTCCGTCGTCTCTCTCGCTTCCACGCGTCTCACGGTCCTACTTCCATCTCTGTCTCATGCACGCCTTCCCTTTGACGAGTCGACATCCCGCATTCTGTGTAAGAGGATGTACGCGAGAAATAAGAAAGAGGGAAAGAGTGTCGAATGTAACCGTAGAAGGAGCCCAGCGAAGACCAAGTATCCTTATATGTATTCCTGGGTACGTAGAGAAAGACAATGTCCACTGTATGTCGACTGTATCGAGTGTCGAGTGCAAAGTGCCGTCCCTGCTGAGGTTCCGAGCGGGAGCTTAAAACGAAGAGCAAGTTCAGGAACGTGAATGGGGAGGTAAAGTTGGGAGCAGACGGATAGTCATCCTCGTGGAATGTAACGCGAGACTTTTTTTCTCAAAGAGTACCGACCCTCGAGGTCCCACGTCTCTTGAGATTCGTCGAATTTTCAACAAAATCCAAATACCGCACTCTCCGCGCGTTCTTTGCTTACCCACACGTGTCAATTATTCTCGCGTAAAGGGACAATTGACTGGGGTAAGAAAATAGTTGACTCTTACAATAGCTCGCGTCTGGACATTCTCTTGCGCGAATTCAAATAGTGCGTAGCGACATGCCAGGACTGCACTCCTTGAATGCTCGCGTCACTCCGAGGCATGAGTTTTGCCCTGTTGTATATATATGTATATAGATATGTGTCGCTATAATATTTATATGATAAAACATATGAATGATTTGGTGAAGGGAGGGAAAGGAACACGTGGGCTGCAACAAGTCAGAGACCGGCTGTGGTATCAATGAACTGCAAAAGTTGCTTGCGTGGGATAGACGCGCCCGAGTGTTGCAGCTCGTATGTTACTCGCCAGTACCAGATGGAAGAAAAGTTGTTCTGCTTGTGATACAAGCTGGGAAATATTTTCCTCCCTTACTGTACTCTATTCACTCTTTCTCTCTTTCGCGCTCTTTCTCTCTATATTTCTCTCCGTCTTTAAGCTAGAGTGCATACAACTAATTCGTTCTTCGTTATTGCATAGACTTGACATCTTTCACACGGCGACCTCGATGGATGTTTAATGGTGAAATTAGTAAACTCTTTTGAAATACAACAGTCGAGAATTCCGCGTATTTCCTCAGGATGGCAAAATGCCAGACAGAAATCTAGCTAGCCAGCGTATCAACCAATCAGACTCCTCTCCTCGTTTCTATGGATACCAGCGTCCTTCTCTCTACGTTCTTACTCTCTTACTCTTCATTCGTGAATATATATATATATACAAGGTTGATGTTTTCGTCCTCTTATGCATTCGCCGGTCCTACGCCTCTCGCGGTAGCGACTGGTAGCGCCGCGACGCCCGTATCGACCGACGTGCCCCGTCTTCCCATTCTCCTATGCCTCCCCTTTATCCCCTACCTACTACTACTATGTACCGCTACTACGGTACTACGTACGCCAGCTACTACACAAGAGTTTTACTACAATCAGCACATAGTACAATCCTATTCATATAGACGGAGAGACGGACATGACGTTTGTATGCGTTTTAATTCATATTGAGGAAATGAAATAGTTGAATGATTAAAAGTAACTCTGATATTGGCGGAGATTTTTTTTTTTCATTGGCTGACCTGGGTGTGGTTCACGTAGATTGAGATCTTTCATTTCTAGCCGGGGTCTATCTTTCATCGATAACCTGACCCACATATTCCCTGACAGGATGTTAAGACCCTATTACTTTGTTCAATGAACACTCAAATTTGTCAAGCATCTGCGTTCGAGTCGCTGGGACTGTCCGGCTACGCCTCTATGAAGATATTTTTGTCGACGTTACTTGGCTCTTGTCAATTTAATTAGCTCGTGTTTTAATTATGACGGCGCGATGACGTTCTGGTACAATGAAATAAGGAAATTGGTTATTTTTGTTGGCAGGTGGTGACGCCACAAAAATGTGGTGATGTTTATCTCTACGATTTGCCTGCAAGTCGAGGCAGTCCGGCGCCATCCTCTAGGCACGATTCACCCTTGGCCAATTCATGTACCGAGCACTTTCATACAGGTGAACTTATTGGTTTTTTCTTTTTTCAATTGTAATTTCTGCCAAGATTAGTTTTGTCAGATCGACAAGCTCTTGATGGGAAATTTAATTGTAATTTCTCGTTTAAAGTTTTTTTTTGGTACAGCTCATATTTTAAGCAGGGGTCCTAATCGTTGAACATTTTTAGGACGTTACACCAGCAGCTCTATTGGCACCAGGAGTTCCGTCGACAGTGGAGGAGATATCAGTGATTGTTACGACGTTCCTCCACGAGCTATTCCCGTTATTCCATCTCCAGCTACTAGTCCCAGTCCCGCACCTTCCTGCTACGATATTCCCAGGGCTCCTACTTCCTGCACGTCGAATTCCAATGGCATGACACCCTTGGACTGCTATGACGTACCCAGGCCATTGCAACCGCTTACACCAAGCAGTTCAGCCTCCAGCCTTACCAATGATGGTTCCCTCAGTGGTTCCAATAGGTACGCAACTGTTTACCTATAAAGGAATTTGATGAACGTTTTTCGAATTTTTTGGGAAATTTTATTTATTTATGTGTCGGTTATTTTTTCAGGTCGAGCCTTGCTGCTCCGGATTACGACGTTCCTCGTGCTCGACTACCAAATTCTACTGTACCTTCACGACACAATACACCTATTCCTAAGACTCCCACACCGCCACCTCCACAGAGAGAGAAGATATACGATGTACCTCCTAGTAAGGAACTTCCCTTGGAGCTGGACTCTGCCCTGGAAGGCTTACAGAGGCTGCAAGCTGAGGCGTCCGCTGCCATTACTAGATTGCTTGGTTTCGTGAGTCCAGGATGGAGGACGCGACAGAGGCTGGATTCTACGCTTATGGATCTTAGGCTGGCAGCGCTTAGGTTAAGGACGTCTCTTCATGATCTCGCTGAGTTTGCCGAAGGTATTAATCGGATTATGATATAGTTATAGAGTTGATTTTAATTACGTCTTATCCATTTAGGTACCTTGGGCAATGCTGCCAAGGCACCGGACAAGGGGCTTGCCACTAAACTCAGGCCCTTGGTTAAAGCCCTCAGGGATTCCGATAAGCTTGTCCAGGAAGCAGCTGGTGAACTGGATGCCATGGAGTGGGACGCTACGAAACTGTGTCGCGGCGGTGGCGACACACCGACTCCTACAAATTATTCACCGCCATCCCTTTTACCTACCGTTCAACCAGATCCTCTGGATCAGTTGATAGCCTGTGCCAGAGCCCTCACAGAAGACGTTCGTCAGGTCGCAAGCTTTATCCAGGTAAGACAATGTAAAAGGGAAGCTAGAAGGAATTATAAAATACGGCAGAATATCTAATGTCCAGCTATAGATAGGAAGACCACACTCATCTGGATTTCTTTAGGGAAATTCTACACTCCTATTCAAGAGGTCCTCGATCATCTCCACCGGGAGTAGCGGGAACAATAGCGCAGCTGGAGAGGATTACGACTACGTGAACCTAGACTCGAGGGAGGTTGTAGCGAAGCAACGAGAAGAATTGAGGGCAGTTCTTCCACCAGAGCTTCGATCCAGCTACGATCTCCTCGTGACTGAGGCTGATAATGCCGCCATCCAGGCACCATCCTCCATGCCCATCCCTATGGACCCGAACGACAAGCACTTGCTGGCCTTCTATGCTGCTCAGGTCATTACCCACGGAACTCATCTCACGCACGCTATTGACGCCTTTCTGCAGACTGTCGAGCACAATCAGCCACCCAAGGTGAACCTCATTTCCCCTTTTTTATTCACATTTTTGTTGATCCTACCTTCCAGCATCTTCGAATACTTTTCTCCTCGTCCTCGCCGCTTTAGACTCTCCACACTGTCTTTCTCTCACGCTCTCTCTCTCTCTCTTTGAGTAATCGCAACAATGAACCTATTTTTTATTTTTTCAAACATGGAACAGGTGTTTCTCGCGCACGGGAAATTCGTTGTCCTCAGTGCACACAGGCTGGTACACATCGGCGACACTGTACACAGAAACGTGATGAGGAACGACGTTAAAACAAGGGTGCTTCAATGCGCCAATGCTTTGAGCGAAGCCCTCGCTCAGACTGTTTCCAAGACTAGACAAGCAGCACAGTTCTTCCCAAGCGTCGCCGCCGTCCAGGATATGGTTGATAGCGTCGTAGACGTCTCTCATCTCGCGAAGGATCTTAAAGTCGCTATGATTCACGCAGCTCAACAACCCTGATGAGAGTCAAATTAACCAGCAACAGGGATAACTTAACGGGAAGGACCCGAAGACATTTTGGGCAATTCTCTACGATCAACCTCAACCAGTAAATACAGAATAGAGAATACCGAGTACGAAATGCAGACATATATTCTTCCGCTGTGTAATAGAGGTAGTCGTAGACATTTGAGGTAGACCTTAACGTAACCTTACAGTGCTAGTGGAAAGAAATTCATAGTTATGAAAAGGGAAACAAAAGACGCGACGCTCTTTGATTGAGATTTTAATGAGCCAATCCGCGCGATGGTTTGTTCACTGTGGTAGCACGCGTTCTTTTTTGCTAGCGTGTTAACTAAGTGTATCTTCTCCGTGGACCAGGTGTAGCTTTTTCTCCAAGGGAAGGAAGCATTGCTATTGCCAAAACATTATAACGTATAGGTACGTACCTATTTGTAGGTGTTAATCCAAGAAATGGAATTAAGAAAAAAGAAACGAAGTAATTAACGAATGATTAATGGGGGACTGAATAAGTAAAGAGAATCAAATTGTCGCTGTAATGTATTCCGGTATGGTAGATGCGTCATAGTCATTGATAGTGAAGCGTGTAGCAATGTCGTTCGTAGGTAGCCCATTTTTAATGAGGGGAACATAATATTAAATAACGAATATAGACCAGGAGAACAATTGATGAAAATTCTTTGCAGGTTATATTAGAACTGGTGCGCAAACTAAAGTAAGACCATACGTTTGATTTCGATGGTAGAACCAACTTTAGTTGGTATCTTAGTTTCAAATGAATCTGTACCAGAACACTGATAACAAAGGTTTCCTTTTTATATCAAAAGAATCTTTCCAACCTTTTATACGAAGCTTTTTACATTCAGTCTTTTGCATACTCCTTTTTGACTGGCGGCTAAATTTTATATGGACTTGCGTCGTCCCCTAGACGACAAACAGCCCCTTGACGATAATGATGATGATGACTTTAGAATACTGCTGATAATCCAAACTTCCAAAGTCCCTGATTAATAAAGGTCCAGTCATTTACTCCAAGCTCAGATAAAAAGGAAGAGCACCAAGGAATTGTATACAGCATTGAATTCTATATTTCAGATCAATGTCAGATCATTGATCCTCATTTGATAAGTCATCCTCAAGTCATTGATATTCACCGAAATGAATTTAAGGTAAAAGATTGATTTAATTGCCCTCCTTAACTTATCATTCAATTATCATTTGATTGTTTAAGTCAGGGTTACTTCCTGCGATTTGCTGACCACCGTATTGCTTCTTCCTTCGCTTTTATATTTAATGACATTTAATTATGTTGATGATAATTGATGTTATTTGATTAAACATTCCGGATGTTACTTGTATGCGCAATTCGGATCTCATGAGACTCTCACTCAGTTTACGTAATTTCAAGGTAACAAGCGAGCGTTTGAAATCGTTCATGAAAATTATAATTTAATTGCGCGAACTTAATTTGACTTTAAAAACATAGATCTTCGTGATCACCACTGATACCTAACAAGTATTAAAGAAGAAGCAACGCGTTGTGGAAACGCAAGTGATGTATCGTACATATGTTGCGTATCCTTGGTTTACGTGTTATTCACATATGGGACGGGCCTCGAATCGCCTAGCAATAGACAGCTATTTATTTAGCGAGCCATTGAAGCATCGAGATATTTGTATTATAAAATTACAATTGCTGAATATTTTGTACAATACTTATACCACGGGCAACCGGGCAGTTGTGTACCGCAGCATATACGATTATATATACACGTCTATGTATTAACAAGGTATACTAGTTGATCCCAATAGGTGCTTAGCGTTCACGGCTCATATCGAACTTTTATGATTATATATTTATATCCAAGCAACACGTAGTAATATTGCGAAACTTAATAGAGACATTAAGATGGGTTTAGAGACGAAGCATTCTTAAAAAGCCCGCGTTTCACGTATCAGTCAATCGGACTGCTTGCCTTGTGCGCGGCAAATTCAAACTGTGCTATAAGTTTAAAAGTATTCCAAGTGCTCTGTCTGTAAGCTCCTCGTGCGTCTAACAATAAGCATGTGTACCGATCGAGCTAGAGAATGATTTTTAAATGCTCGAACAGCGACACTGGCGTCTTATGTTCCTGGTACGTACATAAGAAGTATAATTATGTATTAAGCATATATTGCATTGACTGTAACAACGTCCAGGTAATCTTCTGGATTACTGGAGAACTCGTATCCTGGAGGTTGTTTCTTTAAATGGGCTATGAAATGCTCATCTTCGGCACTGCAGCTTATATCCTCGGACTCGAAACGAATGTGGAGGACACGTACAAGTCTTTCGGACTGAATTAGATTATTTTAAAAGCGTTACTATGTACATAGCCGTATTTATATGTATTATAATATGAATTATTACTTATTACTATTGTAAACGAAGAAACTGACAGACATATGTATACACACCAATGCAAATGATATGCTCATTGTATGGCAGGATACTTGCACGTGGATATCGTGCAGGAATTATAACGCGGAATAATCATTCCTGACTATCCGATGAAATAAAAAAGGATTTTAAGTAGCATCACTGCGAGATAACTATTTGGATATTTACCTTGCGCTTGTACGTAACTAATTTTATTTATGTGGCTACGATACATCTTTATAGTGTATGCTTAGCTACAGCAAGTGATGTGATTGTTGAAGGAAATTATTAAGAAACTTAAAATTTTCTGTTGCCATTATATTCAAAGAATTGATTCACATAATGTAACTATATAAAACATATACAGTTTTGGCTATAATCAAATTTGCATTTAAGAAGTAGTGTACCTAGTGTCAAGAAAACATTGTTTATGTAATTTAATGAATTGTAAGCGTGACTAGGAGTGCTCGCAACATCTGCCAGTATGCATATGAGGAGTACCATCCTTGTTCACTTTCTCCTTGGCTGCATTTTTTTCTTGATAAAAACTACTTAGATCCCTCTTCATGGCATATGCATCCTCCCCATCAGCATAATATTTTGGTTCCACCTCCGACACCTCAAATTGTAGACTACTCGTGTACAGATTGAGGGCAGCTCTATTGCTGCGTCGCACGTGCAAGGAAACATATTTTGCTCCAAAACACTCGACCATTGCCCTAGAGGCCTGATTCATAAGCTTCTGAGCAATTCCCAGACGACGGTGGGAACGCTTCACAGCCAGACTTGTAATATGACCATGGGGATTGTCTTCGCAATCTTCCTCCATTTTGGCCAAGACATAACCTACTATACGTCCTTTTTCATCCTCTGCTACGTAACTCAATTGTGGCCACGATAACGCATGATAAAGATAGTACTTCATCTGATAATTTTCTGGCAAACACTGCAGATTGCAATGTTGAATATTGAGAAGATCCTCTGTCGATGCACAGCGTATGTTTATAGACATGATGAATTCTTGCTACTTAACTCGTAGTACATAAATCTTCCTCCACCTTATTTATCCAATCAAATACAATTCTATATTTCTTCCTGTAGGAACGTCCTTAGTCTCGACGCACCTTTTTCATGCGAGATCTGCCGTTCTTCAAATCATTCACTGACGAAGACTCACTCATACCACCAAGAAGTTCTCTCACGAATCTAAATCTGGACAGGAAGAACTTCCAAACAAGATACCAACCTGTAAACAAGAATAATGCAACGGCTGAGTCTATAATAATGTATAAAACTATATCATAAAATCCTAACTGTATCCTAACATTGTGACATTGACTGGGATAACAAGAATGGAATGTGACGAGTGCATTGTTAGCACAACAGCAATTATATCAAATGCATCAATACTATCCACTGTCCTTACCAAGAAGTATAAGACCAAAAACGATGAGTAAACTCGAAATTACGGAGAAGGCTGCCAGAGCAATTTCCTGCATCATTAACGTGCTGATCTCTACTCGTTCTGTCCACGAACGACCTCTTTATACACTGTGCCTAGGATGCGCGTTTACAAGATCTCTGTCTCATAACCTCTTGGAATTGTGACAAGTCCGTGAAATTTATAAGGATACGTATTGTTTTCGGCACAAGTATTTATATAACGGAGAGAAACGTAGCTCAACATAGGACAAGCAACCACGTCGAATCTTATCAAGCACGTCAAACACGCCATATTGAATTTTCCACGGGCTACGTAAAGAGGTTATGGACTCGCATAAATATCATTTCGTCAAAGTTCAACCGGGTAAGCACGCCTTCAAAACTTGTCGTATCACTTTTTTCTTGCTAAATTTATATAAGAAATTTCTTGAGCGCAAGGAAACTTACGATTCGAAAACTCCGGCCCACTTTCTCTCGCCCTTCGCGCCGGCACCGATTAGTGTTCCCTTCAGATATATCGTCTGCAATATAAATCCCTTTTGAAAGATTTTTAGATCTATTGTACCTTCGGCGGATAAGGTAGAAAACTTCTTCCTTGAGAGAATCCCCTTTTATTACTATTATAAATTTAAACGTATTCGCGTCCAATAAAAAATAACGTTGATCTTGTTTTTTGGATCGTCCATTTCAATCATAAGGAATACGTGTATGACGCACTTAGAAAAATTTCAGGTCGTTAACGTTTATGAAGAAAGATTTAATTTTATTCGGTCAAGGACAACCGTAAACTGCAAAGTGTTATGTACACAAACGATAAACGATCGTGTTCGCCGTATAAGGAAGCGAGTAGATGGATGGATGGCCTTCTTTTTACAGGGAACTGAGACCTAGATTTTTCAGCTTCTTAGGCTGTTTATAAGTTTAAGAGTGAGTTGTTCACGCGAAGTCAACACTAGGCAGCTTTGAACTATGCTTGCTTCTCCACGGTCAGAGACTATTGCAGTTGCAGTAACCTTCTTCGTATCCGCATCTGATTTTATACCAGTCTGCAATCGAAGATTCTCTAATCCGGACAGAGCCGTTTCCAAGTTTTTCGCTTTCTCAGCAAGAAACGTGCCAACGTCCGTCCAACTCTGTAAACCAGAGGAAAATATTAAAATGAATAAATTGTCACAACTGCCAATCAGTAATATATACATAAATTATATATTTTACCTGAAGATGGTCAGAAATTGAAGATAAGGATGGTAAGGATGAATTTTCCTTGCCAGCCAATTTCTTTCTGTTCTTCTTATTAGACATACGCGGCTGCATCTGCGTCGCACACGCGCTGCACATGGCAGCCAAAAATGCTAAAGTCTCGCCGCATGTCGTTGCTCTCAGTAAAAATGGTTTATAAGAAACAGGCGAATCGAACTCAGGCAGGTGTAAGGTTTGCAAAGATGCCGATGAACGAAGAGCTTCGAGGCATTTAACATCCGGATATGAACATTGCGTAAGCGAATCAGCTAATTGGACAACTGTTATTAATTGCTCGGATTCATATGCCTCGCGTAAGCGCGCCAGCGCGTCCATTGGTACCAGGACACTGGAGGCCTTGTAGTTGATAACTCCAGACTTCTCCGGGTCTTCAAATTTGCGTAAAGTCGCTGGTATTTCTTCAGTTGCCAATTGCTTCAACTGCGCAGACAAACGCGCGAGTAACGGCGGCGATGTCGAATCTGACTGCGACGTCGGCGCCGAAGCGTCGAATTCCGCGCAAGCAGCTATTATACGCAATATCAGACTCCGCGCCGCAAGCAGACGCAACATACATTCGCGTGTCTCTTCCTTCATACGCAAATCCTCATTCTTTTCTGATAACGGTTCCCATCCTACGATTACCTGTCACAAGAATTTTCCAAAATTGTATTCACTGTTTTATCCAAATGTGCATAACCGAATCTATATGTTTATTCATTTACCTAAGTACAAGTGCATATCTACTTAATTACTCACGTAAAATACGCACCTCTAAGTCACGATTATCTCGCAAAAGATCCCATCTGATGGAATCCTCGTGAGGCTGTATACGCATTGTTGATAATGTATTAAATAGCATTCCTGGACTATCGCACCAGCTGAGCTCGAGTAACATCTTGTCTACGGTTGTCATGGCGAAATGAAAGGAATTCTCTAGTCTTTCCCTCAGTTCGACGAATTCCTGAATTTTGACAAAACTTCCATATTTGTAGGCAAATGTTAAATGATCCGCACTCTGGAAAAAAATGATACTTATTAATGGCATTGGAGCTGATTAATATATCCTTATTTATTGTCGTTAATATATCGATCTGTTAGTTCCTACTTAGGTTAAAAAACTGGAGATCATACAAGTTGCTGCTACCTTATACACAAGGAGTGTACCCACTTGATAGTTTTACTAATAATTTTGCATCCTAGAGAATGAGGAATATTATGCAAGAGGATATTGCGCAAGATACGCAAAAGAAACTGATATTATATTTTATTTTTCATCGTGACTTCTTCGAGTGTTAATAAATTATTATAATTGTACAATCACGAACAACTCCTAATATCATAAATCTATGGTTCAACAAATAAATGAATTAGTGAAGGATTTTGTAATATACAAGAATCAGAAAGTTTTAATTGAAACTATAAATTGTGAAAATACATACATCTTTGTAATTGGCTACGAAGAATTTGGCAGCATGATCAAGTGTCGCAGACGCTCGAGACAAGTGGCCAAGAGGTGCAAGAAGAGGCGTATGTAAATAGCCCAAAGAATCAAGTTGAATATGCTTGGCATCCAATAAAGTAAATGCATGATCCGCTCCACCAATTAGACCCACTTCAAGATATATTCGCACCAATAAAATTTTTAAATGAAAATTAGCAGGACTCGACAATAAACATCGTTCCAACAATTCCATTGCCCTATAACAAATCCGTTAAATATTACGAAATCTTTGGCTAAAGTGTTAAATGAGCGTAAAAGTTTCATACATTTTTTAGATGAAAGAAACAGAGCCATAGAAATATATGGAATATTAACAAATTAGAATTACCTATATAAATATGATGCATCGTTACTCTCAAAATAAAGCTGATGAAGCAGATGGGATGCCAGAAGAGCATAAGGGTCCGCAGGACAAAAATCAGTAGGCAGTCTATCCTCGAAAGGACTTAGAGTACTTCCTTCATCATAAAGGTCAAGAAGTCTTTCTGCTAATTTTTCTCTTTCCTTTCTATCAGCAATGGGACAATGGTGTAATCCACAAATGCGCTGCAATTGCTTCATATGAATGTGTCTCTGCATCTGTTCTATAGTCTTTGGATACTCATCCGACTTCACGCCTACATCTTCATTAATCTGCAGTACAAAACACATTTTTGTTAAAGATCATACAATAATAAAATATTTAACCTTAAATATTTCGCAAGATTGTAGAAACATTTTAATATAGAACTTAGTTCATGTCATCCTCTACCTGTTGAAGTAGATTCAGCTTGCTAGGAGATGTAAGGAGATTCAGATATAATTTTAAATCACCAACAACACAACTCTTCTCACCAAACATTGCAAAGTACTGACGCATTAACTGTACAGGATCAAGTAATTTTTGCGCTTCTTCAGAGTCCTGTATCTGAACCAATAGCTCAAATCTGGCTAGATGAGGAGCTCTGGCTTTTGTTCCCTGGGTACTTGCTGCAGTTTCATTTAAAAAGTCTAAACATTCTTTAGGTGTTTGATGTTTTAGTGAGGCTTTTAAATAATCTTGATAATAAGCCCAGTTATCGATACTGTTATAATATAATAATAATAGAGGTTAATCAATTATTATTTCACTGCATAAATTACTAATTAAAATCTGACAATTCTATTATGCAATTACTTACTCTTGATTAATGAGTTCTTTGAAAGCAGCCGAAGCCTCAGGATAACGTTGTAATTGTAACAGTAGGCTAGCTTTCCGTTGAGGTACAGCGGAAAGGCGGGAAGCAAGAGGTCCTGAGAGTACATTCAAAATTTCTTCATCTTTTCCTTGCAACTCCAAGATCATCAAGTACAGTTGTAGTTCCTGTTCTGCTTCCATCTTTCCTTCGTTGACCAATTTTAACACCTGTGTCCAGAAATTCCATGTTCAATCCTAATGACTAAAGCTTTTGTTATAACATATTTGATAGATGAGGAGAAGCTGTCTACCCTTCCTCAAGATTATGTAAAAACAGTAATTTGTATTTTCTACAAGTAGTACATAAAATAATGTGCCAATGTAACTCATTATACTATTTTTGTTAGTTTCTGTTAGTTTTAAAAAATCTTGGAAAAATCTTAGAGGACTTTCATGTGACTGGAAAATAGTATCTCTGACTGACCATTCTCTCGGCCAGTGGAAGGATAATTCCTTTAGCAAGCTTCTCATCAGCTTTTAAAGCCTGCATTACTATGCTCATAACAGCCCAAAAGTAATATGGATTCTTCAGTTTCAGCTTGTACAAGGCAAGGGCAGTCTGCTGCTGTTTCTTGAAATCTCCAAGCCGCACATACGACATGAAGAGATGAGTTAACAATTCTTCGTTGGTAGGATCAATCTTTGCTGCAGCTTCATACACTTCACTGATTTTATCAGCTGAAAATGAATATGCCCTTCTTATTCTTTATTGAATACCATACATAGAATTCTTCATATTCTATGCTAAACATGGCTACATAAATACCATGATAGGAAGCATTTAAATATCAAAATTAATTAAAAAATTTCCTGAGTTTTGAAGGTGGGCCGAGTCAGCCTACACATATATGACATTGAATAAATTAATCAGATAGTTTTCAGCTAGCTTATTTCAAATTCAATCAGCCAATTTTTAATTACACGTTAATCTTGTACCAGAGGATCATTGAAAATAGAAATCTTGTAGCTCTCATGTAATCTAACCTTAATTGAAACAATAGCTTGATGATAAAGTATCTGATTTTGAATTAGTTTTACTTTTTTTATTTTTAGAAAAATGATGTTAGCATTATGGCGTAAGAATTCAAGTACTCTAGTTTTGTAATGCCAAATAACTACTCTAAACAGTCTTGTTTTCTTAGTTTTAATAAATCATGAGAGAGAAAACATATTTTCTTGTTTTGTCAGCGACTGAGACACTATCTTGAAACATTTTGAAGTAATGAACTGAGCAAACTTATCATCGCAGCTACCACCCACAGCATGAGAACACTAAAATATTGTAACAAGAGCACATACTCTCTTATTACATTAGAGTAATATTATAGAACTTACGCTGATGAATCTCTCTGTAGCAAATGCTCATAGCCTGTAGAGTAGAGTCCTCGCAGGGCACCTCAGCACGAACTTTATCCATGATAAGTTGGCACTCATCTTCTTTACCAAGCCGAAGAAGAGCCAAGGCCTTGAGAACCCTGGCACACTGATTACCTGGCTGCTTTCTGAGTACCTTATCCGCCTCTTGTAGGGCCTTCTTATTGTTTCCATTATCGAGCCAGTCTGCGAGAACGGTATCCCGGCATTACATAACCTCTCTGCCGGTTTGATCCGGCGGGAAAACAGGTAGCTAATAGATGGTTGGTAAACAAATTTTTCATAATATCGCACATCTGGCGACATAATATTTACCATAAATTGGGCGGAGTCGACGTTCGTTAACCGTGCTGTCCACATGGGTTTTAGACGCCATGATACCTTTTGTTGTTATTTCGAATTCGTAGACATTCCTCTTACCTCGTACATGACGTAAGCCAAACAAGACTTTTGATTTAACTTGTCGCCACTAGAGTTTTTATAATTGACTTTTCATTTCCATTGCAACAAAATCTCTTTAAGAATTATTATCGAGATAATTCTGTTACCAATTTACATCGACAAACAAGTAAATTAAAGATCTCAATAATTAATAAAACCGATTGTAAAGTCATATAAAGAAATATAATAAGAACAATAATAATGAAGCATACAACAATGGAGTGCATAAAAATTTTGCATTCCCCTCTTGTAAAGAAATTCTGATCATATATGCCCAAATTAATAATTAAATAACGTTGCTATATTGTATACTTAGAGCGTAGCTAGTTGCATACCATACTTATCGCAAAAACAAAAAATAAAATTTGCTCATAATTCTTTATGTGATCATGTTTCATGTGATAGAGCTTCGCTGCTCGTTCTTAGAATACAGTGCCATGTATATGATTCGGTAATAATTCCTGTATATTTTTTAATCGCAATGATATTTCTAAATGCAACTAAATTAGCTCCGATATTATTTATTTTCTGTACGGATCAGCACGTTTAGAGAAGATTTGCGAAAGCACGGCGTAAATGGTACGTTCAGCAGAAACCCCGCAGAGGAGCAAAAACATTTGATTGGTCAAATCCCACAATTGTTTTAAGATTAACGATCAAATGACCAATCAAATATATTTACTTCCTCAGCGGTGTTCTGCTGAACGTGCCTAATGATTTAAAAAAAATTTTATCGTAATGACGTCAGGGCACGTTACTAAAGATTAGCGAGTTGCGCAGTGCGAAAAATGTGTTTCTTGAACGTAGTTTCTCACAAGTCGTTCATACTGAACGGTGATACGTTAAGGAGATATAAATCTCAGCTCGTATCTCAATGTGTACATACTAATCTTGAAGCTCACACTAGTAGAACTGATAATTGATACCGATTACAGTGATTGACAGGTAGGTTTTATTTTTAGTATTATCTAATCTATTAGCTCAATGACGAAACCTGGTCCGCTCATTTTTCAACATTTACTCTTTCATTAAAAAATGATTGTCTTGGTTCTTGTTTTTTAATTATTTTCATAAATGATTTGTCAGATATCGTCTGCTAGCATGTTCTTTTATTATTGATAATTACTCAGAAACTATTTTCCATATGATACTGAAATATAACCTCAAATTTTATCTTGCATGCATGCGTTCTATACTTGATGTAAAATTGACATTCTGAATAATTTCTTATTCATGTTTGTTATTGTAAACTTGTTCTAGCATGAAAATGATGAAACATGTAGATTACTTCATTTAATCTCCATGTCATGTGCCAAGTTTAAACATAAATTGATGTTGGATTTTAATCATTTTGTAAAGTGAATATTATAACTGTACGATAGTTACCATTTAGACAGTCTAGAATTTATTAATTCTTGTTCAAAAACTTTACAATTTCAGCAGTATAAATAGTATCTTGTATGGTAAATAGTACAAAATCAACTAAGTATCAAAATGGCTACAATTAGTATTTCCCTATTACATAAACTTTTATTATTCAATATACAAATTGATTTACTTTTAAAAATGGTATGCCATAAAAATATGATTTGAATGTTTGTATCGTCAATAACCAAGTGTTAAATAAACATAATGCAGTTTATTAATTGCATTTATTCATGTTTATAATTATTTCATACTCAAATATTTAATCTTTGTAAGGCAATTAAATAAATAAAATGAAGAATAAAGAAACTCAGGTATTCTAGTTTTATTATATATGATTTAATGTAATAAATAATACAAGCAAAAGTTATCATATTCAGGAAATATTCATAAAAGGACTGACTTATAAACGTTGTATGTTCAATAATTCTTATTATTTTTGTTTTGCAGCACTTAATAATACTTCATATTAATAATGGCACAGAAAGAGTGGAGTGATTGGCGGCCATTTGTCTATGGAGGTTTAGCTTCAATTATAGCAGAATTTGGTAAGTTGTATTTCCATTGGTTTTACAAACTTTGTGGCATGGGACTCTGCGAGCGAAAAATAACATTGCAACATTGAGAAATGGAATGTGGAATTTGTCATAAATCCATGATTCCAGATATTAGACCTTAAGTTATATTCGAAATTGTTTTTTACAATGACCCACTGTATTAGAGTTATAATTTGTATAAGAAAATTTTCATTTTGTGTATGTCATGTATGATGTACACTTACAAATGTATATTGCTCGCTGGGCCTCAGGCATTTTTAAATTAATACTTTTGGTATAATCCTTCATTATTAATTTGATTACTTGATTTGAGTGTGTAATTTTTTATTTTCTGTATACATTGAGTATCCTTATTTAATCATAGTTGATTTTGTGAATCAATAATGCATTCTGTGAAAGACATCTAGATAGTAATTAACGTCAACTAAATTAGATAAATATCTAATAAATGGTGAAGATCTAATTGTACTGCACGATGAGACAAATATGTTGGTGCTATGCTACAAGAGAGCCTTCTGTGGGCATTGTATCGTAATAATTTCTTCTATTTTTTGGCATTCCTCACTGAGCTCCAAACCTTGTCAAGAATATTGATAACCAAGCAAGACCCACATACAGAGATTTGATAATAACATATAACGTCGGAAATATTGATTTTCAGGTGCACACTCAAAGTGAATGTCCTGTCATCGAAAATCCAGCCAAATCGATAATTCAAAGAAAGATGTGATCGATGTCTCGATTAAAAAGAAGTACAGTACATTCCTCCTGATGGATGAAGCACCAACAGTTTATTTGCTCATCCGCAATATAATTGGATCGACACTAGTATCTTTAAAATTTCCATACTTTCCGTGTTTTTATATTGACAGAACTTGGATGTTGCGAAGAGTGAGAGGCTTTTTTTCCATTATATTTATATTGCACAACAATTATCTGGAATATACATATGTAGGATAACAAATCACATAAGGCTGTCCTGGTCGAAAGTATGATTACGTTACTGCGATGCCGTCATTCCAATGCTTTTTATTCATTTGTTTATTTACGTTTCAAACTAGCTATCATTACGACACATCAAACGAAGTAGATTAAACATATTTATTTAAAAAAATAATTGCGTTGCGTATGCTTTATATTCTTGTGATTTGCTTGACGTAATTGTTTAGAAATTTGATTTACATATGGAAGTTTTATTTATCTAAATCATATTAAAAGAACCGACAGTGACTTGTCTCGCTGCCAGTATCGTTTGATTGAGTTTTAAAATCCTCAACAATGGACATTGCAGTGCAATCAAAATTACATCATTTAGGTACATACGTCACAGAAGATACGTGCATAGATTTACTTGAAATTCCTTAGAGATAAAATATGTATATTTGATCTTCTACTTTATTGCGCTGTAGGTACCTTTCCGTTAGATACAACAAAAACACGCTTACAAGTGCAAGGACAGAAGCTAGATCGTAAACATGCATCTTTAAAATATTCTGGAATGATTGATGCTCTTCTACAAATCACTAGACAGGAGGGACTTAAAGCTCTGTATTCGGGGTAAGTAAAGTTTTCATGCTTTTTCTCTCTCTTGGCTTGCGCATCCGTTTGAGCTGATCTCTTCACCTGGAGCCAGCTAATAACACGGATAAGTAATTACGATGTTTTTGTATTTGATGATATGTCGTTACAATTGTTGCATAATCTGAAATATTGAGAAGTAAAAACATTTGTTTGTGAAGCTCATCCGGTGATCTTGCATAATCATAGCGAAAAAATAGGATCAAAGTATACAGCTTAGTGAAATGATAATTAATTACAATCATCTGTCTGTTTACAATTATCTAATGTTTCGGTGATGATGCAAGTTTGATAGATGTTAATTCTTTTTTTCTTAATTTGAAGACATCAAGAATGTAAGTTGGTACGATTTATTATATAAATGGTACTACACTTTATTTCGTTTCTTTTTGGTGAATTATATTATATTCAGGAATGGGTTAGGAATTTTACTTTGAAAGTAGAATATAATCTTTCAGATACTGGACACTATATCGTCTGGTCCAATAAAAATTAGATCGATCGGCGTGTTATTCCATAGGTAAACTGGAAGATTATGAAACACTGACAAAATTTTGATAAAGATACGATAAAGATTTAATTTTAAATGATGGCTGGTTCGACAACGACGTATCCTTGTGTGGTTCATTGGAAATTCATAATTTTTGTTGCTCGTGCTGTCCTGTGTAATATACAAAAAAAATCAAACAATCCTGAATACTGTTACGACATAAGGGTTATCTACCACTTGAATTCTTGAACTTGTGAAAAAAGAAAGTTAGAAACAGTTCTATTCATATAATTCAGTCTCGTCCTAGTTTTATATTGTAAAAAGGAAAAAAATATGAAAAAATACCATGCAACTATATGTATGAAGATCGCACTTCCAAGTGGAATTACATGGACAATTAATTGTCATATCATTTTATTTAATACCTGAATATTCGGTTAGGTAATATCAGTTCTTACCGCCTTATGTTCTAGATGTCTTCAAGTGAAAAAAATACATTTCTCTTGACGAAGACCTACTCCAGAGCCGAAACTTTGAGTAAGTAAACGGATACCTGTGATTACAAGTATTTTAAAAACCCGCATGATCTCAGAATTATGTACAATCTATAAATAATATAACTTTAACTTCTCAATCGGCATTTACTATTCGCCATTAAACTCCACGTTCACCAATCACATTCACTCTTAAGATCATTATTTAGAATCTACATAATTTTCTTTTTCCATAACATTGTCAATCGAACTTGTACCCAGATAACTCAGGAACTAGGGGATGGAGTGTAAGCTGGCAGTAGTGTTGGAGGTTGTGATTTATGAGTCATAATAGTGGTGGCAAAAAAAAACAAGCAAAATGAAATACCTTGTACCGGTATAGGGTGTAAATAGTTGACCAGGGAAGTTGAGTAAATTTATAACTATATAAAAGTATAATTATAATTCAGACACTAATTTTATAATAAATTAATTAATTAAATTGAATAATTTATACTGTCCCAGATGAAGCTGTTTCTTTTGACCGTTGCGCTTCTCACCTTTCTTTTAAATTTAATTCAAGTTATATCAGAAGTATAGTACCCTTGAACGACAACGTATAATTCGAAAAAGTCAATTCTTCCTAATATATGATGTATCTATTTGTAATTTAAGCGTGCCGAATTTATGTGACTACATTGAGGCACCTTCTCTTAGAAAGCTTTTTCCCTATTTATGGCAGGATCAGCTCGGCAGTTCTCAGGCAAGCTACTTATGGGACTATTAAGTTCGGGACTTACTACTCACTCCAAAAAGCAGCCACCAACAAATGGGGCACTGATGATTTAGTGATCATTAATATTGTGAGCGCGGCGATAGCAGGATCCATATCGAGCGCAATCGCAAATCCAACTGACGTTGTCAAAGTTCGCATGCAAGTCACCGGATTAGAAGCGAACTTATCCTTATTTGGCTGCTTCCAGGAAGTATATCAACAGGAGGGCGTTCGTGGCCTCTGGAGGGTAAATTAAATAATTTTTTGAATGCACCTGCATTGTCGCACTGACAATGTGACATTTTTTTTGTACACGCACTGACTGCAAATTTCTACCTTTAGAACAGATGACATTTGAAACATAAATTTGGTCAACAATTGTGGCGCACAGATTAATATTACCATGTCCTTTGTCTTTTCGTGGTTTATAAATCAGCCCTCAGCTGTTTTGCCAGTTTATACTCCGTTCCTGCTTTTTCTGAAAATGTGAATTTGTTCATTAGGATGTTAATTAAATTGATAACGTTAGAGCACATGCACTTATGTTTTCATGAAGTTTACATGGCAATGCTATTTTCTTTAATAAAAATTTTTGCGCGCAGGGCGTTGGACCTACCGCACAGAGGGCAGCAATCATTGCGGCAGTTGAACTGCCTATTTATGATTTCAGTAAACAAAAACTAATTAGCGTACTTGGGGACAGCGTTAGTAATCATTTCATGTGAGTGATCATTTACTTAGTTAATGCTTGAGCTGTAACTCAGATTAATTGGAAAATGAAGTTTATCACTGTTTCACTATTTTCTAATAATTCTTGTATTTTAGATCAAGCTTCGTAGCAAGTATGGCGAGTGCTATATCTTCTACACCAATCGATGTTGTTCGGGTGAGTGTTGAAGGACTAAAAAAAAAACAATTAATGACTTATTTAAATTTTGAGATGGAACCTAATATATAATCAGAAATGATCTATTTTAGACAAGATTAATGAATCAGAGAAGAGTGCGTACACCATGTGGAATCCTACCTCCTCATATTTATTCTGGCAGTGTGGACTGTTTCGTTCAGGTATTACAAATGAAAAATTGGTATTGATTTTTAGTTGGATTGACTTGTTCTGTAATATTCACACTTGAATTCATTTAATAAGAAAAATTATTGATTGGTGTTAAAAGTGGAAGTTAGATATTTTCTTATGTATACATATAAAAATTGGTTTTGGCTTTACAGACTGTAAAAAATGAAGGATTCTTTGCATTGTATAAAGGCTTCATTCCTACATGGTTCAGAATGGGTCCCTGGAATATTATTTTTTTTATCACCTACGAGCAACTTAAGCACCTGAACTTGTAGAAGCATATTCAAGTGTGATCGAGTGATAAATTCGGATACTAGTAAAATCGGTGGTAAGAAAAATTTATATAAATTGACTTATGTACCTAATTCACATTTTCAAAATTAGTGTTCCTTATTCACAATTTGAACATAAATGTTTAGCATAAAAAACATATTTTGTAGTAGAGCTTATTAACGTTGTTTAATAGTTCACATATGTTACAATTCTTATAAATAATCTTGGTGTCTTGCGTTCAAGTCTTATCCTAGTGTCACAGTACAATGATGTTCTCCTTGGGTCCTAATGATGAAGCACCGAACACCCTCAGCTCATGGAGATGTAGTACCTTACAAGAAGAAAATGATTGGAATCAAAGTGTAGATTCCTTTGCATTGGAATCCTCAAGTTCCAGTAATCGTCGTGTTGTTAGATGGCATTTACAGTAAAGTAGTACAAATTAGATCTGCTCTAAATAGATACAACAAAAGTGCCCTAAAAGTGTTATCACCTAGTAATGATATCTTATCTCAGAAAGATCTTATGGACAAAGAGCATTTTACATTACATTTATTATTTATCAAGTTCTCGAAGTTCCTTTTCATATTAACCTGAATCTAAACTTTCTTTAGTCCATTATTTCTTCTTACTTTTACAAAAATTCGCCCCTACTACCATAGATGGACACTATTTTTGAAACATCTAAACATTTTACTTTGCTAAGTGTGATCAAATCGATATATCCTTATCCTTATGATGATGTATTACAAATGTCTGTAACAAAGCGTTTAAAAAGAAAACTAGGATTATAAGTATTGTATGGCCGGGCCTGACTTCTTCTCCTTCCTTTTCTGTTTAAACTTTACATTTTCCCTATTAAGATCTTGACAATTGCGTAGTATTAAGGAGTATTCAAATGAATATAAGTGTGATTTAGTAACAAATGAAAATACTAATGTGAAAGATAGTATAATTTGATTTACAATACAAATTGATCACGTAAAATTGTCCTGTTTTTTTTTTGAGTACTCGATACCAATATTTAAGCACATATAGTTAACAATTAAGAAAAATGCTCTGTTTTTACAACACCGTACTGATACCAAACTAGGATAACATCTACGTAATCGCTTTGATAAATAGTGAATTGGTATTAGCTAAACAGAAATAAACGTTCAGATTCCTCAGGCTATTAGAATGCTTACTACGATAGGTTTTCAATATATTGAATCAAATGGAACTTGCAGAAATGGTTTAAAATTTGACTGTCTTTTTATACCGGAAGTCCTGAACTATGCTAGACTTTAAAATATCCCATGCGGAATTTATTTTCTTTCGCAAATAAAATTATACGCATAAGTACCTTTGCCAATGTTTTGCACTTAAACTATTATACAGTTTTACTGATTGAATTTAGGTTTCTATGATGTTTTGCTTTTACTTTTGGTTAAATGTTCCATTATGGATGATTGTTTTAATGCGAGACATTTTATTCGCTAGATCTAACGGAAATGGCCAATGGCGTGATTCTGTATTTAGATATTTTGACAGATTCAGTAAATGGAAAGCATCCATTGAAGATGAAATCATTGAAGTGATGTTCAACAATAGTTTTGTAGTCTGTGGTTAATAATAAGTTTTTCGTGTTTGTTTGATCTTATTTGATTGATGTAAGTTACAGGGTTATATAAATATTACAGTTTGATGTATTGAAAGTGTTTGTATCTGAATCGTCTGATTCTTCTTGATTTATTGTAATTAATTATATTTTTCCAGTTTCTGCAAGAGAACAGCTGCAGAAATGGCTATCTGCTATACCAGGTACTATTCTATCAAGTTTTTTCTTTTTTACATATTTTGATGTTTGTTAATTTATAATTTTCGATGGTTATTTAATAATAGGAATTGTTTTTAGGCTCTTGTGTCAACGCAACTTAGGTCTAACTAGTCTTCGGTGTTTGTACACCTCTAAGTAAGTCATTACATAATACCTTGTAGTCATTCTGAACATAAGGCAGTGTCTTATTATATATTATTTACTCTATCAAAGAGTGTTTGCAATGGAGATTTAATTGAAATATTTTTTAAGTATTAGGTATGAATTAAAATTATATTAAACAATGTATCTCTTTTAGTCCAATTAGTGTTTCTGCCACCAATTCATTATGTGCTACTACACGAGTTTGTGAAACGCATGATGAGAGAAACCTTCGTCTTAAGCGACCACTGTCTCCACATTTAACTATCTACCAACCACAGTTAACATCGATGCTATCCATTACTCATCGTGCGACAGGAATAGCTCTTTCATCATATGCTATTATATTTGGATTCAGTAAGTTGTATTACAACTGTTAATAATCAATATGAACGTTTTATACTGAATGCAATGATCACTGAGTACTTTTTTTTCATACACATTTCAGGTGCTCTACTTTTACCTGGAGGAGTACCTTGTCTCATAGAATCCATACAAGCTTTATGTCTTCCTGGTCCTATTCTCTTTGTTGGCAAAGCTTTAGTAGCATTTCCTGCTACCTTCCACTACTTTAATGGAATCCGTCATTTGGTAAGGCATCATTTAATACAATACCATTACTAGTTTTCTGTTGCATCCATAGTTTGAAAAAAGGTCAATGGTTGCATTAAATTACATTGCATTTATTTTCATTTCCAGATCTGGGATCTAGGAAAGTGTTTAACGATCAAGGAAGTATATACCACTGGCTATATAGTCATGGCACTAGGAGCAATTACTGCTGTTGCATTAGCTGCATTGTAAGACATCTGTGTATAACAGAGTTACGTCACGCATCGTTTAGGTTCATAGTGCAGTTGGAGTATTAAATCCTTCTGATATACATTATACAAGTATTGTTATTATAAAATAAATTTATTTATTGGACACGTGTTGCACAAATACATATATGGACGTTTTAATTTAGCTTGCTTGCTTCCATCTATAATATCAAATCATGAAGTGTATTAAGACAGCATGTGATATTCTTCGTATACTATGAACTCATACTACATCAGCTAAACCTTACTTAAATTTGTAGGATATCTTATGATTGTAATTAACAGTAGTCTGAAGATAAGGATAAATATTTTCAGGATATTCTCGTTACTTTATGATGTATGAAGTCTATAGTTTTAAGATATCCAACAAAGTCTCGTTGGTATAATAATTTTTATTAGAAAATTTTTACATAAATTTGTTAATTTAGCGCATTCCGCAACCAAAAATGATCATGTTGTATGGTATAATTTACACAATAAGAATCAAGAAATAAGGTCTAGTTTTGTGATTATTTTTAGCACTATTTCCGTGCGAAATATTTTATTGAATAATATTTACTACTGAGATTGAATGAGAGTCCTATTAATTTTAATCTGAAAATTATTATTTAAGGGGTAATCACCAGTAAAATTATATTGGACACGATAATTTATTGATTCCAAATTATTTTCAATCGGAATACAAATGTCTCCGATTGCAATTAAATCGGTCATATACCGCATAGTTTTCCTGAAGAGAGTTGAAATCATGGTTAAAATATACTGAATGTATACCTATAGGTTGCTAATAATATATATACATAGATCTGCGAACACGTATGTCATCCAATCTCATCTCTCAACTTGACCCCGGGGCAAAACGTAGCCATTATTTCTTTAGGGGAGTTGAAACATCAAAAACAGCCGGTCAAGTCTACTTCAAAATTCTAGCAACCTGTTTTCAATAATGTCGGGGAAAAAAGCAATGGTACTGTTGGCCGATGGATCTGAGGAAATGGAAGCTGTAATTACAGCAGATATTTTGCGACGTGCCAAGGTATAGTATATTGTTTATTTAACCTTAAAATATTTGGTTATTAATTACTTAATAAAATATCTTAACGATTATGTTCTTGTAACTTTCAAGTTGTCATTGCAGTTAGAATGTAGTAATGAAATATATGGACCTTAAACTCATATTTTAAATATGTATGTATATTTATTATTTCAGATCGCAGTTACACTTACCAGCATTACTGGTAATGAAATTATCAAATGTTCTAGAGATATTAAAATCTCTGCTGATGCAAAACTTCTTGATGCTATTCAGAATCAAAAGTATGATGCTGTTATATTACCTGGAGGAATGCCTGGCTCTAAAACTTTTGCTTCTGTGAATATATATATTCTCTAATGATTAAACTTAGAAATGTTCTACAAGTTATAACAAAGCATTTACTAACAATACATTTTATTGTAGTCCGAGAAAGTTGGGAAGCTGCTGAAGCAACAGGAAGCTGAAGATCGATTGATTGCTGCAATTTGTGCTGCTCCTACTGCTTTGAAAGCACATGGAATTGCCAAAGGAAAAAAAATTACGTCTTATCCTTTAATGAAAGACCAATTAACTGACGACTATACTTACATTGAAGATAAAGTTGTGGTTGACGGTAAGAATAACTGTTCTATATTATATAATTCCTTGACTAATAACTTCTGTATTATAACTAATAAAATTTGTTATTTTTTGTATATTAGGTAATCTGATAACCAGCAGAGGTCCTGCAACAGCTTTTGCGTTTGGCCTGGCAATTGTTGAAAAGCTGCTGAACAAAGAAGTAGCTCTATCGGTAGCTGAAGGTTTGTTGTATGACGATTACAATTAAAGTGAACATAATGGAAAGGATTAATTACATTATGCTATTTGTATATCGTATATTACATCTCTAAAAACATAACTATGGAAATAAGAAATTGTGATAATATAAGGATCAGCACCAAATAAATTTCAATATCAAAGTAATGCAAAAGATTCAATAATCGCATTTGGAAGTAACTTCTTTTACATTAAAGTAATATACTCATGAGATCAACAATACTCCATTTATGACTTTATTTAGGTATTAAAATAAATTGGCAAAAGAAATGTACATTCCACGTCAATCATGATTATTTCATACATAATGTCTTATTTCGCAGGTTTTAAATTAATATTACGTAACATACATAGATCCCTTGCAGTTGCTTTACGTCCCACTGCAGTTTGAATGTCATATAACCTTAGAAGTAAATCAGTCGTAAATAATTCTGGCAGCGACTTGAGCAAACAAGGCACCTAGAAAAAAATGACAAATAGTATGAAACACAATAAAGTATTATGAATCACATGAAACTATGCCAATAAAAGTATTTACGGTATTTTAACTCTCTGACATATATTCTTCAGGTTTTCTAATTTTGTATTACAGTAATTATTATATCGTTATATCCATTATAAAGCAGTTACCAATGTTTGCGGCATTCCCTGTAGTACAATACGCGTCCGGTCCTTTCCACACTGTACCATAAACCTCAAGAATTGTAATATAAAATGTGTTTGTTGGGACACTTCTCCATCTCTACCAGCGAGAAAAGCAAATGTGGAAAATAGCCCATTAAGGGCAGTTGCCAAGGGATCCCTCAAAATAATAGACTTTTGCCCGCTCGTCGTTGTTTGGGCTTGTGGTGAATTTGAACCGAACATCGGATTCGAATCTCCAGATTCATTGAGTCTAAGGATTTTATTCGCTGGAACACCTAGTGCGTCCAACTCATCAGTGTCCATGTCATGCCTTGCACGTTTCCTACTGTTTCCGCGACTTGGATTGGAATTGTTATGCTCTAACGTTGAATATATACAAGAGACACATAGTTTAGCTAAGATCGATGACTGTGGCTCCACTAATTCCTCACTCCTGGAATTTAGTTGTATAATATGTAAGAATGTCTTGCGTAGGACATGATAAAATATATATTTTTAATTCTTTTATTGGTGTAGAGAAATTGATAACTTACTGTAGTGCATTATACAGATACTGTGGAACGACATGATTTAGAAGATCCAATGTACAATTCTCAATATCCAAGTGAAATATTGAGAAAGTTAAATCCACAGCCTGGAGCAATTCCTCCTGATATCTGTATTTTAATACTTCCTTTACTAAATTTGATACGAACCACATGGATCCACCAGTGTTCAATAAGGACTCTAAGGATTGAGTAGCTTGCACGTTTATCCAACCCCGTTGATGAATACCTTGCCAGACTGACTCCAATTGCTCCGAAATTGGTTGTCTTGATATTATACTAAAGAAAAAAATTATGCAAAATTCCACATTAATTTATTATGATTACTCATAATTGTGAAAAGAATTGCTCTTTGCTCTTACCTGTGAGACATCGAAAGAACTTTTGTTTTTGACTGTGTAGGTGGATGAACGTCATACTGCATTTTACGGATTATTTGAAACATTAAACTGGATCTAAAAGGTTATAAAAATACTTTAAGTAATTACTCAAAAACTTAGTACCGCTATTCTGCATTTTTAATTCACTGAAAAGTACACTTACCGCTCTTTAAAGTTATCTTGCATTTCATCGCTAGGAAATGGCGTAAGGAATTGCTGCACCATATTCATAGGCTTTAGGAGTGCATCCTGATGAGTTATGCTCATGTGTGCACATAGCCATGCTGCCGCACATACAGGCAGACAACAGGCAGCTGCGCGCAATCCGTCAAGTGCTCGTTTAACATCTCCAGCACCTAGTGCACCGCTCTCCCAGGCGCAGAGTAATTCCTTGACAGCACCCATAGCGGATCGGCATGCCACGTGCCACTTTACGTTGCTCCCCTTAACGTCAGGATCGGCTGAATTGATTTGTGTCAAGAGAGCATCCACGCGAGCTGGATCTATATTCTGTAGCATTTTTTGAGGAGACTTTGGTTTATCTCTTTCAGCCATACACTCACGCACCCATTGTTCGAAAAAGGAATCACCACCTTCTTCTAAAACAACCTGTAGGAATTGTTCTAAATTATTTAGCAGTTGGCTTAATAATTTATCGTTTTATATAAGTATGTTAATTCGCATTCTTACATCAGATCCATATGTTTGGACAATTGAGCATAGCATTAGAAACGATACGTCAAATAACATTGCTCGTGTCGCAGCCGTTTTTCCTGGTCCCGTCTCATTTATTTGTTTGCTGCATTCGTTGAATTTAATTAACTTTGTCACAAATGTTTTTAATTGACCCTCCACTGTGGCTACTGCTAATATCAGTTCGAAGCTCTTTCCGGTTAAAACTTGACACAGCATACTCAGTAATGCTTCTTGAATTTTTGGATAATCTGCATTGAGTGTTTTTAAAATGCCTGCTAGTGTCGGCTCTGCACGAATTATTACTTTTGGTATTGATGATGTTGGAGATCCTGATGATTCGAGCTTTTGCAATGCTGCTGTTACTCCCTCTCTTTATGGTAATGAATTAATTAGTTATATTATAATGTTATTCGGACTAATGTTAATTAATGGCTACCTTTTACTACTTAGGTGTTTTGCTTGATCTTCCGTAACTAGATTAACTTTTTGTAATTGATTCAGTAAACATTCTACACAATTACATGAACACGTTGTATCCATTATATCGAGTAAGGGTGTAAATTGTAATAATAATTCAAACGCATCCAACACCTCCTGTGAATATTCAAACTTTTCGTCACCTGCAATAGATATTGAGAAATATAGAGAGCTTCTTTTATGTCTTGTATAATTGTTAGCGGTAAATAACATACCATTTAGGGTAGAACAGTGCAACTCTTTTAAGATGAGGGGTACTTTTAAAAAAATAAATGCTCCCCACTGTGATTCTTTAGAAGTTCCGGTAACGTCGTGTAAACACATCAAGCAAGCTCGAATAATTTCACAGTAAAGTCTTGCGTTTGTATAGCTTTTCAGTCGTTGAATCATAAGAAGTTGATTGACGAATACTGATGTTTCTGTACTAGGATTTAGCAGCACTTGAACAGCAAGAAGTGGCTGCAAACAATACGTAATAGATTCCATTTCAGCTGTTGTAGAATGCAGTGCCAAACTTTCGACTTCTAAATTGCATAATTTTTTCAGAGAATCTTCGATTGGTACTGTTGACTTTAGAGTACTTGTTTTTTGTACCACTTCTATTTCATGACATTTTTTGACTACTTCGATATACAGATCTAGAAACAAATGTGAATAACATTATTGTCTGATGCATATGTTTGAAATGACTGTATTTTATAATCGAAGTATACCTTTATCGTCATACTTAGCCAAATACATCATTGCGTAAATGAAGTCAGAGCTTAGCATCTGTTTCAGAATACTCGCAGGTTTGTCTATAAGTTCCGATGGTTGTGGAGAGAGCGGATTATTATGTGGCATCTTTGTTATCGCATAAAGGTAACATTGAAGCAACCAATGAACTATAGACAGAACTGCTGCTGCTAAAAGATCCTCTTCTGGTTTTCCTCTGCATGTAATTCCTACTTGAATCATATCTAAGAACTCCATCAGACTGACAATGCAATGTGGTTTGTGGAACGCATCATATTTACTGATGCGCTGCAGGACAGCAGCATAAGACACCAACTGTAATAAAAAGTTTATAGTTAAATTTATATTAGGGAACTTGTAGGAAGTATTTATATTAATTAAATATTAATGTAGGTAGAATTTTACGTGATAGAAGTATAAGGTATAACTCAAACCTGTGAACTTAGTGAATGCTTCAGGTAAGATAAGACAAGTTGATTTGGTCCAGGTCCGACCAATGCCTGTTGCAGAATGCAATCAGCTAAATTATAAACATCTCCGCTTACACCTCGTGGTAAAATCTAAAGTGATTGATGCATTTTAACCACACTATAACAATATCCATAACTAACAAAAATATTTGTGTTTAAATATTACTCACAGTTTTTATATTGATACCCCATTGCAAATCACTCCAGCGCTCACGCCATGCCCGGAGTAAAAGTGCTTTGAGACTACTAGTTTTACTCGTGACCTTAGTTTCCATTACAAATGACAATAAAACATTGCACATAATTTATATATATACAAATTTCACCTAAAAATGGAAAAGACATTTAAAATTATTCTTTACACTTTATGAATTACTATTGAATTCAGACTGAGTATGACAGTCTAAGTATTAGCAAATAAACATTGTACAACATTAAATGGATTTCAAAAGCCAAAATCCTTCTCCAAAGAAAGTTAGTGATCATACACCTAACCTAAAAGAGTACCTGAGGTATACAATTTCCATGTCAAGACACAAATTAGTGTAGCATCTGTTATAATTTATCACATATATGGAATGATACCAAACAATTAGTACCACTTTTACTCATCAAATGAAATCAAACAAAAGGTAAGAACATTATTACAGAAACAGCAACATATTGGACTGGACTTTCATAAATAAACGCCACTGGTTGAGACTAGTAATTAGTTGCCATTCGCATCCTAACTTCAGTCGCCCATTGCAATCGGGAGTCTACCTGCTATAGGTAAAGAAAAAAGGTGTTTCTATCCATTTTCGTATTTTCACTAAAATCACTTAAAATTACATGATTCAATACGTCATAGAGCGTAAAGATTGACAATGTGATTAGAGTGAAATAAATAAATTAAAATTATTCATTATTATGCATAATGTCTTATCTTAGTGACACGCTCTTGGTAAATAAAGTGAGGCTTTCTTTTCTTCTTTATCCACACATAATATTTATCAAAAAAGTTTTAATTCTGTTTAATACATAATATTAACGAAATTTATAACAGGTTTATGTCAGCATTTTTATATGGGGACTACCACATCAAAACAATTCGACCTTTAACTTCATTGACATACATTCATCATGTTACCTGGAACAAACTTTGAGTATTTTATGGTCTTTTACTGATTAACAATTGAAATTTTATGATTTTCCCTTTCACGAGCATAGAAATATGTTCTTCATGGGTTTACTAAACATTCTATATGATTTTTGTAATGTTTATTGTTTAATGTAACTAAACATTTAGCTATAGGCTTGTTCATAAAAATGTTATAAAACTATTATTTTTTAATATTAGATAAGTCTCGTAAGATTCTTTCATATTATCCAAGGTTTTCAATAAGATACGCTATTTGTTAATTATTAATACGATTTACGTCATTACGTATCACGTTATAATAGCCAACCAAGCTGAACTTATTGTTAGACTTGCGATTTATATATTCTTAAAGTAATATTGAAACATAAAAAGAACGTTTCAGTTAACAAATAATATACTTATTCATACACATCCATTATTATTGTTTACAGGAAATTCAATATGACGTCTTGCAATGGCTATATGTATACATAAACCTACTACAGTGTGAGGTCACTATTAACAAGAAATGTATTTTTAACGTTATTGGTGGATCATAAATGAGGAAATTTTATGACAGTAAATCAGGAAAATTGCGGGCGAAAACAAGAGAAGGCTAAAGAAAGAGAGTGGGAGAGGAGAGAGAAAGAGTGAGAATGTGATTAAGAGAGGGAAAGAGACATAGTGGGAGATACACAGGAGTTAGAACTGCTGTATGGAGTAAGAGTGAGAGGAAAATAAATATAAAGAAAGAATGAAAATCACAATGGCTGTGGGGTTGGGGTTGAATTTGCTATGGGTTTGGGGGGCTTGCAAACAGTTATGAGGAAATTGGGGTAACGAGATTGCGGAACGCGCCGAGTTGGAGCGCACCCCCACAAAAGAAAAACGAAACAAAAACTCAGTACAAGATGGCTGCGTTTGGGTGTTGTGGCTGCTGATCTGATTTTGTGCGTGCTGCTATGCTAGTTTACTAGACTGGCTAAATTTCGGCGAATTCTATAAGAGTTTTCGTCGTTTTCTTCTTACTCAAGTAACTAACTTGCAGTTGTGCGCGATAGTGGGTTGCGGTGCAGGTAATAATGCGAGAGCATTGCTAGCACGTCCGAATATTAAGTAAGTTTGCTTTTGATGTTTCAGCTCTATTCATAGTTTATTCTTATGCTTAATTAGCCTTTGTCTATGGATTATTTATACGGTGTTTTTTGTTATGGTAGTTTTATTACGGTTAACGTGAAATTGCTTGTTTGACCAATTATCGTAATTGTGTGACACGCTCCTTCATCCTTTCATTTTTGCGACAGAACGAAGCTCATGCTTGCTACGTCTCTATATGTATAATGGATAAGGTTTGGTTCGATTACTTAAGAAATCTACTCCATTCTGTTGTAATTTAAAGGAAATTTTAAGCTTGATTGCTTGCAAATGTTGAGAATACAGGTCTCTTTGGTAGCTTTTTGAGAATTATGCTGTTGGAAATTAGTATCAGTTTATTTAATAATGAATTTGAAAAATGTTAGATTCTGTTGGAGTGTTACCATATATTTTTATGATACTGTTTGTTACTATTTGAAGTTACTCCATGTTGGGCTCCCAAATAGAGAAGTCAATTACGTACTTGAAATTTGGTGAACTGGCGAGAACTCAATCAGTTATCAGGCAAAACATATTTTAAAGTGCAAAAAAACAAGGATTAATATAAAATAAATTTCTTAGAATTTTATGCAGTATGAGTTACATGATGATCGTTGTCTAATTTTAAACTATATTTTAACCTTTCTTCATAAGTATATAAATATTCATGTCCCACAATTAATTTTTAGTTTATATATGTTACATTTCATATTACTAATGTGCAATCTATATGGTGAAATGGATTAATATATCTTATTAAAATATTCACAAAGCAAGGTAATATTGTAATTACAAAATTTCTGGAAACTTGAATTACTTCATTATGAAGGATGGTATGACTATTTGTAAATTCAATTTCTGTTCGGAAGATTCTCTTACAATCTCAGTCTGTGTATAGAAATTTTACGTGATTCACAATATTTAATAGAAAATCCGATCAAAACGCTATACTCATATAGCTCCTATGTGGTTCAAGGGGTGGATGATTGGAATTTACTAAAAGTGCAAGAACGAAGCTGGTAGAAACCCTGGAGAAGGACAGTGGAGCGTTGGAGGAGGGAGAGATGTCCGCCGGCACCCAAGGCGAGATACGGGTTGGTCCATCGCACCAGGTTTGCTAATTTTTCTTGGAGAATCTTCGCTATGTAGCTACATTGCAAAATGCACCTAAATTAGAGCTTGCGTCTTTGCATAAGAAAGCACTCTAAAACTTATTATTAAGTGTCAAATCATAGTTAGTTTAATACATGCAAATTCCTTATAGCTTATCTTGCTTTGTGTTAATAACAGATTTTACAAATTTTTAGACATATCTTTATCTAATTAATATCTGCTATGACATCTCTCTTATATATCTCTGTCTATAGATCACTGGGTACCTGTAATTTCATTGGCTTGGTTTTTTTATTTTCAATTTGCATTGTCCATCGTTAACACCATTATTTATTCAACTAGCATAGTATAGCTATGATTTATTATTCATGTAGTTAGACATATTTTATTCAGAAAGTATTTAAACTAGATTATGCATGAGATCTCTCATGACATTATCTTTTCCTTTTAGTCAGACAAATCGTTATAATTTTCTTGAATTATCATTTCAATAAATTTTTTCTAACAGTTCTAGCACAGTGTCAATAAAACTGTAATGTGCTCAGTATCAGTTTAATTATTTGATACAACAGAATAGTCTGTGTAGCCTTGAAGTTCTTGTAATTCACCTTTCTTTACATAAATATTTATAATATGTGGCGATGGCATTGATCTGCTATCTTTGACAGTAAAGCATTGGGATAATTTGTTCTACCTTTCCATGTACATCACAAGGCAGTATTACTGAAGCAATACGATAACATATACAATTCATTTTAGATAATGTATGACATTGTATTTTTGCATGTGTCAAGTCACTTACACTAGTTACAAACATTCTCAGTATGGGTGTTAAGAAGTAAAAAGAAACAGGAGTTTCATCTTAGTGCATATGATGTAATAATTTATTTTAAGACGTACAAAGCTATAAGTAGAAATTTTCGTTTCTTTATTTGCTATCTGTGATCTGTCTCATATTATTATTATTTTTTTTTATTACAGTGATTCACATAATACTTTCACTCATTCTAAATAAATTTCACGGTAAGCATTAGAGTTATAAACAGAATAAGGGTGAAAGGGTACGAACCATCTTATTAAAGTTTTAATATACTCTGGCAAATAATGAATAGGAATAATCGATGGAATTGGAAAGTGTATTAGCTTCTATTTCCAAATCAAATCGTATCTAAATTCGCATATATTTGTCTACTATATGATGTAAGCATATGCAACACAATTTGCCCTGAATGAAAGTCATCAAATTCTCATCTTTATCTTTTACACTTCAGTCACAGTACAGTATCTGTGTCATTATATTATATGCTTTGGCTTTTATTATTCTACTCTACATTACTACTCTTTTTCATTGACGATTACTGTGCACAATATTCAGAGCTGGTATTTTGACTTTTTGTTTGTTTGTACGACCTTTTTTTTCTTTCTATTCCTGTTTAACACGCAAAGGAGTATGAAATGAGTATGAAAAATCTTACTGGACAAAAAATCTGACAGGATCTAGTGCGATGATCGACAACTGAAGTTGGTAGAAGTCGAGTTCGTAGACCATGACTGGATGTTCGTTGTGCCACGGTGTCCAGTTATCTTCTTGATGATACTCTAATTGCAGACGTAAGCACAGAGATAAAGACATTTGCAAATTCAAGACGTAATGTTTTCTAAAAGGACATGGAAAGAGAAGAGACGAGGAGAAAGGAGTTGAGGATTTTCTTCATAACAAAATTTGATTTTAAGAATTTATATCTAATGTGATTAGATGGTGCATACCTATTCTGGTTTATTCGTATTCCCTGTTCAACTTATGTCATAGTTTATACTAAAAAAAATTGTTACCTAATAATAGCAAGAGCAAGTCTCATTTGTAAACGTTCTTTGTAATATTTATAAAATTTTTTTTAATGGACATTCCTTTTTGACTATATTTTTAATGTGAAAATATTTGCATATTGTTTTAGAACAACTGATCTAGTTCTTTCGACATGCTTTTAATTTGACACTTCAGTACTTATCGAAGTCGGCAGCTTATTAACAATAACATTGATACGTCCAATCTGCTGGTGTATATGGTTTACAAGAAGGATAGAAATACGTGGCTAATTTAGTGAGGTATGCACTTCTAAAATTATATAAGCTTTGAATTAATTAGCTGCCAATATTAAAAGCTTAAGGCTGACTGTAACCCCAAGCAATTTTGTTTAAGTGTTGAAAACTAAAAAACTGGGCCTTATAAGTATTTTCGAGTTGTCAAGTGCAGAATGCAAATAAACCATAATCTTTCTATAAATTGTGTTGCATAGGTTTATTATATAAAAGTTACTAATTAGTTTTGAAGAAGAAAAAAAGATATTTAAAAATCCAACTTAAAACGGTTCTTTTCGAAAAAAGTATGAACAGAATGATACATACGCACTTTGTAGCTGACCTTTGATTACGGTATGAAGTGAAATTTTGCTCGACTCTTTGATTACCTGTACCAATTGCTTTGTGAAAATACTTACCAAGAATAAGTGAAGGATTTGTGTGAATGATCATGCACAGTGTATGTAGATTATTGAAAAAAAAAAAATAATAAAAAGCTAGGAAGGCGTTTTCGAGAGGGATATGCGTGTTCTTAAGCTACAAAGAGAAATATTTCATAGCCATAAATTAATGGCGACGACAGTGATATGTTCCGTTCTAGAATGCTTTCTTTCTCGGGAAGCACCGTTTCTGTTGTACCAAATCCATCGATGTAAAATCAGAAGGGGAAGGGAAAACTAAAAGAAAACTAATGCTAAAAGATCCCAGAGTGACGCTAGACTTAATAGCAAGAAGATTAATAGAATTTGAATTCATCCTTAATGATCTCATTTGAAATATTTACACAGTGTCATTTGGAGCTGCTATTATGATTTGAACTTGGAAAATGCCTAAGCCATAATTTGGTATATCGATGGATGAACGGAAACGTTGTTCAGAGAAGAATAAGGGAACGCTCAGTCTCGTGTGTCAATAAAGAATGATTGAGTTTTGGGGCTTTTGATAAGCAAGTCGGATTATAGGTGCGTACGACTAACTCGCTTTGGCAGTGGTGCTAACCGCGCACAATCCCCAATTTTGGGTACAGGAATTGGTTTCTTGCCAGGCCCGTTTGCCTGAGTATCGGCCGGGTATACCTCCTGGCGACCTACTTCCTGATCCAGAGTTCTCAAAAGAACGCGAAGAGCTAAGATGGATACCAGCGATGGCCTTGGATGGGGACCTTCTCATGTACCTGAGGGCGGCTCGTTCAATGGCCGCGTTCGCCGGTATGTGTGACGGTGGTTCCCCGGATGATGGTTGCGTTGCAGCTTCACGAGACGATACCACCATCAATGCACTGGACATCCTGCACGATTCTGGCTATGATCCAGGAAGAGCTTTGCAGGCTCTCGTTAAGTGCCCCGTACCCAAAGGCATCGACAAGAAATGGTCCGAGGAAGAAACCGTGAGTATAAGACCAAATCTTGTTAGTTAAAATTATTCATTTGAAGATATGCTTCCTCTTAGATTATATTGTTTTGATGTATCAATTAACACTTGTTGGAATCAGTTATGAGCATTCGTTTGGTAGATGCATATAATTGAAGGTATGATTGTGTTGTGTTACAGAAACGATTTGTCAAAGGTCTTCGGCAATTTGGAAAGAATTTCTCTCGGATTAGAAAAGATCTTTTACCTCATAAAGATACGGTAATGAAAATTTATTGGTGAAATTAATATACAATTAAGTGTCTCTGATCATTCGTATGGGTCTTCTTTTTTTTTTTTTTTTTCATTTTCACAGCCAGAATTGGTCGAATTCTATTATCTGTGGAAGAAGACTCCTGGTGCGAATAATAACCGACCACATCGCAGACGTCGGCAAGGATCCTTACGTCGGATCCGTAACACGCGGAACTCCAGAGCAGGGACACCCAAGGAGGAAGTACCCACGCCACCGAAGGACGCACCGGCAACTACTGCTAGTGCAAAGGAAACTGCTTCGGAACCGGAAATAGTTCCCGTTGGTACGCCAGCTAGCAATAATCCCGGTGGAGAGATCAGTTCCGTCACCGAAGACGATAATTCCGAAGAAGACAGTGACTCACGGGACACCAACACGAACGGGACAACGCATTCCTGTCAGCATTGCTTTTCGACAAATTCAAAGGACTATCAAATCGCTGGGAAGGACCGATTACTTCTTTGTGCGGAATGCAGGGCGCACTTGAAGAAGACTGGAGAATTGCCGCCTGCACCGCCATACTTATTTCGTCCGGTTCCTGCAGAGTCTCCAGACAGTCCGGGTAGAATGCGTACAAGAAACAAAGCTAAAGAGACTCCTAGACCCGCGAGACCAAGACGTACCGGAGGAACGGACACGCCTGATCAAGAGAAGCAGCAGCAACAAACGCCTGACAAGACGAAGAAGAAGTCTTCGAGCAAGCCGGAAACACCGAAGAAAGGTCAGAAGAGGTCGCAGACGGATGATATGGAAGAGGACAAAGAGTCACAAAAACGTAAACGTGGTGAACGTCCCGAGAGCCCGTCGGAATCGCTCACAACAGATAGTAACTCTCTTATGGATGAACCTGAGAGAGAAACGGAAACGGACGCCAATGAGAATCAACCTGCACCATCCGTTGTTGCAAGTGACGAACCTGCCAGTCCTATTATAACTACTCTGGAGGAGCCATCTGAACCTACTCCGGCATCAACGCCAATTCCACTTTCGGTTTCGGTTACGGTGCCGGTACCAGTTCCCGTCTCGGTTACGGTGCCGGTACCAGTTCCCGTTTCGGTGCCAGTGGCTGTCCCTGTTCAAGCACCTATACCGGTAGCTGTGCCAGTTCCAGTTCCCATTCAAAGTTTACCAATATCAGTGCCCGTCATTCATTCCTTGGATAAAAAACCATTGTTAATGGATGAGCCTACAGAGACCAAAGAACAAATAGAGGAAGTCTCACTGGCTATTAATCAGCCTCTTAAATTAGAACCAAGACCCATAGAAGTACCGATGTCACCGTTGAATGAAGAACTCAGAGAACCTGAGCAGCAACAACAACTCAATTTGAGTAATCCTCAGCAATCCAATCATCCTTTAAATGTTACTGACATGAGTCAAAATATTCATCGTAATTTATCACAATCTATTGCCAGCGCTGTCGGTATTTGTGCACCAGGAGGTCCCACTAATTTATCAAATCCTCAGATAACTTCTCAAAGCCAGCAGAATCTGCCTCTCAATATGCAATATCAAAGTAACGTATCGCAAAATCCAAACGTTCCTCAAAATTTATCACAGAACATCCAGCTTCCGCCAAATATACCACAGAATATTGGTAATGCAAACCCTTTGGGAGTTCCGCAATCCGTCTCTAATACGGGTGCAGAGAACAGCGTTAATTTAACGAGCACACAAAGTATGGGGCAAAGTATTCTTCTACCAACTGCCCTCAATTTAAATATCCCACAGAATATGTCCACGACCAATATCACTCAAATGCCGCAAGTACCAAGTTCACCGCAACCGCTTGGCTTAACAGTGATGCCTTCTGAAAATAGAATGTCAGAGCGAATGGCAGATGACAGATTGGGTCCAGAGCGACACCGGGATAATAGGATATTGGAGAGGATGTCAGACAGAATTCCGGACAGGATGGAAAACGCGGAACCTGAGAGACCGGAACCGACTAACTTATTCCAGCCTATACAACCACCAAGTATGTTGTCGACGGAAAAACCAGCAGCTATCTATAATTTGGCTGGTACTCCACCAATGGAACCTCAGAACTTAAAGATAAAGCAAGAAATCATACCACCAGAACCAGATCCTCTCCAGAGTCTCAAGGAAGTTAAAGTTCCTGGTTTTCAAACAGGTTTTCCAGGACCAACTCTCGAGAACATTAAAAAGGATCCTGATAGCTCTAGTAAACCACCTACCCCAAGTAAGCATTCTTTAGCGAGCAACCAGCAAGTCGCTCAAATACAGTCAGTAGCAGCTTCCCCGACTCCGAGTTTGCCACCACCTCCAACTTCTATTCCCCAACCTGTGATGCATCCTGCCCAGCAACCGAGTCCTCACATGACTCATCCATTCCACACACATCATCCCTTGATGCATCATTCTCTGTTCGCAGCGATGCATCCCTATCATCCACATGCTTACACTGGATATGCTCCTGTAGGTGGTTACCCACCATTCCCTCCGTATCCATACGGTCCCGTTCCTCATGCCATTCCACCTCCGTCACCACAGAGAAATCAGGAAAGCACAACAATGATGACTGCACACCATTCAAGCACAAGCTCCAGTGTGACGACCAGGGAGGAGGGAGAAAATCTAATTGCTACCCATCACCACTCATCAAGTATGCACCAAGCTACGACCTTACATCACGACAAGTTACTAACTATTTCCTCGCATAGTTCACACAGTCATTCATCCTCTCATAGTTCTCACAATGCTCAAAGGAAACCATCAATGGTATCTGCGTGTCTTACCTCCAGTAGCTCAGTTCATCATCATCATCGTCCACCGCAACCACAAGCTCCTGCACCACCCCCTGAGCCAAAGATGGAACCGGAACTTGTGGAACCTGAACCGGAAGAACCACCAAGTCCAAGAGGACCATCCCCGGAGCCTCGAATCGAAGACTCTGAGTGTCATCGATCACAGTCAGCGATTTTTCTTCGACATTGGAATCGCGGGGAGAATAATTCTTGCACCAGGACAGATCTGATGTTCAAGCCAGTTCCGGATTCCAAGCTGGCTAGGAAACGCGAGGAAAGGTCGAGGAAGCAAGCTGAGAGGGAGAGAGAGGAACGAGATAGAGTTGCTGCTCAGCAAGCTAGAAAAATGACAACTCCTGAGAAGCAACCGGAAGTCTGCAAACCTCCAAGTCGTGGTCCTATGGAACCGGTAGTGTCGCCTTATGATAGATACGCGGCAAGACCTGGTTCCTACGCGGATACACCCGCCCTGAGGCAACTGTCTGAATATGCCAGACCACACGCTGCCTTTTCACCAGCCAGACACCCAGCGCCACCTGATCCCATGCTGCACTATATGTATGGACCTGCAGCGCGGGAACGACTCGAACTAGAGCATTTGGAACGTGAGAAACGCGAGCGAGAGATACGGGAGTTACGTGAACGCGAGCTCAACGACAGGATTAAGGAAGAAATGCTCAAAGGGGCTCCAAGGCCTATGCCTGCGCCGGTCGATCCTCATTGGCTGGAGATACACCGACGTTACGCAGCTGCTGGACTTGCCCCAGGACCTGCCGCTCCTCCTCAAGCATTGCATCAGTTTGGTCTTTACGGAGCACCTCCTGGACCTAGCCAACTTGAGAGGGAACGTCTTGAACGTCTAGGTAATATTCCTTCTATATTTTTTTCTATTTTTTCCCCATTCCTGTATTTCTCACTTTTCACTTTTCTCTTCCTTTACCGGTACCCTCAGCAGGTTACCTATGCCCTGTTCAATGTCAATTATGGATCCTATCTAGTTGAATTTAACCATTTTTGTTCTCTTTGTACTCCCGTTTGAATATTTTTGCACTTATTTTTCTCAAACCTCCTCACGATTTCTTGTTTTTCCGTGAAACCGTTTACCACTGGCTTCAGACATCTTTGAAATTTTGAGAACAATCTTCTTTACCTGTTCCTTCCTTCTGTTCACCCATAACTCTATTTCAAGTGAAACGAGACATGGAGAACACTGTGACGATTGATAATCTTGGGCAGATTTTTTTTTTTTTTTTAACTAATTACCCTGTCTTTAAAATATCCTTTATACGACTACCCTGTCTCAGCAACACTATGTTTGATCCAACCGATAAGAGAATCAAGCCATAATAAGTAAACATTCTCCTTTCAAGAAGATGGAATGTTTCATAAAAACCCATTACTTGAATCCCCCATAAATAACACTTTGAATAAAAATTTGTCACAATATACAATAAATTCCCGTTTACTTTATGCAAAAGCTTGAACAGTCGGTACTCTTTTGATTTGTCAATTGAGAGTCAGTACCCCGTTGTATGTGGCTTGAGAAAAAAAAAGGTTGTTTTTCTTTTCACAAAAGCTTCAGTGTACTCGAGTGAACGTTTGTGATAGAATTTTATTAATATAAACGTATTAGCATCACAAGTATCAAAACTGCAGTAGCTTCTGTTTCCGTTTAGCAACGAATGTAAAAGTGAGTGTATAACGATAATAGGTCCTAAGTTTTCCATTTAATAGAATACATACGAGATAAGAATATTATCAAGTAGGATAAATTAAAAAATTAAGTATGTGTCAAGTGTGCCAAAATAGGATTATAATTAGGACCAATAGATGTAGATATGATAGATGGTGTGACTGACCGAAGCCCTGTCGGGTTTAGGGATACCGACTTCGGGTGGCGGGGGGCCAGCAGGGGGAGGGGCTGGCCATCCCGTGGCGGCTCATCACCACAGCCAGCTGGACGAGCGGCTGGCTCTGGCTGCTGACCCGATGGTCCGGTTGCAGATGGCTGGCATCTCGCCTGAGTATCACGCTCACACTCACGCGCATACGCATGCGCATACCCACTTGCACCTACATCCGGGACAGCAGCAGGCCCAGCAACAGGCTCAGCAACAGCAGGAAGCAGCTGCAGCTGCAGCTGGATTCCCCCTGCCTGGTAGGTCCTAGGGATCAGGGTGTCTAAGTTTCTGAACCTTTTTCCAAAAAGAAAAAAGAAAGAAACAATCTATTCTCGCTTGTTTCGCTACAATCGTTGTGCCTTCAAGCGTCTCCTTTTACAGTTGCGTTCCTTGTACACCTTTTTGATTTCTTTGATTTTTTTATTTTATTTTTGCGAACCCTTCGCCACTACCCCCGTCAACCTATCCAGGAGTTATCTGTAATTGTTCCTAACCGTTCCAACAATTCGGATTTACTAACGTCCAAATATTATTCTGTACCGAGCTTCGAAAATGCTTTTAACAGTTTTTAACTCGACCGACTATTGAATAGTTGGTCCCGTGCGTTCCTGTGTGTCTGCGCGTGCGTGTGCGTGGGTACGCAGTGGGTGGTTGTGCGTGCGTACGTATTGAAGAATGAAATTATGTTTCACTATCATTCTTTTATTCTTGTGTTGGGAAATTTTGAAAACTTCATCTTTTACACTGTAATTGAACGTTAAACATGTTGCGGTTGAAATTTCACGACCCTCGGAGCAACTATTGGTTAAAGTTTCTTGTTATTATTAAACTGCTTATTTTAAGGAAAAAGTGTCTTCGATAATGATTAGTTGTAACGTCTATAAATAACTTAAGGGATATCCTAATGTAAGAGAATGTGTAGCAGAAAGATTAAGTAGCACTAACAGTCCATTGAACTAAGTACTATTCGTAATTGTTCATTTAATGGTTCGATCACTGCTTGGCAAAATTGCTTTGGAGTGAGAGAATAATCAAAAACCAAATGAAAAAAAAAGTTATTAATAAGACTATACGTTTTCTATGTCCGATTAATGCTTTTGCGCTCTGTATAAGTGTACGTTTTAAGGATGAAACTTTAAGAAGTCAAATTCGAATGTTGCGTGGCTATAGTAGCAACAAACAATATCGAGACCACTGAAGTCCTTATTTATAGTTTCTTCTCGCGTTTAAAACAATCTACATTCAGAGACTGTAGACGCCCTGATGACAATACTTTCGTAATGCATAAAAAGAGATTCCTATCTTATAAAATTCTTCACATATGTATATTTTACAATAATTTTACAAATTGCATGCTTGCCATCTCACACTGTAGCTTTTAATATGTTTCTAAGCGTCGACATTATCTCATGACACAATTGCTGATCATTTTTTCGTTTTCCTTTTTTTTTTTTTATTCTGTTCCACGTAGCAGCAGCCGGTGCAAATTATCCACGACCTGGTCTAATGCCCCGGGATCCTTCGCTGGCTCTACACCCAGCTGAACTTCTTGGACGACCTTACGCGGACATGGCTGCCCATCACGAGCAGCTACAGCGACATCTCATGATGGAAAGAGACAGATTTCCACCTCATGCATCCCTGGTCGCTCATCATGAGGAATATCTGAGGTTCGTTTACAATGAATTAGCTCGAGATTATTTAGTAATCCATTAGGGGTCGTTTGCACTACCAACAATATTTTACGTTTCTTTTCATTATTTAAGACTGTCATCCTGGCTCAATCATGACCTGAGACGTTTGATGTAAACGGTGTTCGAATGTTGACAAGGCGTCCAGCTCTAAGGGTTAGCTTTTGTTAAGTTGAAGGACCATGTTAGTAAAAGTTATTAATTGGGTTACCTTTGTACCTACCAGTGCTACTGCTGCTGATTGTATATATACTGTATACGGCTGGAGATCAAGGAGGATGAATTGTGGATATGATGGGATTCATCAGAAATATTGTCTACGTGTAGTAGAAAAAAAAAGAAATGAAAAATTGTTCTTCTGTTTTTGTTTTCTCGTACGTGGTATAGGAAACAAGCAATGTACTTCCATTATTTATTGTTTTAATGCTGTCGAGGCCAGTTTGTCTATTTTTTGTTTAATCGATTAGTTCTTACCTTGAGACAAATCAGTACCTCGGAGAGTTTCATTTGAAAATATTGTTATGTATAGTATTCTCATGTAATGCGTACTAATTTATTGAAGCTTTCAGTTATATTTTATGTGAATTCGAAGCTCTTGTAACCTGCCTCTTATGCAGTGCAGAATTTATATTAATATCTGGCAAGGATAAATCTTTCTTTTTTGTTTCAATTGTACGTATATGACATTAACGAGGAATGTATGATTAAAAGTGATGAATTGGACTTGATTTTATGACGAGCATTACTTTGCCTCTCTTGGATTTACTTTAGGTACGTGAGAACGAAAGATTGTCACAGCCATAAAGTATTTTTGTGTCCGGTAACGTCGTGAACCAAGGATTTCGTTCGTCGTAGGGAAAGAGTGTGATATTAACGAGAGAAAAATAGAGAATTAAAAGTAATGCCATAACGTACGTTATAATAGTTTATTTAATAACGGCTGGTGCATTCGACCCCAAGAGTATTAATGCTCATTACTATGATTATAGAACTAACAATGGGTATTTTTTAGACAACAACGTGAGCGCGAGCTTAAAGTTCGCGCCCTGGAAGAAGCTGCACGAGGATCGCGTCCTTAAGCATAAATAAAAGAACTTTCATTGAAATTGTTCTTCATGAAATTGACGAGCTGTCAGAGACGTTACTGTTAAAAGCATTTCTCGCCATGACTTTTGATTCAAGGCACAAGAATGCAGGACGGTAACGCTGACCTTTTTTCACCCTCTATTTAATTTTTCTTTCATACTCCATAAGAATTTTAATTTTTTTTTATCCCCATCTCACATGCTACTTACTATAAGGCATCATGGGCAGTAATCTGTGTCCTATGTAACACATTAGTGTAAATAGATGAGAAAAATATCTATAGCGCGCTAGTTTATCCTAGTGCCGTATAGAAGATACGAGTTCATATAGCGACGCTTGTTGTACTGTAAATTCATTGAAAAATCATTATTGATGTTACTGCAGTAACAGCCGCAATCTTATTATGTGACACCTCGTGAATCAATAGTTTCTTAATGACGACTTGTATTCAAGAGGAGACATCGTCTCAAGCCTATTGGCTAATTTTATTGTCTTTTTCTCAACTGTTTTTATCCTTATTTTACTGTCTTTTTTTTATCGGCCAACAATACGTTCTTTCGCGTTCTTAACGTAGCGTCTCTCGACGCTATAGAGAAAATGAGGGACATATGTATTTTGAGCCAAATCTTTTAATCTTATTTTAATACCCATACAGGGGCTCGTGTTTCTTTCTACCTTAAATAGACTGTATTATTTAAAGACGAAGAAAACGGAACCGGTAAACTCTCGCGTAATTTTTACATTAAGTTTGAGTAATCCTAATTATCTTTTACTTGTACATTTTTCCTTTTCTCGCCTCTCAATTATTTTATTACCTGGAAACTTATTGCTGCAACTATGGCAGGTTTTTAATGATAATAGCGATAGTGGTAATAGTAATAATAATAATAATAACGACAGCGGCTGGCTGATTGTAAACATCGAAACAAACTGACCAAAGTTAAACGTTTTGTCGAAAAACGTTGGATTGTGAGCGTATAATGTTCCTCGGTTCTACATTGTACGTATACATAGTTTCATATAGATGATATTGTATTTTGTATTAAAGCGAGAAGCACAGTGTATATGTTTAGACTTTCATGTGTTAACGATATCTTTTTCTTTCAATGAGAAAACATAAAGCCGTATGCTGCTACTTTGATTCTCATAACCATTGGAGTTAATGTATTTACATTTACATTATATAGGCTACAATAATTGATTCATTGTAATTCAATTGTTTAACCAAGTAAAAATTTCATACAAATCTCTGATATCAATGACTGTTACCATACTTATATACATAAATAGGATACAGACTTTCACTATGGATTATAATAATCATTCTCACCATCAAACACTGGTAGGTATACTGATCCAGATAAAAAAAGTCTCTTCGATATTAGAGGGATTTCTTAATCAAGACTGTTGATGGAGTGAGATGAAGTTTAAAATTTTAGAATTTCACAGGAGTCTGCGTAAATGAAAGTTTGAAATGCATGATAACTAATAAGTGGATTTTAATTAATATTTTTTCAACTTAAAAACCTGCACCATTCTCATTGCTTTAGCATGCAATGTCATGAACTTCAGGAGAAGGAAATCATAAAACTTTTAATTGCGTTTAATTAAATTCTGTACAAGTCCACTAAGATTCTTGTATAGGTATAACATATTGCAATCAATCAGCTCTAAATCTGTACGTTATGGTTAAAAAATGAATGTTAATCTTAATCACAGTATCTATAAGTATTGAGCCGGTTGTAAGATCTAGAAAAATTGTAAAGTAAGACAGCGCGAGCGAAGATTGTAAAAGTCGGATAGATTTGGAATTACGTGCGAAAGGACCAGAAAACTACTCTAATTAGTTTAACAGATGGAATTTTTTGCTGACAGTAGGCCTGGGCCTGGCGGCTTGTTTTTATTGGATGTAATGTGAAACCCAGAGTCTGGCCACTTGTTGAGAGAGTCGCCGTACTAGCACAGTAGAACGAACGTTGTGACTGCACGTACACACGTGTAGTGCACGTGCTACTGTATAGCAATGGCAATGATGTTAGCCATACTGGCAATGGTTTTGTATCTTTATATATACATATCTATACTGCACACCACTTCTCGTCGCAGTGGTGCTGCTCCTGATGATGATGACTATGCCTAGTGGCAAACGGAAAGAGAAGAAGCTCTTGGTGGGGTGTGTCGCCTCAGGGGCACGTTGCTCACGCCTATTCATTCATAAAAGGAGTGTTCTCGCCGTAAGTCCACTTTTCTGTAGAGCCAGTCATTAGATTTATTATAATTTGTGAAAAAGAATTGCACCGAGAGAATACAAGTGCGTAAACGAGATGGCAGCCAGGAAAAAGGAAGAACCAGCTAGACAGAGATATCAGGCGAATGCACGTGAGAGAGATCGAACTCATAGGTAAACACTTGTCCTTGTCTTTTTTTGAAAAATTAGATTATTATGAGTTATTTTTAATATTTTATTAATTACGTAATCCCTTTGTGTACGAGATTAACTGGATGCGTTAAATTGGAATTGTGCAAGATATCCTTTGGGAATTTTTGAAATGTTTCTTTGAGAGTTATGAATGACTGTCTTTCTTTTGCCTTCTGTTTACAACCCAGTAGATTGATACTTGGATCTGTGTTAACGGGATGTGTTACCTCATTCGATTAATCGCTGTATAATCGATAATTAGGTATTTTCGGGTTTGTACCCGAGAATGATACGTTATTAGATTCTGTCTTTAAGTGACGTAAATACAGGTACGCAACTCAAGAATCCCAATCTTCACTGTGCAGCGTAAACACAGCCTTCACTGCCTTGAGAACATTGATCCCCACGGAGCCGGCTGATAGGAAATTGTCGAAAATAGAAACATTAAGATTGGCCAGTAGCTACATTAGTCATTTGGGCGCTGTACTCGTCGCAGGAGCCATAGATCAGCCGTGTTTGCGGCTTGAGGAAAATAATCTGTCACCGCTTATGAGTAAACTGGGTGATTCTCAATCCAGACCACAAGTCTGTACCTTTTGCCTTGCAATGCATAAAAAATATGTAAGTTTATAATACATAATACAAGAATTTATAATTCTATTGTAAGTACGTATACTGTATATGTATAGGGACTAAATAAGAAGCATTCATTATTGCATTATGGGAATTTATGATTTAATTGGGTCAGTGTATATACATATATGGTATATATACTTGAACATTTGATATGCTACTTACAGGCAACGTAAATACAAGAGAATCATTGAGAATTACGAAGGACATTGAGACTTTTGTTTCTTTCCAGAATCTCAACGTTGCGTCGCAGATGATATCAGACTATCCAAATCAAGAAGAAGCACAGTATATAATAGTCTCGTCGAATTCCACGGCATTTGATTTGAATTACGCATAATGCGCGTTTGTCAAATTGTGTCTGTACATTTTTTGTAAATAATTTCGTTACGTCGATTAAAGTTTTATACTTATAACGTATTAACTGTTTAGGACCTAAATTTGTAATAATAATAATACTTTTGAATATTTAATTTTTTGACATTCGTTAATTAATTCTATACCTCTTTATTACCCTTTATTCGGGGCGCAATCTTATTAATTTGTTTTTTCTCTGTTTATTGCGTTACTATAGTACGAAATTTACATTATTATAGTAGCATATTTTTTGATTTGTGCTTAAACAGTTGAATTTTGACCAATGACCAATTTTATACGGCATAAGTCAAAATAGTTGTTTAAATTCGTTAGTTTAATTTGTATCTCAGTATAATTGATATAATTAGATATGTTGTTAAATAAATCTCATTTTGTTAATCCCCAAGATATATCTTAAATTTACATATGACTTCTAACGCGAACATTTTCATACGGTTGAGGGTCCTTTAATTTGAGCAATGACTAGCGCTGTGAAGGGGGCCGGTTGTTTTTAGTTTTCTGAGCTGAAAATGCTGTGAGGAAGGACGTTTTCATTCTTTTCCCTCCGTTCGCGTTTCTCGTTACCATTTCAGTTATTTGCATTCGGTTATTCATTACGGTCTATTTGATAATTAATATGTTCGCCTTGAGAAGAGAACAGAAAACATATCAATCGTGGAATTAGGTAAGTTCTTTATCTTCTTTAAGTAGCCTGGCAACCGCCTTATTCCACCATTACAAACTGACATTATTATTTGATATTACTGCTCAATTAATTATTTTCAATTAAAGGAACTCATTAAGGCACACAAAATATATTTTTAGTGGTTTAGTGTTATTATTTTTTACTCGTATTCATTTGAATTTCTTTCTTCTATCAATGTTAGGTGCATTATGCTCAGCGTAAGCGTTCAGATATGACAGAAATAAAAATTTAACATATAACAAAATTTTGATGTCAATTATCTTACTCAGAGTCCTAATAAGATAAAAGACTTTCTAATCAAAAAGTGTGATGCGTCTTCTGACAAAACAGACCGACAAAATTCTTCGAGTTCTTTGCTAACTTTTCATTACACGCTTGATTCTCGAGATGCAAATCAACAGTTTCGTGACGTCATTTCCGCATTACTGATAAAACGCAGCTTCATCTGTTTGCTCGTTCGCATTTACATAATGAAAAAGGTACTGTAAATCTGAAAGAATAAATCAAGTTATAAAATAATTAAAAATAAATTTGATTCCGTATTACCATTCCCTTCCTTTGTCTGGTTGGCACTAAATAAATTGTCACATCTTTTGTCCTCTAAATCATCTGTACCTTGAGCAGACTGTTAACTCTTTGCGCACTTAATAATGAAATTTTAGTAGACAGTGGTACATAGTTGCCACCACATTCGTTGTTGGCGTAAAAGTATCTTGTGAAGACGTCGTCAATTGCACGAATAATGGAGAAGATAATGTTTAAAAAAATTTGTAGAACATTTCCAATGTCTAACAATAGTAGAATCTCCGACATTTCAAGCTATTCAATTTACAAAGTAATAAATTTACCTAAGCTTGAGCAGAGAGAGTGAGAGGGAGGTGTATTTTACGAGAACGAGTATACTGTACGAATAAGGAAGACAGGTAATGGATTCGTAATAGAAAAAGTAAAGTGAACATAGAGTATAAACATTGTATTTTAAAAGAGAAAAGAAACGATGAAACCTAAAGAAAAGAATGGACAAGTACTAATAATCTAGTAAAATTCATCCGTGTGAAATCAATGAAACATATTCAAAAGCAAAGTGATTGTGGCGCGGTGTGGCGCGACGTGAGGTGATTTGTCCGCCATCTTGTAAAGGGAATTCCGTGGTGCTTGGAGGTTCAGCGAAAAGGAACAGGAGCTTCGCCAGAGGCCGGGAGTTCTCTTGGAATCGTCGTAGCGTTCCTCGCCAGTCCCTGGGTAGAGCCAGGTGACCTCGAGCGTGGCCAGGGGGACCTTCCACTGCTGGGAAAGCGGACAACGACCAGCAGGAACTGCCTACGAGCTCGACCAATTCGACTCTCGAAGATGGTGAGCTGTTCGAACTCTCTTCTCTTACCCTTGACAATTTCGCCGCTTTCTCACGTTCTCGCCCTGTTACACAGTGACTCGATCGCGAGAGGGAAAGTCACGCACCTTCCCGCCGCCACTGTCACGGCCATTAACCTCGATCGAGAAACGATTCGGAGAATCGTCGATCGATCTCGCGATATCACGGCGCGGCCTCTCACTCCGGCTTGTCAATATTTTTAGTCGGAGCTTTTTGATTTGTTGTTACGCTTATCGGCTGCAGCGCCGTTGCCAGCGTCGCTGTCGCCGATAATTCGCGCGACACGGTAAGTTGACAGTACGGATAACCTATATCTTTCTCGATTCTTATGGCTTTTCCCTTTTGTCGCTCTTTATCTTTGTTACTCTTTCTGTGTGTCCCTTTGAAATATATCTCTATCTTTCCCTCTCAGACTCACCCTTGATCCTTGTGTTTTTCTCTTTTCTTTTCTGTCTCTCCCTCTCGCCCTCTTTAGCTATTCATCTTCATGAAATATGTTTTTTTTCATTACTCGATTTTAACTGGACGTGTATTTAGTGTAGACGGCCGTGATCAAGTTCAGACTTGTTCGGAGGTTTTATATTTGCGACAGTTTTTTTGTTTCTGGTTTTCAGTTTTGTATATTGAAGCTCTGGCTATAGTTCTGTCTCATATTTAGATTGTAAAGCTTATGAGCTGTACTAGACTTGTAGCAGCTTATAAACTGAATGGAATAATTGTAGTGAATGATATTCCTTGTGTAAATATTCTGATATTTCTGAAGTCAATGACAAACTTCTGTTTCCTGTTTTTCTTTTGTGGTGGTATAATTTATATATTTGGATCCTTTGCCTATTTGTATAATTATTTGCAATGCTGTTCATTGCAAAGAAGGAGAATACATTGTGTGTTAATTCTTTACATTTTATCTGTTATATGCAGTATAATCTTCTCACTTAGATTTGATGAATCATATTTATACTGAATTAAATATGAATGTGAGTCTTTGATTATAGAATATCGAGAAGTATTAATTTACATCCAGACAGTTTTGTGTATCCTCTTATATAAAATATTGATTTTAAAGAATACAATTAGAATGCTGTATTGTATCAATGTGGTGAGAAGCATTTTCATGTGTAGTATAAATGATTGAAATTGAAACCTTTTCATGAAACTGTTTCTCACATATAAGTGAATTGTAGTATTTAATAACATTATTTTATCCCTTTGATTGCAGGCAAGGGTGGAATATTTCTGTGTTATATTATTTGTCCATAAAATCTGTAGTAATTATCTGTGTTAAATGCTATCTTATCTTTTTATAGAGTTCGGCATCAACTGGGGGTACGGAGGGGTCCAGTCCAGCCTCCAGCCCTGCATCAGCGGCGAGCCTTGCAATGGCAGCGCCAAAATATGGCACTCTGGTACCTAATCGTATATTTGTGGGTGGTATCTCAGCAAGTACCAGCGAAGCAGAACTTGCACAACTCTTCTCAGCGTATGGCAATGTCAAAGCTACAAAAATAATTTCCGACCGTGCCGGAGTTTCTAAAGGATATGGTTTTGTCACATTTGAAACTGAGGAGGAAGCAAAAAGACTTCAGCAAGAGGTTATCATCTTTATCCACACTTAATCTAATACTGTAGCAAAAATTATATTTATCAAACACATTTATTCGTTGTGATTTCTACACATTATTTAAGTGTTCTTTCTTTTTTTTTACAGTCTGAATGTATTGTATTGAGGGAGAGAAAGCTGAACATAGCTCCTGCAATTAAGAAACAACCTTTCAATAGGTCATTTGACGGAGGTTCTGGATCGCCTCCTGCAGTACCCTCCAATGCATATTACTACACAAATGGTTAGTGCTATAAAACTTCAAGAATATAACTCGACTATTCATTGAGAGTGTAGAATCATTCCTTGTATCTTTGATAATGCATCGATCAGACTTAATACATCATTTTGAATAATTTCCACCAGGAATGGGTCTTACGTATCAAAGTGGAATGACATTCTACAACACAGGAGCGCCGGCTCCTGGTACTCCCATTGCTCCTTCCGCTGATCCTGCAACCATATATCAAGCAGCAGGAGTCTTTGGTGAGTTTCAAAAGAGTTCGCAATTTCATATCTTTAAACATTCATATATTTTAGGTTAAATCACGTGTTCCCAATTACACATGACATAAATTGCATAAAAGTTTTTCTGAATTTTGTATTCTTTTAGTACCTTACTAAACTGACCTACTAACTTACCTTGCCTAAAACTGTCATTGGCCTTAAAGAATAAACGTATTTTCGCTCAATTACTGAATCAAGAATTACAATGTGCATGTATCTAAGGACCAATAAACGTAATTGATAATTCGTAGGACCTCAACCAGCAACGGGGCACCAGACATTCGCACCAGTTATGTATCCTTGCCCAGCGCCATCATTATACATGCCACAACAGTACCAGTATACCCCAATGCCGGTAAGTCATTCAAGTAACCAGCATTGTTGTGCAATGAAATACTGTTCTTGTTGGAAAAGAAAAATTATTCGGGTATGTAGGTACTTCTCGTAATCCGTAGGAAATTCTTAGTCATATTGAATTATCGATCACGGGTGTATGCTATTGTATTGGGATTAAACAGTATATCGGTTACGGTTTGACAGACAAACGGTCTTATGGGAGAAGCCATGCCACCGGCGTTTCTACCCAACCCTCAGCAAATGCCTACTTACGTCCTTCTCGACGCTATACAGTATTGAGGTCTAAAGGTATATGGTCTATGCTACGTGTCCAGCATGTAAACGCATTTTATGTTTCTCGTATTTTCTCCTCTCTCGCTGTTTCTCTTTCTCTCGTCAAATTTAATATGTCGCATGTTTCTTGCATGTATCCAGTATCCGAACGCAATATAGTCCTGGACTGATACATTTTGTGAATCTGCATCATTTCACTCAATACAAGAATTTCGTAAAAATCACAATTGGTATTACGCACAACGTTTCACTGCTGCATATGTAATCTTTTTGACTGCACTTTGTATACGAAGAATATCTTCAGCAACTGACATGTCATTTCTCATGGGGATAATAGATCAACTTGGCAGATAAGATAGATAGTCGGTAGTTACGTCGTTACTTTGAAATCATATTTTTTACTTTCTGCAGAATTCAGCGATTTTAATAATGTCGATAGACTATAGATGCAGAAGTGGAATGCCGTTTTTCACTTTGAAGCGAAAATTTATATATTTTGTTGTTATTGTCCTTAATGCCCTGGGTATAGTTATTTGTAACTAGTACTTGTAGAAATTTTTCGTATCGAGATGCATTGAGACGATACACCATGATACATTTCATCTAAAGAAAATTGGGAGAATAATTGAACTGCTTGTCGGATCAGCCAGAAGCTATTTAAATTCTTGAACATTCGTCTAGAATTGCATTCTAATTAGTGGAAAGTGTCATGTAACACAATCATAATCGTGCTGTATAAATAATTCATTTCGTATTACATTACAGTGTGCACCACCGTGTTTCAATGTGCTTATAGGATGGTGACGTTACATATTTACTTTGTGAAGCTCAAAATTAATATGATTTTTGTCTAACTTCAACGATCGGCCAGCGCATGTTTTCCATGTAAATGTCATACTGATTTATCAAGGATACGCAAATTAATTTGCCATGCAATCGGCAGTGCTTCTCCTCGAAGCTACTTAGTAGGAATGTCATCAATTAATACATGACAGAGGAGATATATATTTTATTAAGAACGATTGCAAGTCAAATAATTACCGTACTCCTTCAGAGACAGGTCTATAAGGAACCTGTATGTAAAAGCAAATTGTGAAGTCACGATGCATACTTTCACTTGCATAATATTTATTTAATTAAATCTTATCAGTAAGAGGGATTCCATGAAGTTCCATGAGCTTCGCACGCTTATACAGAAAATGCATATTAAAGTGTGCTTAAAGACTTTAACGAATGGCATAATTAATAACTAATTGTAATCAGTGATTTAATTTTTTTTTTGAATTAAAATCTAACGATACAATTCATAATTTCTTTGCAGTACGATTCGTATTACGCTGGAGCAGCTGCCGCCGGTGCTCCACAATATCTTTACACAACGAGCAGCGGTCCACAGAGCAACATTGGCAGTGGAAGTGGCGGCGGCGGAAGTGGTGGTGGAGGTGGTGGGGGTCAGGGTGTTCCTGGTATCGGTGGTTCAAACGGTACCAGCAGTAACAACAGTGGTAACACTAATATCAACGGTAGTAACAGTGCAACCGGAGCCACAAGTACGCCTACGGTCTCTCACCAACAGCAGCCCTCATCTGCAACGACGTCAGGCCTCTCGTCAGTTGCATCTCTTGGTCCACCCCCGCCACCCTCAGCCAATCACCACTTCTATTCTACGGGCGGTCCTCCGCCTCCTGGGCTTCATCATCCTCCGCTTGTCACATGCCCACCGGCTCCAACTCAGATCGAACAGCATCTTTATTACTCGTTCCCCACCGCTGGACCGCCAGGTCCTCCTCCGCCTCCATCATCTGCACATGCTACTCTCGGCCTACCGGATCAGCAGCTATTGCTCTATGCAACTGATGCTTCTACTGTTGCTACCTGCCAACAGACATCAGCTGACGCTCAGACTTCTAACCAAGAGGTAAATTTGATTAATGATCAATTTATTTTTCCATGGATCGGCCGTGTCTACCGGACGGCGTGAGTCGCCTATGGGGGAAGACGGTTTATCCTTATTCATTCGCATTCCTTGTACGCTTGTCGTATGTTCATGATAATTGCTCGGTTGTCCACTTTTCCTACATTTTCTTTTTTCCTTCGAGAATACGCTATTCTTTTATTCGACACGTGAATTTTGTAGCAATCCAGAAGACTTGATGCTTTACTGATTTTATTGATTTATATGCGAGTACTAAATATTTTCGGTATTTGAATTCCGTTTGTGAATCTTATATCTTGAGAGAGATGTATATATGTATAGATTTATTTCATTTCGAGTTTCAATAAGAGGAAAAGTAGACACCGTGTTTCCCATGTTTTTTTTTTTTTTCGGACGACTCGTTATATGTCTTTTCGCTTTTCGTCACTACTTGGTTAACGAAGGAGAACGGCTCTGGCTATGCGCTACTTGCTTAATGATATATTGCTGGTTCAATATTTATGAATGAATTGCAAAAAAATCATAAATCACTGTTCACTATCATTGCCTAATAGCGTCTGTGGGCAATATGACAAAAGCTTACAAGGCATTCCATTGCAGAACATCATGAGACTCGTTTGCATTATTTGTGGTTGCAGAAAGGTTTGTGGTTAGAAAATAATGTAGTAATACGATGAGGATGTTCATTTAAAAGAAAAAAGAGAAGAAACAAGACTATAAAACATCTCTCGATGAATTTCTCTTAAATCTTCATAAATCCATTTCTCGCATACCCGGGGCTCATCTCCTCGAGAATCAAGCCAAATAATCGGCGTAGGCGGAAGGGATGTAGTGCGAATCGTGACGTATCGAATTTACAAAAAAAAAAAACCCAAAAAAAAAAGAACCAAAAAAAATAACCATCGAGAGTGAGGATTGCAAAACGACGTGTTGAATAAATATCGCAGGACTGTCGTTCAACGTCGAGCCACTCGGATCAACCGCACAGTGAAACGCAGGCTGTTCAGCCATCGGGATCGGCTACACCTCTGGTATCCTTAATGCCCTTCAAATTCCCCGTGTCCGCTCGATATACGAATTACCATCCGATCGCAATCCACACCGCGAACTTGCACGGCTCGCAGAGTTCCTTGAACAATGCCGAGGAGTGCAACAGCAATCAGATGCACTGCAGGACCATCTTGTACCATCATCCGGCCGCGGTTTACATTCCTCACACGCACGGACCGCAACAGCCTCCGCCTCCGCCACCGCCACCACCTCCGCCGCAGCCCCCGTCGTTCCACGACGGCTCGACCGGGGGCAGCCTCCTACCCACACCTCCACCGCATCATTACAATCAACCCACTAGCTTCGAGTCGAGCTTCAAGATGCAGAATGTCACGCACAAGGACTACTCGAAGGTAGTGGGTACACAAAACGCCTACGCAAAGTCACCGAATCTTAACATCGCCCTGATCTCGGGCGCTTATCATCATACCGGTGGCTACGGGAAGGGACCGCAGAGATACGCGGCATCCGTGGACCATGCGATGATGGGTCACAAGTATCAGTCGGGTGGTAATGCATTTAATTCTCCACGCGTATCTCACGGTCCTGCCCATCAGTATTGCAAGAGAAGCGCCAACCTGGGCTCGCCGTCGCCTTCCGGCTTTTATACGTCGCAAAAATCCATCGCCACCCTGGCTCACTCCTCCGCTCAAGCTTTTCAAAAGTCCTCGAGCTACAACGTCCCGCCGTACGTCAACGGACACTTTTATACCTGTAACTCAGGCCCTCAGAGAACGACGAACGAATCGAGGCATTTCGATAACGCCAATGGTCGTCGCAATATTTACGTTTCGAGCGAGAACGCGAACGAGAGTTCAAACGGTAAGTCAGCCGTTCAACGTAATTCGTATAGGAATAATACCGGTAGCAATTCGACCAAGAGCGCGAGCAGTAGTCAGGGTAGCGACACTCTCAGTCAATCAAATGAATCGCAACCGGAAACGGTTACGGCAAATGAACATCCGGTGAGCCCACCCCCGGCCCCCTATTCCCCCATGACTCGACTACTCCCAACTCTATCACCGCCCAACCCTCAGGTCCAGTTTTACGCTCCTGCCCAACAAAACCGCTATCAGCCTCCTCCGCCCCCGCCCCAACATCAACATCATCATCAGCACCAGGCGCAGCATCACCATCACCAACCACCGTCACACCATCAGCATCCGTATCAGCACCAGCAGCAACAGCGACGCTACGCGATGGCCACCTCTATACTACCGACCGGACGGAACAAGACGTCGTCCTCGGATAAGTACACCTCCACCGGAAGTACCGGGCAGACCGGCGCCTCCATGCTGCGTCAGCAACAACAAAACAAATACAAAGTTAACGGCGGTCTCGTACAGAATAATCCTGGAAACAGCGGTACCGGCGGTAAGGTGTCCGACGACAGTCTGGGCGGCGCTGGTGACGCCTCGAGCAACTCGGTCGGTCGTTTGCCGATTACACCCCCGGCGACGCCACGCGGTCATCACGCGAACCACTCGAGTCATCCCGCCGCCGGCGATCAGAATCAATTGACCGACGCGTGCCATCAGATGCAAGCGCTCACACTCTAAGCGTCTTTTTTTTCTCTAATCTGTGTGTCTGTCTCTTGTACTTTTCTTTCTCTTGATGTTGTAAGAGAGTCCTCATCGTTCTCAGATGATACTCAGAGCCAATGGGCCATACTCGAGCGGGCTATACAAATACGATGTGTTACACGAATAGAATTTAATGAATTGTCCGAGAGGACGAAGGAAGTTGGTCCGGATGTTGTTGGGGCTAGAGGGTAGAAAGTATTTAAAAAATATGGGATAGTACTAAAGGGGGGAAGTTAATGGGAGTTGAAGTGTGATGGTTTG